TGTTCCATTTGCGGAAATGAGCTGATGTTCTGGTTTTCCCTTGGTGTTAAAAGGAAAATGGCTGAAATGAATATGAGGTGCTAAGCCCAGGGGCTCCTGGCTTCGGCTTTCAATGGAAGACCGAAGATTCAACATTCGGGGGTGTTTGAAGGCCCTGAATCAATCTTTGGGAATTGAATATGGTTGTTATTGTCCCTTGTTGGTTTTAAAAGGAATTTATCACTAGACTCTTTTTTTGTTGCCCAGGGGTCTTAACCAAATGGAAGGTTTCGCTTGGTGTACCCTAAGTTTCGGACTTGAGTCACTTTTTGGGGGTTGGTAAACTGTTTGCCGGGAGAGGTGTCGCCCTTAAATGGGGACCCCACCTTAAAAAGAAAGATGGGTTTCCTGGCGTTGGGTTGCCCTTTGAAGCCACACAAAAAGGGATGCCCCCAAGAAAAGATGCACCTAATGCACCTACAAGCAGTCAAAGGTTACTTTGTGGCGAGATGTCCGAAGCAAGCCTGAGCTGCCAGGCTCTCCCAGAGCTTCCAGTTACAGTAGGTAACCAAGGTTCTGGATATCTCTACTTTTGCCAATCTGGCTTCTGCTTCTTTTAAACCATCGTTCTCTTCAAAGACCGATCGCTGTTCTTCCTGGGTCTTGGATGGTTTCTTGCAAAGATTCGGATCCCTGGATTCAGAATGGAAGAGGAAGCCTTCCCTGCACCTGAAGCACCGGGAGTCTCAGGACTTCTATGGGAGCCCGTCCGTGCGCAGCTCCAAGGGGCCCATCTCTAAGCTGCAGGCTCGGGTGCTAGGGGGGAGGGAACATGGTTGCTGTTGAAAAACATGCTTCCCCATTTTTGCTTGTTGTGATTTAGTGGTTGGAATCCAACCACTTATCCGCTAAGAATTAAACTCTTGCTCCCCAAACCCAACGTCAACCAAGGGAAGCCGGTGAGGTGGGGAGGGGGGGGGGGCAGAGAAACCGTCTGGGGGCTGTGGCTGTGGGGGGGGGCCAAAGAGCCAAGTGCCTGACCTGCTAAACCTCCTTCAGCGTGTGTCCGAGACTCTGGCCGCAACGGAGTGAGAGCTGTTAAACCCTTGAGCTCGGGGTCCAAAGCCATTGTTCCCCAAAGCGAGGAGTTGCCTTCCAAGGCCGTCGAAGCGCTTCATTTCTAGTCAAAAGCAGGGTGTGGAGCAAACTACTCAGAGGCGCGTCGTTTTCCAGAAGAGGGCTGCAGCCATAGCGTCCCCGTTTCAGGCGAACAAAGCGGCTTTCCGGGCTTTGCGAAGTCAATACAATTGGACAACTGACGCGGCAGAAAGTTGGTACGGCATCCTGTCGGATGGGACCCTGAAGTTATCCTTCCGTGGCGAAGCCCAACCAGACACTCCCAAGCCTTCTTCCTCGCTGGGAATGAGGGAATGACCCCGATACGCCATCCTTCTGTGGTTTGTTCCCAGGGAATCCCCAAAACCGGTTCATTCCCGACGCCAGGGCTCGGTCATTCCCTACCTATCGCACGACAAAGCTTACCATATTTGGTTTAGTGAGCTTTAGCCACCTCATCCGCCACAGCCATGGCGCCTCGTTCTTTGCTTCCCGGCCAGCCCTTGGTATCTTCGTGGTTGCCGCTGATTGAGTTTCCTCTGGGTGGTTGGTGATGTTAGTTGGACATATATGGGGTTGTGTCAAAGTTCGGGAACCTCATGGCACGGCGAGACGCATGGCAACGTGGGGTTTGCAGGAGTTCGTGCAGAGCAGCAAGACCCATCCTCTGCCGCGACTTGGTGTATGCCTTCTCACCCTGTAGCGATTTCTCAGTAGGGATAGAACATTAGATTGTACCTGAACCCTCAAAAGTCCCTTAAAAATGGGTTTAACCCCCAAAATTATGGGGTGATATCCCATTTTTATGGGTAGTTTGAGGGTCCAGGTATATCCCATCTTAAAGAGTGCTTCAATGGTGGTATGAAAGGGCTGGTTTTTTCGAGGTACACCGTCGCCCTCCTTTGGCTTGTGGGGCCTTTCGTTCTTGGGGCACATCGGTGGCATTTCGAGAGCCAGTTGGTCAAACCCAGGCAGTTGATTGAGCAGCGGAGTCCCGCAGGGGACGAGGGTTTGGAAATGAAGCGCGTTTTCAACGCGCGGCCCTTCGGCTCACTTTCCGAGTTGCGTTTTGGACCTGACGACTGGTGAGTTTGGACCGTGTTCGTGGCAAATAAGGAGAGAGTCGAGGACCTTTTTGTTGCCAACTCACTCGATCGGAAGTGAGTTGGAAACTTCGAATCAGAGCCTGGGCCCGAAAGCAACAGAACCGGCTTGGGGCCCAAGGTTGGCTTGCAAGCATGGGATCGCGTGTCTTTTCGGGACCTGTCTTTTGAAAGCTTTCTCCTTTCGGCGTGCTTTTCAACCCTCAGCAGAAAACCACATGGGTCCCCGTCTTTTTTAGGGGACCCCCCCAAAATGGCGGTTTCCCGGTTGGCTTGCTTTTAAACCAACCGGAAAAACAAAGGCTTCAGAAAAAAAAAAAAAAAGTACATGAGAAAACCTGCACGTGTTTGCACGTTCAATTGTTCGGCCACGGAGAGGTGGGATATGGATGGAACCAACATGAAACAACTCTGGGGTGCACAGAAAACTAAGCCTATTGAGGGAAATATGAACCTATCCCCTACTCAAAATACGCGATTTGTTCAGGGTATGTTTTTTTTTTTGGAAAACATGGTTTTCCATGGTAAATACCTCCTTTTTTAGTAGAGGGTTGACATGATACCCTGAAAAAAGAGTGTATTTGGAATAGGGGGTAGGCTGATACATGTGCCAAAGGATTCCTACCGCTTGGGTCAAAATATTCACCGGGTGTCAAGCTCTTCTACCCCCTTTTTGGGGTTCTCCAAACAACCCAGAGGGATTCCCGAAAAAAAAAAAAAAACAAAAACGCTGAAACCGCCGTCCTCGGCCGAAAAAAAAGGCAACAGCACAAAAACCACGGACTTAGGAAGCTGCCAGGCGTCGACCCCCCCAAAAACCGGGGGCTCGGGGCTCGCTCGGGCGAAGTCCGAGGAGTAGCTGCGCGGTGCTGCAGTGGAGCCACGAGAACCGGATGTCCGGGTCCAGCCTCCAGCCCGGGAGCCCGGGATCGATCCAGCCGGAACGCCGGGAGCCGGATCCGAACCCCGAGCTTCCCATTTTGGTGAAGTAATTTAAGAGTTTTTTTTCATCTTCCCCTGGTGGTTTTAAGGGGAAACGATTTGTCACTATCTGGAAATATTTTTTTTTTTCCAGGGGACTTGAGCAAGTGGAGGCAAGGAGCGCTACTTTCTTCCGGCCGCTTTACACAGTAGAAAAGCTGGGGATCTAGGGCTGGGGGAAAAAACACCCATTCCTTCGGGAGGTCCCATTTGTTAGGGTGGATGTGGAGATTTGTGGCGATTTGATGAGGGACTTTTTGGACTTGTTCAACGTTTTGGGTTGAAGCTTTGGCCGGTTTTGACCGAATTGGAGCGAAAACTGTTTGACCAAGTAAAGGGGACTTGGATTTAGTTGGATTTGTCTTATCTTGAAAGCCCAACAGAGTGGTTGCGTGTTGTTTCCAACATGGAACAAAAAGGGGCGTGGGTAAGCCAGGGTGGAAATTCACGCGTCGAGTCACAAAATGCCATGGATTTCGGCTCTTGGATCGAGGTTCCGCGCCACCACTAGCTTCCTCTTGGACGGCGTGCCGCACCATGTCCTGGGCCCCTCGGTCGTTTGTTGCTTTTTCCGCAACCCCCAAAACCTGACGCAGCATGGATTGTCGCAAATCCATGTCGCACCACTTGGAAACCATGGTTGAAACCGTAAGGCTTGTTCGCATTTGCAGAGACATGCCTATCCACGGTAATTCTATACAAATCCTAAAAACTCAGGATCAGTGACAGGATCATGGGAAGCACAGGTGTCCTTTTTGGTTTTGGTAGAACATAGATGGTTCCTTGGTAAATACATGAGTTTGCAGGGGCCCAAGGGTCGGTGACATAGCCTTACTGCCATTTGTTTAAGAATATCGTTTAGTTATCCCCTGTTGGTTTGAAGGGAATCGATCACCGGGAGTAAGTGTGTTTCTTTTTTACTAGGTCACCGACCCAGTAGTGCCCTTTTACCCTTTTTTGGGGGAGGGTTCCCCTACTAAAATAGACTACAGCAAAAACCTCGGGTACCCTTATTCTAACCTCTCAAATCTGGACAACCTAGTTGACGACCAAACCGCAAGTGGACCAACACCTTGCCACGGGCCTCGGGCAATTGGCGAATGTGTTGACCCCATACTGTGGGTGGTTGCGAAATGCGCTTAGGCACCAATTGGTAACTATGAGTGTTTCTTGCTATATTACGGGGATCATCATTCGAGGGTGTCTTAGGTGGTGCAGGATTTTGTCCACCCACAGTATTAATCGACCAACCTGTTTTTTGATAGAGGGCTGGGGGCCCCTCCAATAGGAAAAAAAACTGGGGTTGAATAGTATGGGATCAACACCAATAGGAAATAGGGATTAGAGTCTATTAGGGGCTTGGGTTTTTTTCCATTGCCCTCCCCTTTTTGGTGGGTTGCTACCCTTTGTACTCCGTCTGTACTCAACGCAAATACGAATCATCCCATGGGTTTCAAGTGGTTTCCAAGGATTTCGCACCCATCCACAATCTGTTTGTTGCACTTCCATTTACCAACCCATGTTGGCGCCGTTGCCCGATTGACCCAAGCGGTTTCAACCATGTTTTCAATCATCCACTGTATTCTTCCCATCCACATATGCTTTTCACCCGACCCATTTTGTTGTTTTTCCCCCGATTTTCGACCCAACCCACTTAGGTTTGTTTTTCCGCTTGACCAAGGTTCTAGGGGTTGATTCCCTATTATTATCAATCATCGTTCTTTTCAAAAACCAGCTGTTTCCCCGAAACTGTGGGTGGTTTTGTAGAAAGATTCGGATGCTTGGAAAGAATGGAAATGGAAGGTACCCCTAGAATTACTGTCCAACCCTTGGTATGGATTTGTCAAAAAACCGAGCAGGGTGGGTGACCCAATTGTTGTTCAACTTTTGACCCAAGGTGGGTGGCCCAGCCCATTCTTTTCTCTGACTTTTGCTCCAAGGTGGCTGGTGGCCCTCCAAGAAGCACTCCCAGCGCGACGCCGCGGAGCGCGCCTTAACCTTCTTCACCGCCATCTACGGCCACGAGCTGGGCCGCGAGAGCACGCCCAGTGCTCGGACGCGCCTCGGCCTTCGTGACTTCGTGGAGTCGTGGGACGGAAGAATCGGAACCCGATGGGCGAGGGGTCCCTTGTCTAGGTTCCCCACTAGTGCCTTTTTACCGATTCTTTTTTTGGGGGGTTCCCCTGCTAAAATACAGAAAATTATCGGGTACCCTTATTCTAACCTCTCTACTGGAAGACCTATAGTTGTGTCTAAGAAACCATCTCCAGGAAAATAGCCACTTCCTGGAGAATTTCCTGGAGATGGTTTCTTAGATTTGGAGCCTGAGGGGCGTTTGTGTTTGTCTTTCTGTGGGTTTGTTAACGTCAGATCTCAGGTTTGTTGTAGGTTCTCTTGTGGGCCTGTTGGTGTCCGTTCTCAATTGTTTGTTGTAAGAGTGGGAATCCTGAACAAACAACTCCCCTTTAGGGGCTAGTGTTTTTTTTTTTTTTTGCTCAGGCTTTTTGTTGGGCACTTGCTGTGGGGTTTGTGCGTCTGGACAAAATCGACTTCTGCAATGCCTGCCGGGCAGAGGGGCTGAATGACTCACAAGGTTGTTTTGCCCCAATAGGCTCCAACAAACAAAAGGTTTCAGGTTCCCCCTACTCCAAGAACCAACGCTTCTTCAGTTGGTATTTTTTGGGGAAACCGATCGGTTTTCCATGGTAAATACTTCCTTTTTTGGTAGAGGGTCGACATGATACCCTGCAAGAAGAGGGTGTTTGGAGTAGGGGGTTTGCTTGGTTAGACAGAGAAGGCACCGGTATGGCACTGGTTTAGGTGGGTTTCGTTCCACTTTCCCTGGCCGTCTATTTTTCCAAAGGGTCCCCTATGGGCATGTGTTGTTCCAAGCCCCTGATGTATTACCCAAATCAATGTGATTTGTTACCCAAGTCCCTTTGAGACATTTTTCCCTCACTTTTCCAGGCCAGGCAAGTAAGGAGAAACAGGAAACCCTTGGATTTGTTTCCCTCAGGCTCTTAGAGAACCTTTCCCTTGGCAGCTTTCCCCAGCCAATTGGGAGCCAGAATTTTCAGTCCCGCGGCCTGGCGGTTGGTGTCGAGTCTCGAGGCCTTGCGAGGGATCGAGGAGTGACCCGGTGAAGGATTTGGAGCAGTTGGTGGGGGAAGCGATCTGGAGCATCCAGGCGGGTTTGGCCGGGATCTCGGTCTTGAGTCATAGAAACCCAGAAAACGGCCGTGAAAATGACAACCCCGGACCCCAGATTGATCATCCCCAGTGCATTACATATCAATTATATAATTGGGGGTTCATACTGTGGATGGACGAAGTCCTGCACCACTTGGAAACCATGGGGTTACAGGCCAATCATTTCCCCCTAGGTTTCTTAGGTGGTGCAGGATTTCGTCCATCCACAGTAGAGACCCAGAAAACTGCCGGGAAAATGAGAACCCCGGACCCCAGACGAATCATCCCCAGTTCATGAATAGGGGGGTTCCCTCGGTTTAGTGAGGAATCATCGCTTTTGGAGGGGAACGCTCCGGGATCAACATTAGGCTGGTACGGAATTGGTATTGTTTGTGTTTCAATGGCAAGCTCGCTTGAGGGTAAAGCGAACGAAAGCCAAGTAGGCCTTTCATCCTATTAATTCGAGTTTTGAGATTACATATTTTTTTCCAGGGAAATGTCAGGTAGGCGCAGAAAGATAACCACATTTTCCGACTTAGATGACTGTCTCGCAAGGAAATCTGCTGGAAATCCTTGTTTTGGATGCTTGGCAAATTTCCCATGGAACTTCTGTTACCCTAAAAAAAGGTGGCACCCTCAAAAACAGAGCACCCCCAAATGAGTTGTGTCCCGCGATGCATCAACTGACTGGTTGCTTAGCATGTACGATCCGTGTCACTCTGACGTTTTCCTTCCAAACCCAAAGTTGTCGAATTGGGGCGACCTTAGTCGTTTGGACGAAACCCTCTCCCCCTCAGCTTAAACTGGCTCAGTATCGACCATCATTTCGCCAGTCAGCCTTGTGGATTTCATCAGTGATTTAGGCAAGGCTTGGAAACACCCTCCTATTGGTCCAGGACAACTGGTCTGAGCTCGACATTAGTTGTGATACATGGTCCAGGAGGGTAAATCTGGCAGATCCGCTTAAACTCAAAAGGGAACCTTTGTCGTAGGGTGTGTATTTTAGGGAAACCATGACCCACGAAATATTGGGCCATGGCTTACCTGCTTGGCCATGTTTGCTTAATTTCCAAAACCCCAGCTTTGGTGGCACCGAACACGCAAGTCTTTGGACAGATGGCGACACCTGTAGGGGGCGTGCGAAATCCGGGCTCATTCCCCTGATGGGTGTTTTTCTCCGGCATGTGTTTCAACTGGCCGCGATCGATCGTTTTGAAGTGCAACAATTCAACCATGGTGGGAATATTGGTTGCCAAGCGCCCCGAGTCCCGAAAACCCGGTGTGAACCAAACATCGAAAAGGAACCCACCAGAGGAACCTGCTCCTTCTGCAAGCGCGGCCGGTATTGCGAATTGGAACCAAGCGCCTTGAATTCGATCTCACCGTGGTCAACCGAAGGGGATGACAAATGAGTCACACTCACCCTACCATTACCCTCCTATCCATGGAGCCTGACGTTTCGGGGTCCTGTTAGTGGACAGGAGGGCAAATGGATTATACCCACCCTAAGGCTCCCGATTCACCACGGGGCGGACTACCAATTCGGGGTCTTGCGCTTGATCCAGCTACAACCCCCACACCCCAACACACCCCAAACTCTCGACCCCTGCCTGCGAGGCCCCAAGAGAACATCATTTGATTCGCTTTCATGTAACGCACTAATTACTAGGCGAGGGGTTGAATGTAGGAGTCAACGGGGAGGGTGAGCAAGACTTGTAGGAGCTCCCTGTGCCTCCGTTTACCTGGTAGGTACAAGTTGCGTTTCTCCGTTCAACAGCGCGCGGAGTTGCCTGTTTCGCCCCACGAAACCCTAACCAGTCGCAGCCAGGGTTTCAAGGTGACAAAAACAGAATCGTGAACCCCGTCCCATTTTGCATGCTCAGTGCTGAAAAGGCGCAAAGTTAAAGAAAGAACCGCTTGGTGGAAATTTGGCAGGAGCAGCCACAAAAGCTCGGTTTTGAGCCAGCGTGCACTGCTTCAGTCTGCGCCTGCGACAAGACTGGGCGTTCACCATGCTGGCAGCACACGCTTGTGTATGACCGCGCAAATAGGAACTGCTTGATCTAGCTCAGAACACGGCGGCCAACCAATAGGGTATTGCCTTGCCAGCTGCCTTTGGAGAAATCGGCGGGCGCGTAGCACGCAAAGTGCGGCGAAGGCTACGACAATCAAGCGCAGCTGCAACATCCAATTGTTGGCGGGCACACTGGCGCATTGCCAGTCGCAAAAAGCCTTTTAGGCGTGGCGAGGAGTTAGGAGCACACAAAACGTTTGGTCTGCGTAAGTAGGTATGCACTGATCCATTCAAAGCTTTGCCAGTTTCTCGGAACTCGGGGGCGGCAGATGTCGTGGGTGATGCGATCCGTGCCACCCTGCAGCCAAGCCCTGCATAGTCAACAAAGCAATCATGAAACAGCCCCTCATACAGGTCAACAGCAGATGGTCAACAAAGCGCGAAACAGCTCTCATCACACAGACATCCACGCGTGGCCCATCCGCAAGATCCACCGACCCCAGAGCATGGTGCTTGGGGCTTGTTTAAGCTGGGGTTTTGTCAGGGGATCATTTTTGCGCCGACGTCTTTCTGACGCTCGCGGAGTCACGGCGTAGATTGTTGAGGCCCGAAATTTGACGAGGCCAACCGACGCAAACTGACGCCGACCGACGGCTTTCTGACGCTCGGGGCGCTGAAGTGTCGTAACTTCGCAGCCCCAAGGAGGCCAACCGACGCCAACCGATGCCGACGGATGGCTTTCTGACGCTCGGGGCGTCGAAATGTAGTAAGTTTGAAGCCCCACAGAAGGCCAACCGACGCTAACTGACGCCAACCGACGGCTTTCTGACGCCGGGCGCGTTGAAATGTAGTATACAGTTTGAAGCCCCAAGAAGGCCAACCGACGCCAACTGACGCCAACCGACGGCTTTCTGACGCAAAAGGAGGCCAACCGACGTTAACCGACGCCAAGCCAACTGACGCCAAAACCCAGCATCCCCAGCAACACTCTCTCCATCACCTGCAAGGAAGAACTCCCAACTTCGACAGGTTCCCAGGCACCACCAGCAACTCAACCAGATCCCTACACCAATTTGTGTTTGGTGTCTGCGTTGCTGTCTCAAGAAGCCGCGTGTTTGCCACTGACAAACCTGAAAAGAGCTGCAGCCGGATGGGGGGGGGGCGCTGGCGGTTTGCGTCGGTTAGCGTCAGTTGGCGTCGGTTGAACAGGGCGTCGGTTGGCGCCCTTGGTCGGTTGGCGTCGGTTGGTGTCGGTTGGCGTCGGTTGGCGTCGGCTGGCGTCGGTCGGCGTCTTGGCGTCGGTTGGCGTCGGTTGGCGTCGGTTGGCTTCCTGGCGTTAGTCTAGTTGCGTCGGTTGGTGTCGGCTGGCGTCTTGGCGTCGGTTGCCTGTGGTTGGCGCTGGTTGGCGGCGGCTGGCGTCGGTTGGCGTCGGCTAGCGTCGGCTGGCGTCGCCTGGCGTCGGTTGGCGTCGGTTGGCGTCGGTTGGCGTCGATTGGCGTCGCCTGGCGTCGGTTGGCGTCGGTTGGCGTCGGTTGGCGTCGGTTGGCGTCGGTTGGCGTCGGTTGGCGTCGGCTGGCGTCGGCTGGCGTCGGCTGGCGTCGGCTGGCGTCGGCTGGCGTCGGTTGTCGGCAGGGGACGGCGGAGTTTCATGATATCTTCCGAAGTCGCACGCGCAGCAAGCTCAAGATCGGAGACTTTTCCTGCTCGCGACCGATGAGGGCGCAGTGAACCTCATGGACCTTAACGTCAAAGCTCTGAGCAGGCAACCGCTGAAAATCTCAATCTGGCAGCAGTGGTTTTTGCACATCTTGCTGCACAGCAGCAGACATGAAGTTGCTACCGTAAATGTTCCTGCTTGCCCCCTGGACAGCCGTAGCCGGCTTTGCTTGATGTTCCCATCTTGCCCCCTGGACCCTCACAGCTTGAGTATAAATGAGTGTCAGCCAGCCCCGGTTTTCGGGGTGTCGCGGGGCGTGGACCTAAAATCTTGGAGGCCCCAGGAAGCCCCAAGGTGTCTCCTGGCCAAACCCCAAAATGACGGGGTGTGAGTGGCACAGCCTGGGGCGAGGTACGAGCACCCCAAGGAGACTTAGGGCAGGGTTACCGGGTTATAATAACAACCTAGTTGCCGATTCGCCTCCTTCAGTACCCCTCAAACAACGACTCACCGTGCAGGCAGAGAACACCCTGAGTATGCCCTTGATCTTCCTGAGCGCGTACTAGTGGAACATGATTGATTGGTTTCCCACGGACGGAGCAGGATTTTCGTTTGGAACCCAAGAAAGGGTGGCGATCAAATCGAGAATCCGGTCATCCATTGGAATCTGGGATTCTTGGTTCGTGAGAAGCCCCCCAAAGCCCCGCACCTACCGATTGAGTGATCCGGTGAGTAATTCGGACTGATGCAGTGCTCAGCTTCTAGCTTCTGGACGTTGCGTCGGAAAGCTTTACGAACCTTGTCACTGAGAGGAAGGAGAAGTCTTCCCCCGATTTTTCCTCGGTTTTCCAAGGCCAATACCTCCTTTCTTAGTAGAGGCTCGACATGAGACCAACTGAAAAAAGGCCGGGTATTTGGAGCTTTCGGGGGTTGTTTTTTTCCCAGGGCTCCTCAACAGATACACTTTCCAACCATTTGAAACATGTTGTTTTTTCAACACCATAATAAAGGGAAACCACCATTTACAAGTTGCAATGCTCAGGTGTTTTTTCATGCATCCGGATCCCTGTTATGTAGTTTGTTGGTCCTGTTTTTGTTTAGTGGCGTAAGTGGGTCCCTCATGGTTGTTCTTGGGAAACATTTTGTTTTTTTGTTAAAAACAAATTGCTTGTGGTGGTTGAGTGGCTAAAATCCCCACTGTGGTTTAGTGGTTCTTGGATCCCTGATTCTCCAGGCGGAGAATGGGCTGAGCACTGCCACCGTGGAGTTCGCCTACTTCAACGTGCCCCACGCCTTCACGGGCAAACCCTGCGCCGTCGAGGCGGGCGCAGGGGGGGAAAGCGGCAACGTTTTTGTTTTGTTTCCCCAGTTGGTTTCCCCAGTTTGTTTTCCTTGTTTGTTTCCCCCCCCGATTTGTTTTCCGAAAAGCTTACCTAGTGGATCCCAGGCGTTTCGCCCATAGAGTCCAGGCAATCAGCTACCTGGAACCCCAAGTAGCTACTTTCTTCCAGCCACTTTACCCACTAGTAGCCCATAATGTGGCAAAAGTAGCCGGACAATAAGGGCAACTGGGGATCTACGTATGTTCTTTTGGTTTTTCATGGGTGGTTTTTCTGGTTACCTACTAGAACTGGTAAATGGATCGCCTGGGCTAAGATTTAGCAAGGGATCAAAGAAGCGAGAGCAGTTGGTGCGAGTCCAGATTCAAGCAAGTCTCGCTGCCCGCGCTGCCATGCGCGATTGCTCTGTAGTGACCTGGCGTAGTTCTGACGCTGGCGGGAACAGCCGCCAAGTGCAGGAGCGTTGATTTTGCGGCCGCCCTGGAAAATGGCTCCCTGGTTTCTCGGAGAAATCGAGATCCTGACAGCTCTCCGCAAGTTACCACAGCCGCGTGCTGGAGTTGCTTGAATCTGCGAGTGCACCAACCGTGCTCGTGCCCGGCTGTTGTTGGCACGATGGCCCCAAGTCACAACAGAGCCGTCTTGCAGGATGGCAGCAAAAGCTCTCTCTTGCCCCAAGTCAGCACATCCCAATTGAAAGGGTGCGAGTCCAAATCACCTGCTGTGCTTTTGCTGCCCTGGATTGGGGCGATCCGGTTTAGGTGGTGACAGCAGTCAGGTTCGGTCTCAAGACTGGTGAAAGGGCTGTCTTAGCCTTGCGGCAGAGAATGCTACTTGCTGTCTTCTTGACGGTGGATTTTTCAGCAGCATTATTTGCCAACGGCACGGAATGTCTCATAGCCAGCCTAAAATTCCGATCCCCTGAAGGCATGTCGCCTGTTCCAATGTTTTCTCAGCTTGGCCTATCAATCCGGCAACCCCGCAGGTTGACCTTTTCCGGGTGTGCTTGTTGGGATTCAATGTGTCATTTTTTTGCAACCAAATGAATCCCAACAGGGGAAACCACTTTGTTCGCAACCAAATGTGCTAGATGTTGTTCTCACATTCCTTGTTGGTCGCGCAAAAAAAATCAAGACATTTTGCCAAGGGACCAATTGCCTCGGAGCCAGAAGAGGCCCTCACTCCCTGAGTGCCGGGACTGGGACTTGAGTCACTTTGGGGTTTGGACCAGTACTCACTTGCTGCCCAAAAAAAGTTCAAACTTTATATTTACCACTAAAATGGTCTTCCCAAAAAGTTTAAAGTTCATGAACAGTAAAGAACTTAAGTTTCGACAACTTTTATGGCCTCTCCACTCAAAGGAGTCAGTAGGGGGTTCTCTCAGCTTAGTACTTTTGAGCCTTTGGGTCTTTCAATGGAAGACCCGACCCCTCCATTAGACACCCGAGAGGTGGTTGGTCTCACAACCAGCTTGTTTGAAGGCCCTTTTTCTTCAATCGAATTGGAGCCTCTAAATAATAGTCTCCACTCAGGAAGTGAGTTAACAGTTGGGGGTTCCCTCGGTTTCGTACTTTTGGAGGAGAACAGAGCCCTATTAGTACCGTGGGTGGACGAAATCCTGCACCACTTGTCGGAAGGAAAACCGGGGAATCATCCTTCGAGGGTGTCCGAACGGTGGTGCGACATGGATTTGGTCCATCCGGGGTCGAGGGTCCCCGGACGGCCAGGCCGCGAAGGCCGACACGGCCAAGCGGGTGCTGTGGTACCTCCGATGCCCGGGGTACCAGAACACTTACGCGTCTCGATTCCCCATTCGGCACGGGAGGGATGGCACGGATTCAGCGGCGCGGGGCTGGAACCTTCAAACTGCCCATCGAACTGGGTGATTGCCCACAAAAACGTGGGGTGAGTTCCTGTTTTGTTTATGGGAAGTTTGAGGGTCCAAGCAGGTCTTTTTTCAGTCAGGCAACCGCCCCAAACCTCACCTTACCACCTGTAACTAAGGTGTTCCTCCGGGCTTGGAAGAAGGATGCAACAAAACTCTGCCAGCACACCCCCCTCCCCCAAACAAAACAACCCCCTACTCCAAATACCCGCTTATTTCCGGGTATGTTTGTGCAAACCTGATTTTCCACAGTAAATACCGCTTTTTAAGTAGAGGGTCGACATGATACCCTGAAAAAAGAGGTGTTTGGAGTAGCGGGACTACATGTTTTAATAAAGTAAACATAATAATAAATACGCAAAAACAAAGAAGCACAGGAAGAAACCTTGGCTGCTGAGCGGAAGCAAATTTGTGGGTCTTGCATTAGGCATCCAAGGGTCCGACTCGGTGTTCTTCTCGTTCGGAGGGGCTTTAAAGGCATTATCAAGGTCTGATTTGGAGGAAACTAGGGGGGATGTGACCTTAGCCCCGTGGACTTGTTGGAAACAACTAAGGTCGATCGCGACCTTTTGCGGGTTCGGGGAGCTTGGGTTGCACCAACCTGGTTTGCCCTTGCCCAGTGCTTCCAGGAGTTTCGCCACTATGTGAGGTATCCAGGGCGCCAATCCATCAATCCATGGCAGGTCAAAATCAGTGCTGGTTACAGGGCTCGCTGGATTTTCCACAAGGTTGCAATTTACTGGTGGTTTCCATGGACACCATCGCCACTTGTCTTCCATTCGCTCAAGAGTCGATTTCACTGACGGCGCACATTTTCTCATGTTTGCTCAGGAGACGAAACTGCAATCGACAGTTTTGGAGGTTCCCGTTTTTCTCTCGGACGGTCCGGGGCTTCCGAGCTTCCCTTCTAGGTCCCCCAGCTTGGAGCCCGTTCTTTAAGGTTGGGGGATTTGGTTCCCCTACTAAAATAGACTACAGAAAAAAATCGGGTACCAACTTATGCTAACCTCTCAAATCTGGAGGACCTAGCCTTTAGGCCGAACAGGTTCGTCAAAACATCGCCTGAGGAGATGGAGCCGGAGCAGGTGAAGACCTTAGCCTTCAACATCCCCGAGGTGCGCGTGCCGCCGGCAGCTGGCCCGGAGCCCTCCGTTGCTCGGCTTTCGGTGGGGGGGCGGGGGCGGGGGCGGGGGGGATGGGGAGAGAGACGCCCTGAGCTGCTGACTTTGCTCTTCCTCCCACTAACATGCTGTGGCGGACGCTGGATTTGAAACCAGAAGGTTTGTTGGCATGTGCACGGGAATCATCAGAAACCAGGGTTGAAGGTTTGTTGGTATTTGCCTTGGGGAATCATCAGAAACCGTTGGGTTTCTGAACGGTGGTGCGAAATGTGTCTTGTCCTTTCACAGTAGCCCTTTCTGTGGGAAGGTACCTGGCAGATCAAATTCTTCTTGAAGGGAGCCCCTGTCAGGTGCCATGTTGGGAGGGAGGGTAAGTTTTCGGGAAGACAGTTTTAGTGAGCAAGAAGGTTGGGCGATGTGTTTTGCCAAGCCACTCAACATACCGATCTTTCGGGCTCCCCCTATTTTGAGAAGCAAGCATATAGGGGAAGGAGGCGCGCTCTCCATGATGTAATGTGGGTCATTAACTTCAGGATCCTATTCTTATCTATCACTACTGGACATATGTTCTCATTTCTTCCAGGAGGCTGAAGCCAATGGAAGTCTAGGTGTTTGTTTACCGATAGTAAGATGTACAGACGTTTCACGTAAATCCAGTTTGGGCACTGGGATCCGGCGACTTTTGAGCTCAGTTCCATTGCTTCCCGGGTTTTCTTTTGTTTCGAGTGATTTCCCTTAAAAGTCTCAACTGGTACAAGGGGCTAAATAACTACTAGATAGTTGACGCCTCGAATCACGACTACATTTGGCTTTCAAGCACACACCCATCCTGTGTAGCACCAAGAAAAGAGTGCCCCTGGACCGCCAGTGGCCGTTTTTCCATGAACTTTACCCCAAAAAAACCGATCGCAACAGTGACTGAAAAAAAAAGAAGCGAGCGCCGCTCGCCACGTGGCCATTTTTAGGCCCGCGCCTTTTTTCGGCCACGGCCAAGCTGTCGGTTTTTTTTTCCCCCCTTTTCCCCGCCTCCAGGAGGACTCCGAGTGCTGCAGCCCCACGTCTCCGAGCGAGCTTTTGGAGCGGAAGACCACGGTCATGCGCCTGCAGCGCCTGGGCACCGACTCCACTCGACTCGGCACCACCAATCGACTCGGTGGAACGTAGGCGTAGGAAGTGGGGCGCGAAAACCCCCATGCCTTTGGCGCATTTTGCCCAGGGGATGGTTAGGGCCAACTAGGTTTTTTGCCCACGTTATTGGGTTTAGTTCTCCTGGGTGTTCGATTAAACCGCTAAAAGTCATTCAGTTTTAGCAGGGGAGCAGAAAGCAACCGAGTTTCCAGAAATGAATTGGTGCGGATATCCGCCCTTGTCAATTCTGCACATGGCTCTGGGTAGACCAGGTGTTGATTATGACTTGGTTGGCTTGGTTTGGAGGTGTTCTGATGGGTGGTTTTCGATTTGCCCTCCTAGAAACCAGGAGTTTGAATCCAAATGCAAACTTCCAATCCAGACAATGGACCACAAAAAGTTGCAAACTTTTTGCAGAGGGGTCAACAGCAACCAAGGAGTGTTCCCTTTGTTGTGGTTTTTCAACCCCTTTCTGTGCCTTCCATTCTTCATTTAGTCTGATAGACGTTCGCAAGAAACGATGTGCTTTTTGCAGCAATTTCAATGGATCCCTCAAAAGCAAATTTATTGAGGGGTTCTTGAAATTGCTTTTGGGGGGCAGCTGCGTTTTTGCCGCAATTTAGACCATACCGTTGAGGATGTGTCTTGTATTGTCCCAGTTTCATGTTCTAGTCAAATGATTGATTAAGTTTCCACCCACATACCTGACGTAATTGACTCGGTTGTTTAAAGCCATCCTTTGATACAGACCAGTCGGCCTTTTGGGTTTCCATTTTTTCCACGTTTGCTGGCTCAAAAAGCTAAAGGGTATATGTCAAAATACTGTCGGTGGACGAAATCCTGCACCACTGGCATAGATGAACTCCTTTATATACTGGGATAAACATCCAACCCACTGGTGCAGAATTTCGTCCGACTGGGTGTTTTTCTCTTTCGGCTTCCCTTTCAAACTACCTGAGCCCTGAAACTACCCAAAAGGAGAATTCAGCCCATATTTGTTTGGGCAACAACCCAAATTTGAGGGTAGTTTGAGGGTCCAGGTACCTGAGAACGGTCTCCACCAAACCCATTTGCTTAAGAATATTTGTTTATATATTTTCCCTTGTTGGTTCTAAAAGGAAGTCATCACTACTGGACACATTTTTTCCTGGGGCCTTAACCAAATGGAAGCCTCGCTCCCGATGAAACGCCGGCGGAACGCCCCAGGAATCGCTTGCAGAAGATCTTCGCCAAGCAGCTCACTTCGGGCAAAAGCGTTTGGTGTTGGCGCTACGCGCCTGGGATCAAATTAAACCACCAGGAATCTTTTGACCGCAGGTTTTAATCTATGTTACCACTTACCAGGGTGAGAAATGGGGTACCTATGTCTGACCCACGGCCAATTCATGTTCTAAGAAGACGCAGGGGGGCCACATGATATACCTATGGGGAATGGGGATTCAACTAAAGCCCATGGTTTTTAAGTGGTTATTTGCCTTTTACCCACAAAAGCCGTGGTTATAAGGGTGGCTATTGCCCATTACCATGGTGAGATAACCCACAAGAGTCATTCCTTTTTTGTGTTTACGTTCAGTGGGCTAGGTACAGGCACGTAAATGAGGGATGTCATAATTCGGGGCCCTTTGAACAAAGTGCACGGGGTGGCATCGGGGCCCTACAAGGGGCCAGCCAGGCTGGCCCAGAGGCTCCTGTCCAATGGAAGACCGACCCCTCCATTAAACACCTCGGTAGAGAAACCCCCTAAATTGCCGCCAAAATGGGCTGGAGTAGTACTCCACGTGCTTCTGAGTGATGATTCTTATTGAGTGGCTTTATGGTGGAGTGAGGTTTGCTTGTTGGACCTGTCACTTTTTTAGCCCTTGGGATTGGGGGAAAGTACCCTCTTCTGCAAAAAACCTCTTTTCGGGGCTAGAGTTTAGATGGGCACTCCTGTTCAATCGAGTTTGATGGAATTTGATTGGAATCTAAGCACAATTTAACGCGGAAACATCTCAAGCATAGTGTGCTTTGATATTATGCTAAAGCTCAACTATGGATTATTTGCCAAATATGGCTTTAATTGAAGTTCAACTAGAATGTAACACACATACAAAGTCCTGTTGTTTTTTCATTGGCTCGCCCCTCAAACAGAGGGAAAACACAAAGTTAACTTCAAGGACCATTGTAACGTCAGCTCTGAGATTGAAGCAAACCAATTCATTGTTGTGTATATATATATATATATGGGGTTGTCCTTTTTTGGTGTGTTGAGTTGCTTCAAAAGGCAGAAGGTGGGACCTCCCCGAATCATACCCCCGAATCATACCCCTTAAAACGTATGCTGCAAGATGCTACTGTTCTTCTACCGTTTTGCGTTGTTCACTGCCTCCACAACAACCACCACCAGCGCTACCCAATACTACCACTACCACTGCTACTACTACAACTACTACTACTACTCCTCCAATTACTACTACTATGCTACTACCACTACTACTACTACTACTACTACTATTACTACTACTACTACTACTACTACTACTACTGCTACTACCGCGACTACGAGTATTACTACCACTACTACCGCTACTACCGCTGCTACTACTACTCTACTGCTTCTACTTCTGCTTCTGCTACCCTCACTACTAACTACTACCACTACCACTACTACTACTACTACTGCTGCTACTACTACTACTACTGCTACTACCGCGACTACGAGCATTACTACCACCACTACCACCGCTACTACCGCTGCTACTACTCTGCTGCTTTTGCTACCCTTACTATATACTACTACTACTACTACTACTACTATTACTACTACTACTACTACTACTACTCCTACTACTACTACCACTGCTGCTACTATTACTACTACTACTACTACTACTACTACTACTACTACTACCTACTACTACTACCACTACTACTGCTACTACTACCACTGTTGTTACTACTACAATATTTCTATTAGTACTACTTCTTCGACAACTTCTGCTACTACCACTGCTGCTGCTTCCGTATTGTAGTAGTAACAATAGTAGTAGTAGTAGCAGTAGTAGTAGTAGTAGGAGTAGTAGTAGCAGCAGGAGTAGTAGTAGTAGCAGTAGTAGTAGCACTAGTAGCAGTAGTAGTAGTAGTAGCAGTGGTAAATAGTAGTGGCAGTATTCGTAGTAGTAGTAGTACTAGTACCAGTAGTAGTAGAAGTAGTAGTAGCAGTAGTAGTAGTAGTAGTAACAGTAGAAGCAGCGACTGTAGTGGCGCGGAAGCTTTGAAAAGACTTGGCGCTGGCCTTGGCAAGGCAAGTTCATTGCGTGGGTATGATTCGGGTATGATTCGCGGGTATGATTCGGCGGCACTGATGACAAACTCAGAGTGATGAATGTAGTAGTAGCTGTGGTAGTAGTAGTAGTAGTAGTAGTAGTAGCAGTAGCAGTAGTAGTGGTAGTAGTAACAGTTGCAGAAGTAGTGGTAGCAGCTTGTAGCATAAGCAGCAGCGTTTGTAGTGGTGCGGACGCTTTGAAAAAGACTTGGCGCTAGCATTGGCAGGGGAAGCTCACTGTCCGGGTATGATTCGGGTATGATTCGCGGGTATGATTCGGCTAGGTGCAAAACGGCAGAATGATGTAGTAGTAGTGAGTAGTAGGCAGCAGCAGCAGCAGGAATAGTAGTAGTAAAAGTACAAGTAGTAGTAGTAGTAGTAGTAGTAGCAGTAGTAGTAGTAGTAGAAGTAGTAGTAGTAGTAGTAGTAGTAGTAGTAGTAGTAGTGGTAGTAGTAGTAGTAGTAGTAGTAGTGCAAAGCGAATGCGGCGGTGCGCAGCCTGCCAAGCTCTCTGGAGATGAGTATGCTAGGTGAAAGTCTACTTGCAGGGCTCTGGGGAGAAGAGCTATGCGGCTGAGCATCATCAGGACATGATGAGCCGAGCACAAGAAATGGCAGACCGGAGCCTGCAGCAGCACCTGGCCATGTGGCAGCGGTGCACAGCCCGGGCAGTGCGAGCAGCAGAAGCGGAAGCAGGGGCAGGACCGCCAGAAGCAGCAGCAGCAGCAAAACCACCAGAAGGAGAAGCGGAGGACGGCACGCCTAGCATTCAGTGTTGAAGTTGCAGCATGACATGAATAGGTTTGCTGTTGCGACTTGGTGCAGAGACATGTTGTCTTGAGGTTTGGTGCGACCGTGTGAGTTGCATCCACTTGAGGTTTGATGCGACCGTGTGAGTTGCATCCAGATGAGGTTTGTTTGGTGCGACTGTGAGTTGCATCCAGAAGAGGTTGTTTGGCGCAGCAACGTGTGTTGCGTGCGCTTGGGTTGGTTGAGTTGTCAACGTGCTTGCAACTCAGTTTGTATTGCAGATGAGTTTGCACCGTGAGTGCAACTTAGCCTTGTGCTTTGCAAGCACAAGTGTTTGCATAATGGTGCGCTGGGATGTGTGGAATCCGTTTGCAGTGCAAAGCAGTTGGGTGCGCAGGAGCTCACTGGATTGTTTGCAGAACATGCTTACAGCGCAGTGCGGCACGATGTAATTGCATGAAGCCTTGTAAAACTTGTGCGAAGCCTTAGCGCAGGACACGCGTGTACGAAGCCCATCAAAAAGGGAAACCTGCAGGAAATCCGTGGAAACCCGCGCGACACCCGCAGGAAATTGTTGGAAACCGGGAAACTTGGACGCTTGCGTGAACCCAAGGAAACTTACGCGCGAACGAGCGGAACCCATGCGACAAGGAAATCTGCAGGAAACCCTCGCAAGAAACCATCGTGCAAAATCCTGCGTGCAAGAGGCAAAGAAGGTCCAAAGAAGGTCCCGCGCGGATTTGAACCGCGATCGCTGGATTCAGAGTCCAGAGTGCTAACCGTTACACCACGGGACCAGCTGCCACCGTCTAGAAATCGTGGCCCGCTGGCCTTGTGCAGATTGCCCGACACCTTCCCATGCTTTGCCGCCCCCGAATCATACCCGCGAATCATACCTGCGAATCATACCCCGTACTCAAACCTTCCTGGCCGTCCCCCGTAAAAAATGCAAACCCATATAGATTCAATGCTAAATAAGTGTTTAATCAGCATAATATATATATAGAAGCACGTCCATAACATTTTTCACATGTCAATAGCAAATTGTATATATGGCTGTGGCTCAAAAACATGTACCAAAATGGCCCCTTGGCAAATGGAACCAAAGACTATCATTTGAGTATCCCTAGCTCTTCAAGTTTGAGCCACACTCATATATCATATATACACGTTATATGTATAATATATGTATATATATATATATATATTTATATCTGTATTTGTTTTGAAAACTCGGTATTGCACGCTCTTGTTTTGTTGAGGTTTTACACACTTTCTGAGATAATACGTAAATTCCTTCATTTTGTGTGTTGTTTTTTGTTAAAAAAGGCTTTTTCTACTTGTCCAGTCTACGTTGTGTTTGTTTCATGAAAAACATGAGATGGTCTGTGTTTTGTTGGTTCCTGGTTTCAAAAGCGCAGGCCCCGTGGCGTACGCTACTGCTTTCTTTGGGTGGATGTTGTTCAAATGAAAAGCCTGATATTCTGTGATAAGCTCCTTCTTTTTTAGCCAGGGATTGACATAATACTCTTAAAAGGAGTCGTTTTACCCTTTGGAGCCCGTCGTTTGAATGGGGAATAAGTTACCAGGGCCAATGTATTGCTTAAACATTTTTGAACCACTATTAAAAGAATTAAACCTATTCTTAAATCTGCTCGCGTTTTTGCACCCATCCTTAAGCACTTTTGGTTTCTCTTTCAACCCCCGAGTGTTTTCACAGGTCGTTTGATTTGTTCCTTTGCACGGGGCCCTTCTGGTTTCTCTAAAACAACCTGCGAGTGTTTGAAGGCCAAAGGGCTTCATTTGGCCCTTTGTTCTTCCACCGATTTCGAGGAGAAGAATGAGGAGGACAGCTTCCAGGCGGGGCTCGGCCCTTCCCGCTTCCGGAGCTCCGATTGAGGGAGAAAACCTTTCGGAGCGAACACACGGTTGTTCCGGAGCTCTCAAAATCGGAGTCCGGGGCGGGGGGGGGGGGAAGCGCTCCAACGATTTGTTTTTGTCCCAGCCGAATTCCGTCATAACGGGAGTCGTGGGTTTGGTTGGGTGCTGAACCCGTTCGCCGATTCGCCAGCGGCAAATGCACGAGGATCTTGGTATTCAACTTGAACTCAGACTGGAGCATTCACAGCAGCAGCCCATGTTCCTTGCAACTCATGTGTCCGCCCCCCCAATAAACAGAATCAAGGGCACTTTGAAAGCTGCTCGCGAAGGGCAGAGGCTTTTGTGACCTTTAACGAGTGGGGTTGCAACTCCCGCTTTTTAAGACTCTCTTGCCCAACGCCGATCTTTGACCTTTTAGTTGACTTTGCTCGTCGGTTTCCAGTCACGGCCCCAAAACGTTAACCTTTTATGTCTTTGCCCTTTGGGCTGGACCCTTAAACTTTCCATCAGAATGGGATATGTCCTACTTAGTTTTGGAGGGTGGTTTCAACGATAGCCAAGCTTCAAAGTTGAGGTGGGTTTGCTTCAAGGTCCAGGTGGGTTGCTCACTTTTGTGTTACTCCTTGTTTTTGGTGCTTTTGTTTTTCAGGGAACCGAAAGTCAGGTCCCCTCAATTGGTGGTTTGGATTTGGATTTGCACAGCGAGTTCTCAAGAGTAAATGGGATTTTAGTCCAAACAGCACTTTGGAAGCAATCACGGCGCTGAACATCATAAATTTTCATTTTTGGGTGCAGTTCGTTTTGTTTCAGAACAAATAATGGAAAAACGGAAATTGATGGTGTTCAACGCCCTGATTGCTTCCAAAGTGCTGTATGGACTAGAGACGCTGGAACCAACGGACGCAGCTGCAAACCTCTTGAACACCTTCCAATTGAAAGGGCTCCGTAAGATTCTGAAACTACACACCACGTACAAAGACAGAACAGCAACGAGTATGTCTACAGAAGAGTGAACGAGATTCTTCAGGCGCCACCCCAAGGGACGTAAAACCCGCCCCTTCACTGAAATGCTGGAAGACAGAAAGCTCAAAATGCTGGCACACGTTCTGAGAGACCTCACCCCGAACACCAAGTAACACTCAGCACAGCATCGGCCATTCCCCGGGAAACGCAATCCACCCAACATGCCTTTTGATAATAAGGATAGCGCTTGGATCCGTCAGCACCTCATCACGCAGGCCAGAATTCACCAAACGCCGTTTTGAAGGCTACCGTATCAGTCCTTCTATGTGACACTCTTTGTGACGAGCCTGGGCACACACAGGCTTTGTGCTGCATTCCATTTTTTATTGCTGTGGCCACTTCCCTGCAAGAGATCAGCGATATCCAGCACATCTTTTTCCCAGACTTCTCACAGTAGGCTAGAGCCAAGGCTGCGCGCTACAGATGGTAGCGAACCATGGCCAAAGAAAATGGGATTCCACCAACTTCCAAACCACTAAAGCAGACCTCCAACTACGGGAAGCTTAAAAAGGGCGGCATTGTCCCACCTCTTTTTCACCCGAAATTTATCTTTTTTACATCATCTTCTTCGTGGTGGTTTTCCAAGAAAACCAAAAGGACAACTCAAAAGCTCCCCCAACACCTCGTGGTTCCTCCTTTTGTGGTATTTTTGCGGGGAAACCACGAGGAACGCCAACAAACATTCTAGGGGGTGATTCCCAATTCTTTCCAACCATCTTTTTTTTTTAATCCAGCTATTTTCCTGGGTTTTTGGAGGTTTTCTGGAAAGAAGGCTGCCTGGAAAGAATGGAAAAGGAAGGTACCAGTAGAACTACTGGAACTACTGTGGATGGATAAAATCCTGCATCACTTCGAAACCATGGTTGAAACCATTGGTGGGGGATTTAAACCCGCCCAACTTGGGTGGTGCGACCAGGTCTTATGCTGTCCGGGCAACTAACCATTACCCAATACCACCGCCTAGATTCATCAGAAAGAGAAGGGTTTCTTAGGTGATGCAGGGTCAAGCCTTTGTGGGCGGGCCCGACGGAGGCCTCCGTGCACATCGCGCTGCTGGACCGTACCTTTACTGGGACCTGGGAGTCCACCCACCAGGCGGGTCCATGGGAACCTTCGCGATCTTCTTGGCGCTACATGCAGACGTGCGTGCGTGCGTGCGTACATACATACATATATATATATATATACACATACAGATACGTATACATCTACATCTACATATACATATACATATGCATATACATACATACATACATACATACATACATACATACATACATACATACATACATACATACATACATACATACATACATACATACATACATGCATGCATGCATCCATACATACATACATACATACATACATACACACACATACATACATACATACATACATACATACATACATACATACATACATACATACATACATAGATACATAGATACATACATACATGCATGCATGCATGCATGCATACATACATACATACTTACATACATACATACATACATACATACATACATACATACATATGTGTATACACACATACAGATACATATACAGATACATGTACATGCACATCTACATCTACATATACATATACATATACATATACATATACATACACATACACATACACATACACATACACATACATACATACATACATACATACATACATCTGGGTGAATTACAACGACCTCACGCGACCGAATTCACCCCAAATGGTGGTTTATGTGGGGAATAGCAGCCGAAAGCCATCTTATTTCAGGTTGGTGAAATATTAGAATTCACCCAGATACATACATACGTACATACATACGTACGTACGTACATACAAACATACACACAGAAGGGGTCCAGTTTCTCGCAGTCTTCTTCGCCTGAATGTAATAAGTCTAATTCAAACCCTTGTTGGTTTTAAAGGGAAGCAATCTATGACTACTGGACATATTTCCCCTTGTTTTGCAAGGGGGCTTAAGCAAATGGAGGCCTTGTTTCAGGGGTCTTCAAAAGGATTTGCTGCATGGTTTCCTTTACCAGGTCTCATCATTTTCTGAGGACGTCATCAGGACCTACCCTTGTGACCACTTCGGAGCAAGTGAGAGAAGATCACCGACCTAACTCGGCGTCACGTTCCTTATGCTTCTTAAATTTGCGAAAGAGCACACGCGCGAGAATGACTGTATTACATATGTCATTGCTATGTCAGATCCCCACCCCCTTTGGGTCCGAAAATGGGGGGGGGGGACGTCTGAAAATGTAATTTGCATTTTCGGCCCCCTCCCCCCAAAAAAACAAATGTAAGGGACCCCCCCCAGGCGTGTGTATTTCCAGTTTTTGTTGGGGGGGGAGGGTTAAAGGGAAGGCAGGTTCCTGGGAAGGGGAGTCGACAAGATGTAAGCTGATGATGCTGGAGGGGCAGATGTGGCGCATGCACAGAGGTTTTTGAAGAGAACTTGGTCATGTGCGAGCTACCTTTTTGATTGGCCCACCAGCGGCCAAAATGTCATTTTACATCTTGCCACGTCTCCGGAAGAAAATGTAGTCTTAGGTTTTTCGGTGGCAAGCCCCAGAAATGCAAATTACATTTCCAGACGTCCCCCCCCCCTTCAACGGCGTGGGGATTATGTCAGTGCACATTTGTGTATTTATGTATTTGAATCACTGTACGCTTGCGCATACGAACCCATATATGCTGGTGTATATATATATACACATAGTTATTCACAGATATCCTTTGCCCATGTGTCGCGATGCCTTCTATTTGTCTGAATGCATTCAGGTTCTGCCGGCTTTCGGTGCGGCTCGCTCTCAGCGTCTCAGGCCGCGCAAATGGAGGCATGCAACCAATTGACGGCATATCTGGACAAGGAAGGGCTGAAGTTCTGAGGCGCCAGATCGCATGCCATAGCTCCTCTGAGTCTTAGACTTATCGGAAACATCAGGTCTTGTCCTGATTGCTCTTGGGTTCGGCGTGATTTGGGGGAGGAATTTTGTTCAGGTCAAGGGCATGCCCCTTGTCGGCGGATTTTTCACCTAGATTTTGGTCGATTCGCCGCGCCATTGCGCGGCGCAAGAACGGCAAAGAGGCAGCTTCGTCGGGGAGGTGGTAAATGGATGCAAGCCAAAGTGCTGTCAGCTCTCCAATCCACCAGAATCATGCCAAACAGAACTTGCCTTTCTGATCCTTTCTGCTTTTTCGGGGAGGCAAGTTTGCAGCCTCGCAGCTTCAGACAGTGTTCCAGTCGCAGCCTCTTGTGGTTTGCTTGGTTGAACTGTGCGACATTACCTCTAGCTTTTACGTCATTGGGACATGTGGTTGGGTCTTTGAAATTTGAACTTTTTGGTTGAAACAGCTCGGATTTTCCATTGGACGCGGGGGTCAACAAACCAAGCCGACCGGTTAATTTTTTGAAACCAGCCGTCACTCGTCTTCCTGGCGAGTTGCCAACCAAAATTGGGTGCAGTCCACATGGGTTTGAGGGTCCAGGTACCTTTTTAGGGAAAACTTCCCAGTTGATAGGACTTGTTGGGGTTCGCATTCGTATTTGTCCACATGAGTTGCGCGAGAGAAGCGTTTGGCCTGCATCCTGGATCCACAAACGTGGCTCCACCCGTCGCAGCACCAGCTGCGCCCCAATGACGCCTCTCGGTGCGAGTCTGGTCAGAGACACGATTCCGTTGCCCATGAAAAGGTCCTACGTCTACGACTTACTCCACAGCTTGTTTTGAGGGTGTTTTTTGGAAAACCTGGTTTTCCACTACAAATACCTCCGGTACCTTTTAGTAGAGGGCCGACATCATACCCTAAACGTATTTGAAGTAGGGGGTATAGCTTACAACCGTGCCTTTCAATGGGATATTTGGGGTTAGCTCCCTCACAACCATGGTGAATCACCTACTTAAAGTTTGTTTCCTTACCATGCAACCCATGAGAAGGCCCCCAGAGAAGAGAAGAATGGAGTTCCACGCTCGGGGGTCGTAAAAATCTTCGAACCCCACTGCCCACTGACCCTGGATACATACCAGGGATGAATTGAAGAGTTTCAGACGCAAGACGAAAACGCCCCGGAACCTGAGCCCTGGGCGACCCCCCCCCCCGTGTTTGATGGGTGCTTCTGTTTCCCAACACACCCAGTGGTGCCTTGGTTTCTTTTTTGAGAGTGACCTTTTAAAATCGAAGAGGGTGCCGATGTTTGTCCTATGTACGCGGGTTTGGAGTTCATCTGTATGTTTAGGAGATGCCTACTGGATAATTGATACATATGTTGGTCCACTCTGTATGAAAGAAGGTTCAGGCACAGAAGCAAACAGTTCTCTTCCATTTTGCGGTGTCCTCTCTACGTTCCTTCAAGTGTTCGATTGGACATCCAGTTGGAACTCTTTGGTATTTGTTGGGCCCGTGGTTTCGAAACCTACGCACGAACATGTTAGGGGGCTGTACTAATCAGAGGTGTTCTGCTTGTAGTGGGGGTTCCCACCTTAACGAGGGTATGTGTCCAAACTTGCCACCTGGGTATCATGTCTCCCTTTTTGTTACCTGCAAGTTGGTTCAAGCGCCGGCCGTCTCCCAGACAGAGAAATCGATTTTTTCAGCTCCTGGAGCCGAGCGCCTGACGACAGTGGCAGCCCAGGACCTTAGGCGGTTCTCTCACCAAAGAAAAGCCGCTCGTCAGGCGGTGCGGTTGGGGCCAACTTTGGCACCTAGGATTCTCCGAGATCCCTACTCCCTCGCAAAAGAACATGGCGTGTCGCCCAAAAGGAGAAACCACCCGAACCCTCAAACTACCCATAACAATTGGGCCATTGCCCCAATTTATGGGGTGATTTCTTGTTTTCTGGGTAGTTTGAGGGTCCAGGCAAGAGGTTTTGGATGGTTTCATGTTTCTGTGGGTCTGATGTACTCAGCTTCCATTGTTGGGTCAAAGGCCTTTTGGGTTGCCGGTTCAGAGGGTGCCCTGGGAACCACGGTGCCGGAAGGGTGAGGGTCAGAATGACCCTACGAGCGCTGCAGATTACCTGAAGATTTGGGACTGGGTTGAAGAATCGCCATGAGTTATACTCCCTACTCCAACAACCTGGGAAAACCGATCGTTTTTTTTTTTTTTTTAATAAATACCCAACCCGTTTTTACTAGAGGGTTGACATGATACCCTGAAAACACCAGGTATTTGGAGTAGGGGTTAAGCTTCCATTTGCTGAAATGAAGATTTCCTTATTAAACCTTGGTTTCTCGTATTTTCCTGACTTAGGCAAATGGAGGTAAGTCAGAAGCAAGGCGAGCTTCAAAGTAGCCCTAGCCTCTCAATTTGATCTAATGTCAACTTTGGATGTGAGTGTTCTCCAAAGTCCCTCTTTCAGGGGAAGTAAAGACTGCTCTCCACATGCGACCCATGCAACTTTCTATAGCCTGGTTGGCCTTTGAGTGGCCTGCATCGGGTTTCTTACTGACAGCGTACTAATTCTCAGTCGGCTGCCCCTTCAGAACTTCAGGTCGGCAAGAAAGGAGTGGTTGATCACCGCTTCCTATCCTTCATTTGTTCCTATCGGGAGGTAGCACTGATTGGGGATTTGCCGGCCAACCTTTCTGGACACCCTGCAGTTGCGTGCCTTTTGAGACACCTGCGGCAGTTTGTGCCGCCGGTGCGACGCGGACCACGGCTAAAATCGGCGCGCCTGGTGAAGCTAGGCAGCGCCTCCTGGTTCGTTGGGCTCGCTAAAGCGAAAGCGGGGCTTGCGTAAAACGTTGCAACTGGGCGTGGAACAGGGTTGAACATGTCGTTTCCTGCCTGATCACGACAAATGTGCTTGTAACATTGTGGTTTCTTCATTTGAGTCATGTCCTGGCCGGTCAACTGAGGTCACATTGACTTGGTGTTTCATTGTCGCCTGGTCCACCATGGCGTCAAAAGGGAGTTTTAGAAAAAGCATGGGCCTTTTGGGGGCAGACGCTGGGGTAGCTGGAATTTTCCGAAAGTTAGGGCTGGTGGATCTGTTGTTTGTTGTGTTTCACCCTGAGTGTTCCCTACCTGCCTTTGGAGATACAAAGAAACCCCCTCTCAAAGCTCCTTCCTACATCAGGCTCCGATTTTGGAACACCAAAACAGGCCATCCCGCATGACCCAGACATCTTTGTGAATGGCAACGTCCGCAAGATTCTCTTGGAGGTATACAATGGTGCCCCAACACGAGGGCATCAGAGGGCCCTTCCATCACTTTAGCGAGCCCCTGCTTCCCTTCTTGCCCCCCTACGGCTCGAAGCACAAGACACGTGGCCGGAGGGAAAAAGGAGGCGTTTTTGTGGCTGCCTCGGTCAAAACGGCCTCACTCCCTGCGTTCCTGGACTTTTCTGGACTTTTTTGGGGGCCATCTTGCAGGAAAAGGCAATGCTTAGACTTGTTGTGGTCAATCCACGGAAGGGGGCACTCAATTTTGTTGCTGCACATATTGGGAGAAGTTGGGCGGCTTAAGCAAGCCTTTGCTTGGAGAAATCGGATGAGGTACGGATTTGTTGGAGAGCAACACCCTTTCTTCACTGTTGTTGGATCAAGTCTTCAGTTGTGTTTTGTGTTTATGCTCCTGTTGATTTTTGAATTTACAAAATATTGTTTTGTTTGCTACCATAGGGTTGTAAAGCTTTTAATTCGGGTTTGAACATATGGTGATGGATGTTGCCGGAAGTTACTAAGTTCTGGCAACTATAAGGATCAATCGTGACCAGTACCCTCCCACCAATTATCACATGGAACCGTTCGACGTTTCGGGGGGTCCTGGTTTGCACCATGTTCCTTAAGGGACCGGGTCCCTGTGAGGCTCCGGCGGTTTGGTGGGTAAATGCCACAACTCCGGTTTTGTCGTGACCTACCACCTGCCGGGCACGCTATCTACGTGCATCCTGGAGCTATGATGTTTTGACCGGCGAAAGCCTTCGAGGAATGCCGTTAAAGGCAGGTGACAAGGACTCAAGACCCGGGGGAGAGAATCGGGCACCGCAGGTCCAAGAGGGGTGAGGATTTGTAAGGCGCCCCCTACACCAAATACCCACTTTTTACAGGGTATTTTTGGGAAAACCTGGTTTTTCAAGGTAAATACCTCCTTTTTTAGAAACGTGGGTATTGGGTGTAGGGGGTACCTGGACCCTGAAACGTATTTCATCCGATTTCTCCAAGCAAAGGCTTGCTTGAGCCGCCCAACTTCCCCCAATGTGTACAGCAACAAAATTGGGTGACCCCTTCCGTGGATCGACGACAACAAGTCTGGTTGTTGAATCGGAAGCCAGAAGCGAAGCCGAAGCCGTATTTAGGGGTCCCCCTATTGTGACGCGTTCCGTTTCCTTTTTGGTTGGTTTCGTTAAACAATAGAGGGCCCTGGTTTACCTGGTTTATCTGGTTTACCTAGCGGTTCAATCATCTACCAGGGCCATGAATTTTCCACTAGAGGCCACCTATGTACCGTGGTAAATCACTGTCAATACTTTTGGCTTGATCAACAGGTCCGGTAAACAATAAAAAAACACGAGAATGTATTTGATCTTTCCCACGTGGAAAAAGTTACATGATCAACACTGGGGGACGAAGGACATATTATGGAAAATTGATCTACCCGCACCTGTTCCCTTGAACGCATTTTTTTCGGACGCATCACCGAAAGGCAGCCAATGCCAGTGAACATGTTGTTGCAACGAATCCATTGGTGAGACAAGCTACTGTGGATGGACGGAATCCACTAAAGAATCCCTGGAATGAGTCCCCAGCGTAAATACCAATGATCAATGGTTTCAACCATGGTTTCCAAGTGGTGCGAAATGGATTTCGTCCATCCAGTATCAATTAACAGACTGATGGCAGGCAGGCCACCGGCGGCATTCTGCTGCCTTTCCCGTGAAGCAAGAAAAACAATCCTCCGAGCACCCATATTGGGAAACCGCGAGGAGCTTGGGGCAAAAAGCACTTGATTGAATAATTTGACATTTGAGGTGATTTGTTGAATAGCGGCAAACCACGACATATGTTTAGGGCACACTTTTTGGTGGATGAGTTATAAAACAAAATGCGGGGTTTCCCATGATGCGATTTTGGGCGAATGCGGTGTCAGAGGGCCCGAGCTTGCGACAAAGAGTGACGCTGAGAGCGCGGCAAACAAGACCGACGCGAGCTTGCGCCAGTAAAAGCGGCGATTTTGCATTTTCGGTGCCGGATTTTTTCATGGACCCGGAAAATATCCATGAACCGTTGTTTTTTGTTCAATGGAATTCCTAAGCAGGGTGGGTATAAGCTCGGATTCCTTACAGTTCCCTAGGGTTCCTTCGGGTTCTTGCGGAGCCTCAGGGAATCAGCCGGCCCCTTGGACCCTTTGCTGACTCCATAAAATATGTTGCCCAAAACGTAGCCGGGTCTTTTCCTTTGTCAGAACCCCCCCAGGCGGAATCACATCCACTTGCTTCCTTGGAGCGAGGTGAGGACTCAAAGGAGCCTTTTTTCCAGTCTTCCCCGGGTCCATGTAGCAGATTTATTTATGTGTCCTTTGGGCCAGTGAGTCAGACATCAAATACGACGAACCGAACCATCAAATGTGGGGAGGCTTCGTTTTCCTTTGTGGCACATACCCATGAATTGGGGATGATCTTCAAATAAACTTCATGTTCTGCTATTCCGGGATGTTTCCTTTGGCTCACACTCTTGTCTCTTTATTTATGTTTTTCTTCTTGATGTCTTTTGTTGCCTTTCTTTATCCACTTAATGATCGTCCAAAGGGTCCCGGGTTTTCAGTTGGATCCCCCGTTGGTGTTACACCGGGCTTCGGCATGCCTACTCTGTGCCGAAAAACCCCACGCGGGTAAGTCCCAGAAACTTGCTGGTGCTCAGGGAATGGCCCAGGGGTTTGGGGAATGAGCTTCGGGATCTCCTTATGAAGGACACCAGACTGCGGCACCACTTGGAAACCACGGGGAAACCATAACGTTTTTTGGTACTTGCAGGGGAATCATCCTTCCAGGTTTGCTTAGATGGTGCGGTGCGAACTGGATTCGTGCATCCACAGGGGATGGTGTTTGTTCTTGGGGTCCTTCCAGGTTTGGGTCGGGTGGGAAGGATCGAACCTGAGGCGAGCTTCCTGATCCACCCGGAGCTGGGGAGGAACATGGTCTTCCGCGGGGCGCCTTGAATCGGAATTCCCTGCACCATCAGCAGTCCCCCCTCCCCCCCTCCCCTCCCCCGCGCGCATGGCAACGGCCCAAGTTTCCCTCCAGTAACCCGGGGATCGCATATTCGAACCCCCCAAAAGAGGGGGATTTGGGTAAGTCGCCCCTACGGAGTTCTTGGTTCTTTTGACCTCCGTTTGAGTGTGTTGAGTTGTTTGGTTGGTATCCCCTCTTTTGGTTGGTTTTACGGCATTTGTTACACGGAAACCGAGAGGAAAACCACTCGTTTTTGCTGCGGGGGGGGGGCTTAAACACACGCTCACACACACACATTTGCTTAAGAATATGTGTCATTTGATCCTGTTGGGTTCAAAGGAAATCTACTGGACATAGTATTTGCCCTTCTTTTCGAAATACCAGTTGGTCATAGTTCACCCGATAAGAACCCCAATGTTTGCCTAATGTTCAGGTGCGGTTTCCGAAGATAAGACAACTAACTTTCGGAACCTACCATGAGAATCGCGAGCCATTGCATCTTTGGCTCCCTTTTTGGGGACCTCTTCAGCTTTTTGGGGGCAACACCGGAAGGGTCAATATGATACCCTATGTGATCATCTCACACTTTGGCATTCATTTGGGCCAATGGAGAAGCAAGGGTTGTGTCTCTGCACTGTTGCTGGCTCATCTTTAGGTTTGGGGGCTGCAAACGCAAGCTTCTTACTACCACACCTTCCGTTTGCTTAAGAATATGTTTTTATATCCCTACTGGAAATTATGCTCTCTTTTTTCCAGGAGACTTCAGCAAATGGAAGACACCAAGGGTCGGAAAGGTCCGTGGCTCTGCTTGTTCCTTGGGAGGTGCCGGCTCGGATCCTCATACGCCTGGTCAGCATCCTGCAACAGCTCCGCGTGAAGCGCAACGAGCGGGTGGTGCCGAATCCCAAGCCGCTCGAAACAACGGGTTTGTGGAGTCCGGAATTGCTCTAGTTAAAGGGGCGATCGATTCGATACGTCAGGGTAAGTGGTGATCGTAAGCCGGGTTTTAAGCCACAAAAGCGGCTCATGGTTCTAAGTCTCCGTTCAGTGGGTCATAGCCGGGCTCACGATCACCAGTTCCGGAGCAGGGGGTATTTTGCCTAGGGAGCGGTGTTTTGGGAGCTGCCGAAATGGAGCTCTGGTTAGGGACGTGGTACTTCCGAATTCAGACGGAGCTGTTGGCCTAGATCATTCACCAAAGGCTTGAAGCACTGAGTACGTGGAGGGGAATCGAAACCACGGTTTGCAACACGTTCTCCGGTGCGCTTCCATGTAAGCCTGTCCACGTTGCCATGGAACCTAGCTCACTGACTCAGGGCGGAAGACTATGTTGGCCCTCAATTGGGGTCCAAAATGTCCCTCTCTGAGGCTGTTCTACACCTGGGCCATCCTATAGAACAGTTTGAGGCGTCGGAAAAGGTCACAAGGTCCACAAACCAACACATGGATCAAACCGGAGAAAGGCTGGATCCAAGCGGATCCGGTCTAGGGAGCAGGAACAGCCACTGCGCTAGAGGAAGGCGCGTGTATATGATGTTACAGTAGGAAGGCGCGCATACTAAGCAACGGCGTGCCAGCGGCAAGGCATCCCTTGATCCCTGCAAAAGAGGGGGAACATCCCTGCAAAAGGCGGCAAAAGGGGGGAGGGCTCAGTAAACTGGTCCAGTGAAGCATCCCTTGCTGGAAAGCGGCTTTTCAAGCAGCATCACCTATCTCTGAGCGAGCGCAAAATCCAACTACCCGATCCACGTTGCCCCTTTGAGCGCCCCAAAATCCTGAAAGGGCACCAGCCTTCAAACACGTGACCCCCTTTTCCGCACGCCCGAACAGCTTTCTGAGAACGCAGCCCGGCATGGACATTGCTAGGAAGCCATGAGCATCTTACACGGATTCCTCTAGTTTCCTCAAAGGAAAATGAAAGTGTGTCATGTACCTCCTGAAGGTGCGTGCCAGGAGTCCACGAAGAGAGAGATGGTCATTTGAGCAGTTGAGAAATCTTGTTTATCTCAATCAGCTAGGTACTTAGACGGTCCGAAGTCATCTAATTAATGAAGTGGTTAGCCCCCAATTGGCCCCGCGATAAGTAGCTTGCAAACCTAGACCGGTCACCTATCGTTTGGCTAATCAAGCGATTTCATCCATCCTCCACAGAGTGGGTTTTCAACACCCCGTTTTACCGGGAGCAGGGCCATTTACTTCTGGTCGCCCAGTGGATTTTTGTTCATAGGTAACTCCAAAGTTGTTGGATATGAGTCGCCTGAATGTCCACCATCCCAGAAAGACCTAAAGCTTCACACCCGACTTTCCGACTTCTCAAAGGTTGGCCTACGGCATGTTCATCATCCTTGCGCCTCGGATGACTCACTAAACCGGCCTCGCAAGTTGCTTTGCAAGACCCAGCCCTTGCGAGTGAGATGTGGGCCTTGCGCAGGCCACTGAGCTTTGTGGCTAGTTGGTAGCGGATCTTTGGACTTTAACCTTGAAGCCCCAAGATCCAGACTTGAGAGATGGACATGGGTTGGGAGAGACGGTTGGGAGATAAGGAATGAGTCAATAGCATGGATGAAACTCCGTATTGGACCCACAAAACGTCGAACTGCTTTTTGCAGAGGGGTCGTTGCAGCAACAAAGTGATTTCTGTTCACTTGGGAAGTTGGAAGACCATGTTGGTCGGAGGTTCATTTTTTTGTTTTCGTTTGGGGTCTCCAAAAATACTTAATACACATGGAACAGCAAGCAGAAGTCACTTGCATGGGCAGTGGGCATGGGCAAAGTTTGATGGAGTAAGCCCATGTCGCCTTTTAAGAGCCAAATAGACAACAGCTGGTTACCGATACTGGCCATATCCACACGGCAATCCAGAAAACACTTGGCATTCGCGTTTTTTTTACCCGGATATCACCCGTTCTTCCCCCTGTTTTTGTTGTTTTGAAATCTTTTAGTCCTCTTTTAATGGTTCCACCGGGCTGGATCCACAATCGCCGCATCCGTTTTGCCAGAGGCAAGTCATTCGCCTCGCGTCAGGACGGCTCTGCGGTGCTTCAGCAGATCAGCCCCTTGCCCAGCCAGCGCCTGACCTCGCCCAAGGAGCCGAAAGAAGCGGCACGGATCGAAACCTGAGGTTTGAGGCTATACGTGGGTTGATTCATGATTTCACTCCCAAAAGCGTACCTTTGGATTGTACTTTTGGGGGCCAGGTAGAAACATGGTTTTTGTCTGGAATTGGTTTCTTACATTTACCAGGAAAGAAGCAAAAACAGGTGTTTCCAAACCTTCCATCACTTCTTTTGCCAGAAGGGACATCAAAACAGGTGTGTCCCAATATTGCCCGTCCAGAACTTGCTTTAGATTGGGAATGCCAGCGGGTTCACAGACTGTTTCACGCGTGGAATATACCCAATTGAACAAGTTGGCACCCATCCTAGCGATTAAAAGGCCTTGCGCACTTCCACGTCCGGCAAAAAGTCCATCTTGGGCCAACAGCGGACTTCCCTTCGAACAGTTTCTGGGTGTTCATGTTAACTTCAAGAAAAAAACAAAAAAAGAAGAACACACAAGGAACAAAACATGCCCCAAGGACAGCCGTGGCTTGTTGCACTTTGGGATTTAAAACCCTAGACTATAGGCTATGATGGCAACTTTTGACGACACTTCCTGGAGTCTCCATGACCCTTTAAAAATGGGTCAATGACCCCATCATGTTTGGTAATGACCAACCATTTTTAAGGGTCAGAAGGAGACTCGTTGTTTCAAGCGGTAAGCTTGGTCCATGGCAAGCCGCCCCCCGCGGGCAGTTTCCGCGGGCTTGGGTCCGCCCGGAGTCCGCCATCCGGCGCCAGGACAAGCTGACGGAGGTGCTGCGAAGGAGCGACAGCTTCGGGGAGGAGGTGCTGCTGGGCCTCAAAGCCGAGCTACCCGGCGCAAGAACTTGGGGTCAGAACACCAGCAGCAGCAGCAGCAGCACCAGCAACAGCAACAGCAGCAGCAACTCACTCCCTGAGTTCATGAACTTTAAACTTTTTGGGGTTGGACCATTTTAGTGGTAAATATAAAGTTTGAACTGTTTGTTGGCCATCCACTCAGCCAGTGAGGCAACAGAAACAGCAACAGCAACAGAAACTGGTAAAACTTGCCTCAACACCAGGCTAACAACTACCCCCCACTCCAAATACCCGGCCACTCTTTTTCAGGGTATCATGTCGACCCTCTACGAAGAAAAAATAGGTATTTGCCATGGAAAACAGATCGGTTTTCCCAAAAATACCAACTGAAAAAAGCGTTGGTATTTTGAGTAGGGGGTAACTTACCTCAACACCTATCTAACAACACCAGTCAGAAACTGGTAGCTTCCAAGTTCAAGCTGCTCACTTGCGCCCAAAGCGAGTTTCGGATGCCTTTGGTCCATAGGTTCCCAAAGGCGATGAACACATTTCAGGTCCAAATTGGGCCTGAACAGAGCTAACCTCGGTGGCTTTTTGGGTGTTGGATGACCAAACTCGAATTCCTTTAAAATGTGGCTGCTGAAGCTTGGTGCACGCTTCCTTTGGTCTTCCTTCCGCTTTTTGTTTTGTTTTTTGTTGGCATGGCAAGCCCTTGCTTTCCTATAAGCCAGGAACATGGAATCACTGGAAAACAGTTCAGCCATGTTTTAGCCAACGCAGCTTTTTTCAAAAGGCACCTTCGCCTCCAAAACTACCAGGATTTGAGTTGAATTACTGGTCTGGGTAATGGCAACTCCCTTTGCAACCCCACCCCCCCCCCCCCCCGACCCACTCCAATCACCCACTTGCCTTCAAGCGGGTGTTGTGTTCACCCTGAACCACGTGTAAGTCACCCACTTGCTACGTAGGGCCCCGAAATGAGCATGGGGAACTTTTCCCATGTGGGAAATATCTTGTTTTGTTTCGTGGTTGTCCAACCAATGGTCATGCGCGTAAAGGACCTTTTGATCAACCCCCATGTCATTTTGGCCACATCCGCCGTTTGGTTTCAGTGGGGCCCAGCTGGTCATCTCAGCCCTTGAAAACGGCACCTGGAGTCTCCATGACCCTTTAAAAATGGGTCAATGACCCCAATATTTTTGGGTACTGTAATGACCCCATCATTTTGGGTAATGACCCCATTATTTTGGGTACTGACCAAGCATGTTTTAAGGGTCCCGGACGGAGACTGCGCAGGTGCGAAGGCTCGGTTTTTGACGCCAGGTACGAATACACCGTCCAGGCTACGCGGCGCCTGGTGCTGCTCTTGTTGCCCAGGGACAGCTTCATGGAGCGCCTGTCCCCCATGCCGGAGATGTTCACGTGGCAAGCCTCAACCGCTGGTTTTGTGGGTCGTTAAACGCGACGTGTCGCCCGCTCGGCTTTTGCCCAAACAGCTGAAAGCTAAGGGTCTGAGCCCAGGTAAAGCTTGTTTGTTTTTTTGCGGGGGGAGCTGGGAGTGGGGAGTTTTGTGGGTCGTTAAGGCGTGGTTATCGCCCTTTTTGGGGGGTCAAAGGGAGACGAAAGTTGGAACACCACGAGTTTTTGGGGGGCGGAGAGCCGTTCCCTGTTTGGAGACAAGCCCGTTGAGTACTCCAGGTCGACAGTTGTGCCTTTTGTGGGACCCATGGTTGCTTTGAAAGGCCAATCTACCCCCTACTCAAAATGCCCGCTTTTTTATTTTGGGAAACCAGATCTGTTTTCCATGGTAACTACCTCCTTGTTTAGTAGAGGGTCGACATGATACCCTGAAAAAAGACCGGGTATTTGGAGTAGGGAGTCAAGGGTCCCCATTTGGATTGGCTTGGAGCTGCAACCTGCTCAGCTGATACCTCTGAAAAAGTGATTCGAGTAAGACAAGTCGTGGCACATGTCAGCCGGAGCTTTGGGTGTGATTGCCCACATGGAGTGCTGCACAATCCATAATCCTACTTCCTGAGTTCATGCACTTTAGTCAGCTTTTGGGCTTGGTTGCCATTTGAGAGGTAAACAAGAAGGGGTTTTGGTCCATCTACTCGATGGTCTTCTCGTCATGCTGAACTTGGGATTTTACTATCAAAGTCACCCCGGGCAGTCGACAGGGGAACCGATCCAATTTCCAGCTTAACGGGAAGGCCAAATCATGGACCCGGTCACGCGTTTGTGTGTTCTTGGTAAACCCGGACCCTCAAACGATCCTTAAAAAGGGCAACCCCCACAATTTTGGGGCAGCCCGTCATTCTCGCAAATAACTTTCCCCTCTTTAGAAGTGAGAACCTCTAGCTTTCAGTTTGGGGGAACAAACTAACGCCGTGCAAAACCAAAACTTAATGACCTCAGATCGCCCAGCCGAGACGGGGGGCGTTGGGTCCAGGCAGTCCATGAAGATATGGGTGCGGAAAATTAAACCACCAGGGGACCGCAGATTTTCCTTGGTTCCATTTACCAGGCTTCTATTTTAAAGCCATATCCAGTGTCGTCGCCCACTCTTCTTTGGTCCTGCGCCCTAGGCTGATGCGCGCCAATTTCACCGCCTGAGACGTTTCACTCGAAGGATGGAGCTAGCTATAGCGACCGGGGCGAGGAATTGGAGCAGCATGCGGCGATCCCTGATGCGATTCCCTGCAAATCACAACATATATGTAATGGTTTCAACCATGGTTTCCAAGTGGTGCAGGATTTTGTCCATCCACTGTATATCTATATTCGGTGGTTTTGAGCGGATGTTTCTTTGAAGACCCATATTTTCGCCAGAATCTCATGTTTTCCTGGTATTTGATGTACAAGGAAGGGGCCTTTAAAACACGACAATGACTTGTCAGGGTGCGAAAAGAATCGGCTTCGCTTTGTTTTGGTCATCCCCGCTTGCTACCAACATCTAACGGAATTTGTGCCAATATGCTTCTACCCTCGTGTAAGTCCCCCTCCAAATGCAAGTTGGAACCTCTTTATTATTATTGGGACCCGCCTATCGGTGTCCTGATGTTTTTAGAGCTTGCATCTGAGGGGCCGACTTTTTTCAGGGTATGAACTAGGGTATCATGTCAACCCTTGACCACAAAGGGACCTGGAGTCTCCATGACCCTTTAAAAATTGGTCAATGCCCCCCATTGTTTTGGGTAATGACCAACCATTTTTTAAGGGTCAGAAGGAGACTCCAGAAATTTGTGTTTCTCCAAAAGCAGTTGCATTTCGAGTGGGTTTTCCTTCAAGCCACCGGCTGTGTAACTTTTCGACATGGGTACCTTCCATTTCCATTCTTTCCGGGGATCCGAATCTCTCTACAAAATTTCCGGAGACCCAGGTTGAAACCGGATCCGGTTTTTGGGAAGAGCGATGGTTGAAAAGAATGGAGAATCACCCCGTAGAACTTCGAGGATGCGGAGCTCTTCTCGGTTTCCTTCGCCACGGTCTCGGCTCGCACGGCTAAAGGCCGTCCGAACACGGGCCCGAGTTCAGAAGCTTTGCGACCGCTTCGCCGGCGCAGGGGAGAATCCAGGAGAGTTGCTTTTTGCCACCTGTTTGGTGCGCCTTTTTTTTGTTTGTTGTTGTTTTTTTCCTCCCAGCTTTGTACCTGGAGCCTCCATGACCCTGGGATGGTCGGTCAATACCCAAAATAATGGGGTCATTGACACATGTTTAAAGGGTCAGAAGGAGACTCCAGGTATGTCTTAGCATCCCCGAGTTGTTTTCTTTTCAGTGTTCACTTGTGCCTGCTTCTCCCTTGGTGTTCTTTGTTGGGCCTGGCGAAGCGAGGCATTGCGAAAGGGCCAAGACCACGAAGTTGTCCAAAGCAAATCGTCCGAAGTGCCAGACCCGCTTCCGGCGTATATGTTGAAGGAAACACCATATGGTAATGACCTACCTCCTTTATCACTTCAGGTCTTGACATGATGCCTATAGTGATCAGAAGACGCAAGAGAATGGAGGTAGGTCTATAGCTCTATTTGTCCTCTTCTCTTCAAATTGGACAGGCTCAACTGGGATTGAGTGCTTTGCCTTGAGGGAACGAACGAAGATAATGGGGACACCCAAATAGACTTGATCTTTGGATTGAGAGGATCTCCCCGTAAAGCTTTTTGATTGCATGCATCCCTTACTGTCGCTAAGAGTTTTCAACGGATTTTTTAGTTGCTAAGCCCATGGTTGATTTCCCCAACGGGCCCAAATTTAAGTCTGCCTTGGACCCGCTAAAGTGTTTCCAATGTCACGGAGGTATCCTTCTATTAACCCAAGGCTGATTCATCCGAGCTCAATCAGCGATCCAGGCGGCTCCGCATGAGAATGGCACCACCCCTACCCCCTACTCAAAATACCAACGCTTTTTTTCAGTTGGTATTTTTGAGGAAAACCGATCGGTTTTCCAGCGCAAATACCGATCCCTTTTTTAGTGGAGGGTTGACAAATGATACCCTGAAAAGAGACCGGGTATTTGGAGTAGGGAGTCAAGGGTCCCCATTTGGATTGGCTTGGAGCTGCAACCTGCTCAGCTGATACCTCTGAAAAAGTGATTCGGTTGACAAATGATACCCCGAAAAAAGAGCCGGGTAGTTGGTTCAACCAGTGTCTGGTTGCGCCTTGCTCGAGTCCACGAGTCCTCAACCATCAATGGCCACTTGGACCCTTTCTTGACTGCTAGTGGGACGGTTGGATCTTTAGACTTTCACTTTTTGGTTGAAATAAAGTTGGGTTTTCCACTAACCCACCCCCAAAGTTATTCACTTTTTGCAGGGTCAACAGCAACCAAGCTTTGGGATAGGCACTCATTAGACTTGGCGTGTGCGTTTTGTTTCAACGGCTCCCTTGGTCATTTGTGGTGAATGGAAGGATTGGTTCGCCCAAATACCTGACCGCTCCTTTCAACCTTTGCCTACGCAAGATGAGTCGGTTTGTCCACGCAACAAGTTGAACTTAAGGCAGCATACCAAGACTTCCATGGCCCAGTTGTTGCTGATTGTTCTGGTGGTCTCTTCACCGCTGGCATGTTTTTAGGTGTGCGTGTGTGTGGGGTGTTTTTCCCGGTTGTTTGGTTCATTTCATGTTTAGGTTGCACCAGCAGTCAGCTTGTTGCTCCCACAAGGGTTGCACAGGTTTGGCAATGCAAGGACTGCATTTGCGTGTGTGTGCGCGTCTGTGTGGCCATGAATTTTAATAGGGAACCACCTGAAAAGTGATTGGTGGACATGAATCTCCACCTAAATGATGTCCACTAAAGGGCTCCTTATTAAAATTCACAGCCGTGTGTGTCCTACTCTCTCCAGCTTTGGACAATGCGACGAACGTGTGGCTCACCGGAAACCAGTTCCGGTGAGCTTTCCGTTGGCCGAGAGCCAACGGAAAGGAGATGGGAGGGCATTGTGACTGGTTGAACCCCGGCTCAGTCGAGGGTTTCCTCCATAATCTGTTATAATTCTGATTATATTATAAACAATTCCCTGTTTTCTGCAGTTTCAATGGACTTCACCAGCAAGTTTGCAGCTTTCCATAGGGGGGAAGCCCGTTTTATTGGGCTTTCAGACCACTTTTTGGAGGCAACACCCCCCGAATTCCAAATAGACCAGGGCACAAAGTGCCATGTGGCAAGGCATCCGGAGGCTTGGAGACCTCTCGCTATGTTTTTCTTGGAACCTTCAATTGCGATATGGGGCTTGCAACCTCAAGACGGTTCCTTTCATTGAACCCTTGGATTGGTGAAGTAAATTCACCCAGAACGGGGTATGCCAAGTCTAAGTGAGCTAACCCCCCAACCGGCGCGCCCTCAACCACTAGTGCAACTTGGGCTTGTGATTTAATTTGTTGCGTGCGAAATAGGCCATGGTTGATTTATTCAGAGGGGAACCAAAGAGAGGGCAGTGTCCCCGGCACCGTTTTGTTCATGTAAAAACACGTGTTTGCTTCTTATTATATTTATATTTTTTCGCGTTTAGTTTCTGACAATAAAAGGGGACGGGGATTGTTTTGGTCCTAACCGCCCTATGCAGCCATGTTCTCCCAGATTGCGGCTCTTCCCCTCGCAGAACGTTCTCGATGTTCTGAGAACGGCGAACCGAACGCGCGGCCCAAAGACGAGTGCCAGGAATAGAAGGAAGGATGTCATTTGGGAGGTTTTTGTTTTCGAGGGTACCCCTTTTTTAGTGGTTCTCAAGGAAAACCAAAGGCAAAGCCACCATTTGGGAGGGGAGCCTAAAAACAAAGATGCCCATTTCGGCCCATTTCGTTGTTTCATGTTGTTCCTCTTCACGACTTAGGGTGCCTTTCTTGATACAGTGATGCCATGAATGCAATGCATGAATGGGACCTCTTCGCAGATGAACCAGGGGATTTGCCCAGAAAAACCCTAACGACAAGTGTCCGGCTTTCTTCCATATCGCTAGTTCCGGGAGCATATGAGTGGTCAACCGGCTCAGATTTTAGTGGGCCATTGTGGGCCAGTTAATGTTGACACCACGTTAATCAACCCCTGTTTCTGAATATGGGGGTGCTTCTCCCTGGGTTTGGTGGGAAATCAGACCACTTTCGGAGAGAACCGGTTCCCCCATTAAAAAAATAAAATAAACATGTTGTGTGTTTTTTTTTTTTGTGGGGTCAACAATACTTAGATGAGAGTGTCCCTGGGCTTATAAACTGGGGTTGATCAAGAATGAGGCCCTCCAACAGATCTCAGGCAACCGATGATCTGGATACCTCTGTCAAAAATGAGAACCTCAAAATGGTATACCAAGAGACACCCAGATAAAGTATCATTGGTTGCCTCAGATCCGAGACCCCTCTCAGTTTCCGGACGTCACATTGTTGCAAAAAGTTCTGAGTCGTGAATTGTTTTTGGCCACTGCGCCCAGAAAGTGAGAAGGTACTTGGAGGAAATCGCGATAAATGGAGCCGACTCAGCCCAGTTATGACTACAGCTGGACCATCAAAGCACCCTTCAAAAAGTCAAATCAACCCAAAAGTATCCTGAGAGAACGGGGCCCCCCCTCAAAGCTTTTCACACACAGCTCTCAAGCCCCTCAAAGACAATATAGGTTTCCTGAACCCTCAAACTTACGGCAAAACTCACCCCCATACCTTTTTAGAGCAGCAAACCCCATATTTGTTTCGGGCAAGGTCCGTTTGTCCAGCTCACATCTTTTTGGGGATATCAAATATATTTATATTGAATGCTCAGAATGATATACCTGCACCCTCCAAAAGTACTGACATTTCCGTAGATGTCCGAAAAAAGCATTGGTTGGTCCAGGTATTGTGGGATATCCATATACTCAATGTAAATAGGGCCGAGGTGCATTATATGCCCTAAACTCATAATTGCCATATTTAATCCACATAACATGATTCCATACCTGGATCCCCAGTTGCCTTTATTTTCCAGCTACTTTTGCCCAATTATGGACTAGTGGGGTTCCAGTGGCTGGCAAAAAGTGGCTACTTGGGGATTCAGGTAGTTGATATCGTCAAGTCTTATGCCCCCGATTCAACCAAAAACAGTTGCCCTACGGGTCCGGAGATGGAAACCCCTCCAAAATAGATGTGCTTTTGACCACCGGGCCTAAGCAGCTCGGGGTATGGTACGGGAATCCCAGGTTCTGCATACCAAGCTCTAGCACCCATAGGGTATACCCCTGAAAGCTCGTGAAAGCTAGAGCCCGGGTTCGAAGCTTCCCACGCCAGTCCCTTCCGCTGTGGCCGTGGCCAGCGCCGCGGAAGCAGCCTTCGCGAGCGGAGCCGGAGGCCGGCGGCGGGAGAAAAACCAGACGAGGCGGAAGACCCGCCGAAAGACCTGACTGACGTGTTTGAACGCCGGCGTGAGAAAAACCCAGAGGAGGTGGGAAATTCGCTTTGAACCTCCAAGTTTGGTGGGTTCCCCTGGCGGTTTTAAAATTTGTTTCATGACTTGACCCCAATGGTTGGCTTCCTTTTCCTTAGCGAGCACCCACACGAGCAATCCCCCGCCCGTTCCGTACCCAGAGTGGAGTTCCCAGGAAGTTCACCGCATTGGGGAGAGGCAAACGCCCACACTTACCACGGGTGCATGCTTTCCCAACATTCCCAACTTCCCCAAATAAAATAGACTACAGAAAAAGGGTGCCCTCATTCTAACCTCTCTACTGGAGGACCTAGCCAAAGCTATGGGGTCTTTGCCCCAGAAAGGCGATAAGGGGTGGTTTGGGGCAGGGTTCCGGAGATTCGGTTCCAGAAAGGTTTCGGGGCTGTTGGGTTACCTTTTTTTGGGGGGGAGGGGAGGGGGGGTGTATCCCTTTGCGTGTTCGGATGCTCTAATTATTAAGGGAACAAGAAAACCATCTCGACCAATCGTGGCTTACAGGTTTTTGGATCTCTCCTGAATGCGGTCCTATGTGGCAAGGATGCCCACCAAACCCTGGGAATAGGGCTCCGTTCCTGGGCTGCACCGGAATTTTGAGAAGACCATTTTGGCAAGCCAGACGTTTGGTGCAACTTTGTTCGCAGAATCCCTCGAGTCTTCCGTGGTGTTTTTCCGTTTCTTTGTTTTCCGGATGCGCATCAACTCATCCGGTCCGGGCTTCAATGCTTCGATGCTTCGATGCTTCGAGTCTTCGGTAGGCGGGAGATTGCTGGAGCAGCTGGAGGGCATGGCTGTCTCACTGCTAGGCTCGCAACTTGGGAAAGCACTTTTGGCGCTACTGTGGATAGTTGAAATCGAAATCCGCGAGTCTCGCACCACCGTTCCAGAAACCTAAGAATGATTCGATTCCCCTGCAAATGCCAACGAACAATGGTTTCAACCACGGTTTCAAAGTGGTGCAGGAATTAGTCCATCCGCAGTATGGAGTTTGAATCAAGTGCATAAAGGCGCCCAGTGACCCATGTAGCAAGTACCAGCTATTTTCCGTTGGGTTTTTGAAGGGTGGCTCCTTGGATGGACAACACAAAAGAATCGCTCCCATGGCCCCACTTTGGGTGCGTATGGCGCGTACGGTTGACCTATATGTTGTTCAGAAGTTGATTGCCACCTCGGTGTTTGGCGTGCGTTGAGGTCCTCACAGCGTGGGTTGTTTTGAACCAGATTGATATGTCTCGCGTTTCATGTCTATCACCTACCCCCAAATAATTCCGTATCTCTATGTGGGTATTGGAAATTCACAACCTGGGTTGGGCGACTTGGGATGGTGGGGTTTCCCATCGCTTTTGCTCGACAGCATGGCTTTGCTTCGAGTTACCGCGAAGATGCTTGGTTTTAATCAGATGCCAACCATTTCCAGCACCCCCCCAACTAAGGATTTTGGACATGGGAAGATGCAACAGTTGGAGGCTGCAGGAAACAAGCCCATTCGCAGGAAACCAACATGGATGGTAGGTGGCAGTCGGAGTAGAACGAATTTCGCGGCAAGCCGTGGCTCTCTTGCCTCGTTGGCGCAAACTTCCCCTGACTCGAAATATCCTTGCATGGTTTTTATTGCCCGGGTACATATTGAAAACCTAGGTGATGGTGAACCCCTCCTCCTTCCTTGTAACTGGGGGTCGAGTCGCAGCGAATCGACCTTTTGACCTTTCGATCTTTTGACCTTATGGTTTTTTCCACTATCTCAGAAAAGGTCCCAAGAGGTGTTCACCTTACATTTCCGGGTTCCTAAGAGTGCACCTGAGTAACATGATACCCTTGAACAAGGAGTTCCACCATCTTTTTGCATCCAAGCCGCGCCATCCGTTCGTTGCGACGGATGGCATCGTGAGACGAGCCAATTTCCAAATCAAGTTTTGTTTCGAAACTAGCTGTTTGCTGCGAGGTTTCTTTATCATAGCCAAGGCCCCGACAGTTTACTGTGGCTCAAATAGTGAGCAAAGCCAATCACCCCGCGGACAACACTGTCAGTTCGCTCCCTCATCTTGCTATTGGCCAGTTGCAGGAAAATTCAGGCTCACCTCAATTCAGTTTTTGGGTTGGTGGGCGTGGTGGAAGCCCTGGTTTTGCCCGGGGTTTCATGGGCACCCAAGCTCACCTTGCCGAGCGAAGCGTGAACTCGCCAGGCGAATCCTGAGGCGCGGGGCTCGCTGCGGGAGGTTTTGGCGTGTCTTTTGGGTTCCCGGAACCGTTCGACGTGTCGAACTCTGGGTTTGGATCGATCTTTCCATCAAAAGCGGCGCCATTTTTCTCTGGCGGGTTCGGCCTGCAACTTGGACAGGAGAGGGTCGAAAACCCCTTTGCCGGTTGACTCCGTGACGTCCCAGAGTTGACGAATCACGCTTGAAGCTGATTGTCGGGACCCGTGGGTCTTTTTCCGAAGCGTCCGTACCACGTCGGTTGGTTCAACCGCGTTGGTTGCTCACTTGCTCAAGTTGGATGTGTGTGGTCAATCTTCCGGCTGCTTTTGAATACGAATAGCATTTGCCATGGGCTGGATTGCACTTCAAATCTTTGTTTCCAAAGCCTTTCATACCAGGTTTTGACTATGACCCACATAAGAGGCACCAATCCGCCAAACCCCGAAAGGATTGGATCTCCAAAAATGACCCTCCGCGAGTTTCCCAACCGCCACCGCCAGTACTTTTCAGATGCTGCTTGGGTGCGCATCTGGGAGTTGGATTTCCAGCAACCGGGGGCCAAAGTGGCATTCCTTTGAACCGGGTTTCAAAAAGCACACCCAAAAGGATGGAGTTGCGGGGGAACCCCCCCCAGGTCCACTTCTGGGGGGATGAACCAAAATCAAAGCAAATGCAACTGCTTGCGACTGATTTCAACGGGAAACAGGACTCAGCGGTGGAACATGAATCCTGGCTTCTCTCTTTTTTTTCAGGCCACCTTTGGAACTGGAAGACCTAGGAGCACCTTCCTTCGATAGGAAAGCATGAGGTTTTGATTTTGTGTTGCTGCAAGTGGGAATCAAGGGGAACTCACCCTCCTGATTTCCTGGACTTTGAACTTGTTTTGGAAGATAGTTTTCGTGGCAAACAACAAGTTGTATTTGTCTTGGCCAATCCACTCAGGAAGTGCGTATCTAAGCGGCAATCAACTAACCTGCAAACTGCGGTTGTTTGTCGTTTTGAGGGGGCACTTGGCTGTTTTTGCCAGGAGCCCCACAAAATGGACCTAGGGGTATCCTGCGAGATTTGTGGGCCCCTTGGTTTATGCTTGTCGGTTGCCATGTGTTCATGAAAGCTACTACAATACCTTGCTGACGATATATGCTAAAGATAAAGACACCTAGTTTGTGAGAATAAATATCTCCGGTTTTCCGTCAGAGATCAAGATGATACTTTGGATGGACGAAATCCTGCACCACCTAATAAACCCTGGAATGATGATTCCCCTCTACATACCAACAAACAATGATTTCCCATGTTATTCAGGTGGTGCAGGAATTTGTCCATCCACAGTACCGGTTGAACAGAAGTTGATTTTTGGAACAAGGGGTACTTGCACATCAGCCAAGCCAGCTTTTCCGACGGCCATGCAACAGCACTGGTCCTTGCTTCTTGTGAGAATCCGGCAGATGCGCCCCAACTTGTCCCATCGGGTAGGGGCCCATGCTACTAAGGGAACCCTTGCAAAACCCACACACAGACAACTTCTCCAGTTGAGAGTAGGTTTCAACCGCATGTTGCCTACTTCTTCCGAAAGGTTCCGCAAAGTTCTACTTTGTCGCTCAGGTCAGGTGACCAAAACACTGAAAAACGCACCCTTCTCCCTTTGAAGGGCCCCTTGCATTTGCGCCGTTAACGACACCCTTTCGCTTACGAGTTGCATCCGGGATGGTCAACCATGTAGCAGAAACTGTCAACCGGATGGATCAAGTTTGTTTGCAAATTTGTTTTCGGCGAGTGACTCGGTCGGCCGGTTGCCATGGAACTTGCAAACATCCTCGGCTCAGAGCGGCTCAGATTGCATCCCCCCGCCCAAGTTGCGGCAAGTTTGGTCCTTGGCCGAACGAACTCGAGTTCTGTTCACACGCAAAGAGCTGTTGCGCTTTTGGCAGGCCACAACAGGTTCCTTTGCTTTCTGGAAGGAGACGCTCAAACCCACGCAACCTGAAGGTGCTTGGTTTGGGGATTTCGAGTTGGCAGTTTCTCAATCCCCAAAGTTTCAGGTGTTCGGCGTAAGAATTTCAGTTTTCGCCTTCTGGTTTGAAGAAAACTGCAAGGATTCCCAAGCTTCAGGTTCTTGGACTTTTTGGCATGCCAAGTATCAGCGCGGCTTCCGTCCTTGGCTTTGGGGTTTGCGGTGTTTTCGGCCTACCTGATGCGGTGATGGAGATGGACTGCGCGATCTCCCACCTCCAACTGGCCTTGAAAAATCTGGAGTCCGCGGCCAAGGCGGGAAGTGGCCGGAAGTCCGGGGGACCCGAAAACCCACCGGGCCGACCGGGCGCAACCGGGTTCAGAACTGGAAGGGAGGGTCAAGTTGGGGGAGGGACTTGGAGTTGGGAGCTGGGAGTTGGGTCCGAGTCGAAGAAGCTTCCCATTTAAGTTGACGCTTCTGAAAATTCCGTGCTTGAAAACCGCTTTCTGGTTGTGAGACTCACTCCCTGAGTTCCTAGGTTTGGACCTTTAAGTGGTAAGCAAACAGCTTGCACTTGTTTTTGGCCCGTCCACTCAGGAAGTGAGGACAGATGGTTGCAAATGGGGATGGCATGCGATGCGATTCAAGGATTCCGCTTGTGTTTCTCGCTCGATCAGTTGGATCTAAACTGGGTGCGGCAGTGGCCGACCTTTTCTGCGGTCTCCACGTCTTTTTTAAGTGTAGGTTGCAAAGTATAGGGAACAGAAACAGAACGGGACAGAAGTGGGTGCGTCTCTTTTGTTGATTGGAACCTCCCGCGCCCTTTGTGGGTTTTCCTGTGCTCTCCCAACAGGTACCCTCGAGGAAAGACGAGCCATGGCCAAGTTTTCAGCTAGCACCCCAGGCTAGAGGTACGGCGCTCCCTGAAAAGCGGAATTCGCGAAGCGTCGGTTCTGGACCCTCAAACTACCCGTTGTCCCAAACTTACGGGGTGCATTCGCTTTTTTCTGGGCAGCTTGAGGGTCCAGTTTTTTTGTGTGGAGTTGATCCCCCTTTTGCGGGGGGCGTTTAAGGGAAACCAAAGAAACAACACTTTTTGCTTGGGGGGGATCCCTAAAAGAGTAAAAATGACAGACACGTGTATTTGATTTGCCATGTTGGTGTGAAAGTGAGAATCAATTTCACTACTGGACATATGTGCCGCTTTTCCAGGGGAAACACGCAAATGGAGGCAGAATTCTGGAAGTGGGCGGCGCTTTCCAGAGGATGGTAGTCGTTCCAACTTCCATTGGAAGAAACGTTCCCCTCCAGCCATAGCGCACAACAAGCCCATGTCCAAGGATTGTCGTCTTCCAACATATGTGGCTCGATGTTTGTTGGTGGACCCAGCTGCTGAGCGGCTTGCCGGTTGGCGAGCGAGGTCCGATATGAGTTCCCCTTGGTTGAAACATCGGCTTTGGGTATGGATCCATGTACCTGCATAGGACCCCAAACCTCTGGAGGGTCTCCACGGGGTTCGAACTGGTGTGAGTAACCCTGTTAGTCAACTTGGCAATGCCCCCAGTTGCGACCAAAGCGAATCGCCCTGAGATGATCTCTTGCTTTTTTTCTGTTTTAGGTTTGCATTTTCATGCATGGCCCCAAAAGGTGAATCACCTTTGATTTGCATGTTCAAAGTGGACAAGTGAGATGGAGGGCACTCGGAGTGTGGGAACGCCTAAATCCAGACTTCTTGTTCCCAGAAGCTTGGGAAATGCAAATGATGAGAATGATGATGATGATGATGATGATGATGATGATGATGATGATGATGATGATGATGATGATGATGATGAACACAATGATGATGAACACAATGATGATGAACACAATGATGATGAACATGAGGATGATGAAAATGAGGATGATACTCATGATGAACATGATGATGGTGGTGTTCTTCTTCATCATGTTCATGTTCATCATCATGTTCATCATCATCATCGTCATCATCATGTTTCATCATCATGTTCATCATCGTCATCATCGTCATCATCGTCATCATCATCATCATCATCATCATCATCATCATTTGCATCATCATGTTCCTTCCTCATCATGTTCATCATCGCTCTTCTTTTTCGTATACGTTTCAATTGTGCCGTTAGACCCGACTGGAAATGCAGAGGATGCGCTGTGTTGATTGTCATGATAACTGCTGGTGATGCTGAGGATGATGATGATGATGATGATGATGATGATGATGAACATGATGATGAAAATTATGATCATGATGATGATGCAAGATTGTGACCCAGAGGCCGTCTAGGAATTGAATCTGGAACCCCAAGATTGTGGTTTTCCTTCTGGCACCCCCGGAAACCAACCCCAAAAAGGGGTACCTGGAGTCTCCTTCTGACCCTTAAAAAAGGTGGTCATTACCCGAAATGATGGGGTCATTGACCCTTTTTTTAAGGGTCAGAAGGAGACTCCAGGTGCCCTCAAAAAGCTTCTGACACCTCCGCAGATGTCAGGCTCATGACATCTCAGGCGAGGTGTGCCGTAACCTGGCGGCAAGAAAGCTGTTGGATTTTCAGGTCACGTTAGGTTGCAATGGTTGTGTTCCCCCGTATTTTTTTCAACACCCAGAGGCTCCTGGGGCTTTCAATGGAAGACCCGACCCCTCCATTAGACAATTCGGAGGTGAAAACCAGGTTGTTTGAAGGCCCTAAATCAATCGGGAGCCTGGGAAGACCATCATAAGGGTTGATTCCTTTTCCAATTCTTTCCAACCATCGATCCGTTCCCTTGGGTTTCCGTAGGTCTAAGATTCGGATCCATGGAATGGAAATGGAAGGTAGCCCTAGAATCATGTAAAATGGAGGTAGGAAAACCTGGTCATGTTAACTCACTTCCTGAGTTCATGGACTTTAAGCTTTTTGGGAAGACCATTTTAGTGGTAAATAAATATAAAGTTTGGTTACTTTTTTTGGGCCATCCACTCAGCAAGTGAGTTACCCACTTTTTCGTGGCGAAACGTGACTGGGAAGCACTGGGGGGGGGGGGGGTGTCTGGAGAAGGCCTCCAGTTGGCTTCGAGAGTGCTTTGGGTGTGTCTTGACATAAGGAAACCCTCAAAATGGCGGGGTTTCCTGTTGGTTTCCCTTTACCCCAAACAGGGGACCCTCAAAAATAGAAACCCCTTCACAGGCATCCGGTTCCAGAAAGGCTTTTAGTTCTTTTGGTTTAGTGGTCGTCTCCAATTTAAGCTGCTAAAGGTCAGACTTTTAGCAGGGAATCTGAGGACAGCCAAGTTGTAAAATCAACAAACTGCAAAAAAGGCCACATCTACAGGTTGAGCCCAAACCGAGCCAGATCGGAGCTTTGCTTCAGGCCTAGTTTTAAGAATCCTCAATCGAAAGAGGGTTGACCAGTTGGACCCTTTGCTCAATTGTGTAAGCTGACCAAAGCTCCCAGAATCCAGTCCAGCCGCTCCCCATGGTTAGCTACCTTTTTTCTTGCCACTTTACCCACTAGTAGCCCATAATTTTGCGAAAGTGGCTGGAAAATAAAGGCAACTGGGGATCCAGGTAGGAGTTTATTGTCACAACATGTACAAACCCCGCACGGCGGTTCTCGGGCGGGTGATGTGAACGCCGTAGGCTTCCAGGTTTGTTTTCTAGCACCTTGTGCAGAATGATGAAGGTGGGCGACATGGGTTTCAGAGGTGCATGTTGCTTGGATGTTAGGACTTTAACTTTTTGCCGACTAATGGGTTTTCCGTATTAAACCACTAATAGTTATTTTCACTTCTAGCAGGGCTTAGCAGATTTCGCAGCCGAGTTGAATTTTGGGACTTCCTTCCAAGCTTCAAGAAGGGTACCCCGAAAGGACACAACAATTCACTCTTGCCGTGGGGGACCTCAGGGCACAGCTTGGAAGTGCTCGGGGCAAGCCTATGGTTTCACGCCCCTGAAGACAAACACCTGGAGATAGCAAGGAGTAAGAGTAAGTGAGTGAGAAAGAAGGCGTAAACGGAAAGATGTCTTGTTGCGCGGATTTTTTCTCAGGTCTGCGGGAAGTCTGTGTCAAGACTTTAAGAGAATGAGGCCCAAAAGGTTGTAGGCCAAGGAAGGTCCAACAAGAAAAGGGGGGGAGAGGGACACTCCAACCATATGTTCAGATATACCCTCTAAATCTGTGCTGCTTTCTTGTGAGCCAATCCATAACCGGAGAAGAACACGTGTTGAAGCCTCGATGGATCGAGGAACCCTCCATGGGATCGGGTCCCAAATCTGCAGCTACTCCGAGTGCCTTGGTCAAAGTTTCGACAGCCCGAGACCCTGGGGCATGGCAAGGCATGTTTTCTCGGCAGTGGCTCAATCTAGCTTCCATTTGCTTAAGAGTTTCTCTTGTCGGTTTTACGGGGAATGTATCACTACTGGAAATATGCTTATTTTTTTCCAGGGGACTTAAGCGATGGAGGCTAGCAAAAGGGCTTGAACTTGTGCCCCGGCAAGCAACAGTGGACAGCGGGGTGTTATGGTCACAGCCACGGCCTCGACGCCTCGACGCCTCGACCCCTCCCCGGAAGGGCCGATCCGTGTTGAACCAAATCGAAAGCCAGACGCTCCTGGCTTCGGCTTCCAATAAAAGACCCAGACCCTCCATTGGACACCCCAAAAACCGAAAAACGGGGTGTTGGAGGGTGTTGGGGTCTCAAACACAACCTTAGAATGGGCCGAGCTTTTGGGGTTTCACAAGTGAGGCCGAGGTCCTGGACCAAGAGGCAAGCGACTAACTGGAGGTCGCATAGCCGCGCAGAAGGAAGCTAAAAAGAGCATGGACCCGAAAAACTACCCTTGAACATTTTGGATGCCTTGACATTCCGGGGTGAAGTCCTTTTTCCAGGGGTAGTTTTAGGGTCCAGGACCTTTTTTCAGATCCTTTTGCCCGAAAAGCTTGGAATGTGAGGGTATGCCTGGGTACAAATGGACCATCCAAGTGGGTGGGTTCGTCTTTTTCGAGGCTGGACATCCCCCCAAAATGGCTGCGGTTTTCCTCTTGGCGTCCCTTTCAAGCCGCAGAAAGCCTACCAGGTACCCTCAGAATAGGGGGTTTTCCTTCAGGTTTTCCTTGAAAACCACCCAAAACAAGACAAGTACCCGCAACACACAGACAGGGTGGTCCTTCTGGTTTCCCTTGAAAGCGACAAGAAAAAAGATGTTTTGCCAAACCCGGCACTTTCAACGGGAGAAACACAAAATCCCTTAAAAGCCACAAGCAAAAAAGGCGAGTGGTTCTGTAAAACCACCTAGATCGCCAAGTTGCGATGGCTTTTTTCCGTCACCGTTGCTGGTTGGGGTGAAGTGCATGGAAAAAAACAAGAAAGAAAAAAAAAAAAAAAAACAGCTGCACCTGGCCATCTTTCGGCCGCCGCTTTCAACTGGAGAAGTCACCCGGCGAGGGCCCGACCCATGGCAGGTGCCCGTCCAGCCCCTCGGAGCCTACGGCGCCCAAGATCCCGGACAGCCCCTCGCCGCCTTTGGCGATCTTTGGCGCCTCGTGATTTTTCGTTTTTTTTGTTTTTGGTTGCGGGCGTTGCGTGGGCTTTATGTGTTTTTTTGTGTTTTGGGTTTTTGTTTGGTGTGTGTAAGAAAAAACGGGGGAAACGCAGGTTTGTTGTTTTTATTTCTTCTGCAGGCTGTGCAGGTTAGCCAGGGAAGTCAGGAAAAACTAGAGAAAGGATGCTGGTCGCTTGGTACTGGAATCTGCGCCAGTTGGTAGGTGATTTTTGCCAGGCGACCTGTGAAGTTTGCTGGGGACCTATCCTATTCAGGCCCAAGGTGATTACATGTGATTACCAACTTTTGTCTCCAGATATTTTTTTTCGGAAGGCATCGCTTCTCTGGATCTCTGGGTCTTTGGGGCGTTTTATTTTTTGTGGCGAAACCCCGGAGACCCAAGTTGAGACCTTTTCGGAGCGAATCCAATGAACTGGGGCTCCGAGAAATGGCAGAGTGAGACATTCCAATTTGAAGTGGAAGGGTCTCCCCTGAAAATGCAAACACTTCAAAAGCAAGCACCCTTTTACGAGGGTGCCCCTTTTTGCGTTGCATTCTAAGAGGTGTTCCCTATATTTCCCTTTCCGGTTCAAGGTATCCGTTATGAAATTCCCTGGAGGGTGATGTTTGTAGGTTGGGCGGTGCGTGGGCCAATTTCTCTGTAATTACAGCCTGTAGCTGCCTTCTGTGAGAGGGCTCCCGTATTTCCAAAGCCTAAAGGGATCTCATGTCCAGTTGATTTCTTAGCCCCTCCCAACTACCAAAAAAGAAGAGATGAAGCACAGGTGACTTGAGTTTCTGTTGGTAAAAAAGCCTTAGAGCATTAGAGCATACCCAGGATATGGTTTTCTTCCGATGCAGGCGTCGTGTTCTTTTTGACCTACCGGACCCCTGACCCTTTGCGATCCGATCGGACGGAGTTGGAGGCATAGCTCTGGGCCCGGACACGGACTTGGATGCCTTGGATCAGCTCTGGAAGACCATGGCCCCTACGGCTCCAACTCGATGGGGGGAAGGGGGGGGGGGGAGCGGGGCTGAAACTTGAGGCCGAGCGCTCGATGGGACTTGAGCGACGTTGTGGTTTGCAACACGCGTACAACAAGCAAACAAGCAGAATCTAGTCTCAGTTGGATAACGCTTTTGTGGCTCAGGGTGTGGAATTGGAAGCATGTTCGAGGGCAACAAGTTTAACTTGCACAGGTTTTCCACTCCAAGCACCTCTCATGTCCTTTATTCATTTGGGCATGGGTCAAAATTAAACCAGACCGCAGGTTTTAGTCTTTGTTTGCATTTACCTGGGCAGCCCATTTTGGAGTTGGCGATGTTTAGCCTTTTTTTTGGGGGGGGGAACTGGGCACGATTGTTGCAACAAGTTCACCTGGGGTGAAGGTCTTGTGCTCGGAAATTGCTGATTTCCGATGGTGTCTCGTCAGTTGTTTTGTTTTTTTGGGGGGGTCCCCTGTTCTAATGGGTGTGATAATTTCAATAAATCCTGCACCAGTTGCCATTATCTATAGGTATCAAAGTTTTGCCCAGGATGGGGAACAGTCTCTAAGATGGTTTTCCACTTCCCCCCCAATCACTACCCCCAGGGGTTGAATGGATATGCAGCCACTATAGGGCTACCCTATGGGGGGGGGCGGGGGGGGTAAAAGTCATGGGACCGCAGCTTCGCGCCACATGTGCAGCTTCGCGCGTTCCAGGGAGGTGCTCGTCGACCCCTGGATTTTGGGTTTTCAAAGCTTGCGGGGTTCGCATAGTCGGGGCTTTCAAAGCCCCACACGAACAGGCCGATATCCCTTGGATTTTGAAAGAAATACCAAACACTGCAACGGGTTTCCCTCTTTTTTTGTTGAATCACTGGGGCATTTGTCAACTTGGTTCCAATTGCCAGATGTTGCACTTCAGACCTGATCCACTAGGACACCCTTGTCAGTTTCACAGTTGTTGGTAGAGGGCAATGGGAAGCTGCTCCCCAACCTTCACCAATTCGAGTCTTGGAAGCTGACAAGCAAGAGAATCCAGTCACAATTCATGGTCCTTTCTCTTTTCAGTTGATCCTCTTTTGGGGCTGTGTTCTATGCCGGGGGCTCGGAGGTACCTCTGAACAGGGCTCCAAAAAAAGATCTCCATTTTGCCAGCCCATTTGAAACGCGTGGCTTTTTCAACACCCAAATAAAGGGAAACCACCATTTTCAAGTTGCAATGTTCAGGTGTATAATGTAAGAATCCCTGTTGAAGGTACAAGGGGAGTTTCTGGCTAACAGCATCCAGGAAATGAAATCCATCGCCTGTGAATTCAAGGCGCTCGAGCGGCTCAAGAAACGTTGTGCCGAGGTGCACCCAAGAACTCTGGACATACCCACTATTACCCACTCCTCGTTTAAAATGCTAGAAAATAGGTTGCCGTAGGGGGGTTCCAGTTTTTTCAACACTCAAACCAGTGGATATTTGGAGGGGATGTCCTTTTTTTTGGGCCCTCCAAAAGAAATTTGCTCTCCTTTGGCTGGGTGGCTTGTGAGTGAGGCGAGTGAAAGGTCTTCCAGTTTCTGGCCGAGGCTGTTGATGTGTGTGTCCAGCTCGGGCAAGTGATCCCAACCGAAGTCATGTATGGAAGTAATACTAGGGGGGAGAGTATCAGTACCTACTCCAAATATCCACATGTCTTCGGGTATCAATATGTGATTTAAAACAGATGGTATCTACCACGGTTGCCAGGTTTTCAGAAATACACCCCAAACAAAGGTGGGGGATTTGGATTTTGGGAGTCGGCAGGTCTTTTTCCGCCTCCCACAACGAAGCCAACTCTGGACGGGTGCTTTGCAGCTGGTAGCTCAGTTCACTGGGCCCCTAAGGACCCTGATGCCGAGGATGGAGAAGCAGAAGAGGAGATGTTTTTCGTTTTTTTTCCGCCGGCTCAGCTTGAATGCGCTGGATCCCCAGAGAAGAAAAGGCGGAAACCAAGCACAAGCCATATTGCTTGAGTCAGGCAAGCATCAACTCAACCGCAAAACCAGTGTACACCACGGAAATCGTTTCATGGACCGGTGTCCTTGTTCCTCCCCGCTCCCCTATTGTTTTGCTATTGGTTGTGTGAAAGCCATGAAGCTCTGACATCACTATTATACAATTTTTTTTTTTTTTTTTTTTAAAAAAAAAAAAAAAAGCAAAGTGAAGGTGCAATTCTTGAGAGGTGCCTTGGTGATTTATGGTGTTGGTGGTTCCCAGCCGTCCGTTTCCTTAGGTTTATCAGTTTTTAGGGTTTAGGGGTAGTTCCCATTGAGCCCACCAAAGGCTAAAGGTTAGACTTTTCGGAGGGGATCGAAGGGGAACAGCCCAGAGAATTTGCCTAGTGTCAAGCTCACCACTCGTGGCAATCCAGTGAGTTCCAGCGATAAGGACGGGCGTGGCCTGAATTCAGGTTTTGTGTGCACCTGAAATACAATCGAAGTCAAAGTCACAAGCAAGTTGAGTGGTAAACACGACTTCTAGCATGTTGTTTGTCTTCCTGTCAATAGGTTAAACCATGTTTTCCACTGAAATCAGGGCCTGATCGAGCATGTCATTCTTGCACACATCATTTAGCAGATGTGACCTTGTGCGTGAGATTCATAATTCATTTAGTTTTGTTTGTTCTCCAGGTAGCTGAAAGCTATAGGGGTTCTATCTTCTGATAGAGAGCAGAAGGTGATTTGCGAATTTGACGGCAGGGTGCAAGGGGGCATGCAGTTTGGGGTGCTGTTGAGGTGCTGTGATGGTGTCCCATGTTTGCAAGACTGACAGCCCATGCGGTTTGGGGTGCTGATGCAGTGGTGACGGTGGCGGCACATTTTAGCAAGATCGACGCCGGGTGCTAGGGGGATGCAGTTTGGGGGTGCTGGCGCAGCTGTCTGAAGTGCTGGTGCCAGTGTGGGCGCATTTTTTTTGCGAGATGGCGGCCGGATGCTCGGGGCTTTGATGTGCCGCAGGTGCTTCTCTGGGGTGCTGTTTGGGGCTGCTTGAGGTGCTGGTGGGCATGCAGTTTGGGGTGGTGGTGCAGGTGCTCTTTGAGAGCTGGTGACGGTGTGGGCGCGTTTTGGTAAGATTGACGCTCAGGCTGGGGGGCATGGGGGGTGCATCAGTCAGCAGGTGCTGCCTTGGTGCTGTTCGGGGCGGGAAGCCCCTTAATCAAATCCTGCCCCTGTTCAAAGTGCGCCCGCGGCCCACACAAATGGAGCAAACAAGAACACTCAAGTTTTTGTTGCTCCCTCATTTCCCCCCAGAAGTCCCTGAATTTGATATGGCTTGGCCACCAACGAGCAGTGTGCAATCCTCGACCTGTTTTGTGCTATCTGGGGTCTATGCTGGTGTATCTTGTTTAAGGCTTTCACCTGCTAAACATGCCCAAATGAATTCTGGCTACACATAGGGTATACGGTATACCGTACTTGCATCCAAAGTATGCGAGTAGCTCGGATGCATCGGGATGTGTGGCCCAAGGGGCTGGCCTGGCAGAGCTACAGCCGTAGTCCAAGGGCAAGGGGCTGGAGCTGAGTATGGATTTGGACCACGCGACATAGGGTTGGTTTGTGTGGATGGGATTCCAGAGGTAACTTGTCCTAGGCAGCAGCATCCATAAATGTTCCTTACATATGTAGATGTCTAGGGACGTACGCAAAATCATTCAAACGCGTGGCGCCCTCAGGCCCCAACATGTTTCTCATGGCGGCAGCAGCAGCAGCAGCAACATTTCGTCCAGGATCTGAAAGTTGTTTGGTTTTGGAAAGGAAGGTAGGTTGGTGGTCGTGGTTGGGGGGGCCTGCAAAGTCTTCGGAGCACCCACCCCAAAGAGTCCCCAGCCGGGCCCCCCCCAGCCACAGGCAACCAACCAATAATAACCACCCTTCATCTTCAACCTTGTTGCAACATGTTGCGCGACATGTTGTGCAACATATTGGGTAGACGGGGGCGGCTTGCTCGAGTTCCGTTCGGAGTGCGCTGAGTTCAGCTCAGGGGCTTGCAGGACATGCTAGCTGACGTACCTCTCGTGCTTACCGACAGCCGTTAGCCTCATGCTGTGTCTGCCTTGTCTGTTTGCTCTTTCCTTGTGATCTCGCTTCTTCTTGTCGGCTTTTCGTTTGCGCCGGCTTCGTTTCAGGATCTGTCCTTCTTTTTCGCGATTCCTTTGCCGTACTTGGAGCACCTGAGCACCTTCACTTCGTTCAGTGCCTGCCAGGCGCAGACCCTTTCTTTTACTTTGTTCGGAAAATATCCTTGCTTGAAGATAGGTACCCCTTGCGGTTTGCTGTCTTAGGGCCTCACCTTGTCCCCTCGCGCGCAACCGGACTTGCTGGACGTGTCGCCCTACCGTGCTCCAGCAGGGTCGCTGTGCTTTGCTGCAAGAACGCAGCTTGCCCACAAATCCAACCGCGACACTTTAGCTGGAGGCTCACCTACACTCCCTTTGGTTCCTGCTGACAGTGAGGTCTGAAGATTACGTTGACTCTTGTTTCCAGACAACTCGCTTTGTGGCCGCCTGGAACTCGCTTTGCACCAAGACGCTTTCAAAGATTCGTTTTGGAAGGTTTTTCCACCTCAAGAAGAAACGTGAAAAGCAGCAATCCCTTGCGACTGTCAGCCGCGCGTACTCTTACCAGCATGTCGGAGCACGCGGGTTTCCAGCATGACTTGTGGCGTGTCAACTCAGGGGAAGCTAGAGCGCACTGCAAAAACCAATGCAAACCGACATCGCCCTTTTCAGTCCCTTCAAGTGATGTTGCGGTTCGGGCAGACCCCATCCGTCTACCCAAAATATTGCTTGCAGAATTGCGTAAATACTTTTCAGGTACTGCTACACAGAACACAGAGATTTAGATTGCCAAGATATAAGGATGTAACATGCAAGAACCTTGCTTTCTGCCATTAACAGTCTTTAGAATGCAGAGATATATGTAAAGAATGCAGATTAAGCAGGTGTTTGGGCAGTATGTAGATCTGGGCAAGGTGTGGTGGATTTTTCTGTGCTTCTGGTTGGGGGGGGGGGCGGTATACATATATGCATGAATATACATGAATATATACATGAATATATACATGAATATATACATGAATATATACATGAATACACATAAATATACACGGCATACATATGCACACGCCCTTTTAAGGGGAGCGGTTCCTTGAAATATTGCCATCGCCCCACGAAAAAATATGGAACTCACCTCAAGTTCGCCGAAAAGGTGATGCTTCAGACCACGAAAAAGGCACCTGGACTCTCAAACTACCCAACTTGTGTGTGAAACAAAGCATATATTCCCCTATATGTTTGGTCCAAAATCCCATTTCTTGGGGGTGTATTTGGAGGATCCAGGAAGCCGACGCGGTCGATTTCACTAGGAGAAGAAGAGCAACGTCTCCCACATCTCTGGGATTAGCGCAGCCGATGCTTTGGCCAAGCACCGGGGGATGATGATCGAGCTCTTCCACAAGCCACTCGACCCATACTTTGGTGCATTTTGCTTGGATGTTAGGACTTTCACTTTTGCCAGCTAATGGGTTTTCCATTAAACCACTAAAAGTTAAGCTTTTTGCAAGAGAGCAGAAAGCAACCGAGCATTTATCTTGCTTCCGCCGGGGATACTCCAATTGGGCGGGCGGGGTCTTGATCAATGTGGCGGAATCAGCCAAACTACTTAACTACTTGCTGGTGCGATAAGTAGGGAATGAGGAGATGACCCGAAGATCAAAAACATCTGACTGGTGGTTTCCTTTTTTCGGGAATCCCCAAAACCGGTCCCTACTTGTTGCACCAGCAAGTCATTCGCTCGACGATCCGTCAATCCGACACGGATGAGGTCGGATTTGCTCGGCACTTGCTGGGTTGGGTCTGAGACAGGAACTCGGAGAAAAAAAACAAAGTTATTGCCCCAAGGATAAAGTCCCTTTTTCGGGGGGAGATTGAGGGTCCAGGTACCTGGGTGATTGCCCACATTGCGGTTGGTGGTTTTTGCCGAGGGTAGCTTGAGAGTCCAGGTGGATCTTTGGCCTTTTTGGGACATGCTGTTTTTTGCACTGCAAAAGGTTGAACTTTTTAAATGGGAGCAAGAGCAATCAAGAAGAGGGAGGCCACGCTTGTTTCAGTTTGGGGTTCCCTCCCGGCTTTCCGCATTTTGAGGGGTTCGCAGTCCCGATCTCTTTTGGGGTTGGTTTCATGGCCATATCGCTCAGGAACTTCGCAGGATGTCAGTTCAACAGACCTAGTTAACGGGACGCCCGGATTAAGCGGAAATTCTGGTTGATTAAAAGGGGGTGTTCCCTTTTAGCGGGGGTTCATCACTGTTGAAGGGAACGCTCCCGCGTCAACACAGGATGGGTTTAATCCAAGGTCAACCTTGCAAACCCACTTGCTCAGCCCCAGCAGCCCCAGCCCGGTCCCTTCCCAGCACCTTTCCCGAACCCTCCCTTGCTTCGGGGTGGGAAGAGATCCTGTAGCTCTCAGCTGCTTTGGCCGGTTGGGAGGCTCCCTGCTTTTTGTCGGCCCCCCTGTTGGATGTTCCTCCCTTGGCAAGGTTCCGTTTCCAAAAACAAATATGGTTACTCCTTGTAGGCAACCTCCTTGTAGTTAACACCGGTTCAACCCCCCGTTAAATCCCCCCCCGTTAAACCCCGCCTCCAGAAGCACTCCCTTTGCCTCAGGCTGGACGCGGACAAGTCCGGGGTCATCGACGCCCATGAGCTGCGTCGGGGCTTGCGCGCTGTGGGGCGCCTCGATGTCATGGGACGGTGCTTAGTTTTGTTTGCTTTTTCCAGGGCTCCTTAAAAGATGCATTTTGCCCATTTGAAACATGGCTTCTTCCACCAAAATAATCGGATACCACCATTTACAAGGCAATGTTCAGGTGTATAATGTAAGGATCCCTGTTTTGCTTTTGTTGGATGTGTTGATTGGATTTTAACTGTTGATGTTCAATGGTTGTTTTTGTGGCTTTTGCTAAGTTTGACATTCGTTAGTTGTGCTTGTAGTTGTTTATTTTCTACACTTGTTCTTAGGGCTTGTTTTGTCGTTCTGTTCCCCGGGCACTTGTTCTGTCAGACCAAACCACCAATTGGAGAGAAGCTGATTTACAGGCATGATATCATGGGGGCTGGGGGGGAGGGAGGGGTAAATAAGGCCTTATTTAGGGCTTAGTTGGGCTCCCTCCCCCTCGCCTCCCTCCCCCCCAGCCCCCATGATGATAATTCCCTGGTTCTTTGTTTTGCAGTGGTTGGCTTCTTAGGTTGACGAAAAAAAGACACCTGCTGTGGGGGAAGGGTCGCACCACCCAGGAAGAAACTGGCCAAACCATCTTCCTGGCAAAGGGGAACAGGCTTCAAGGTGCTTTAGCCTGGGTTTTATCAGGATTTATGGTGGGGCTAGGAGGGGCTTAGGATGTGTTTAAGGTTTCTGGACCAAAGACTTTGATTTGCTTAAGAATGTTTGTTTATTCCCCTCTGCTGATCAGAGGCATTGATCGCTGCTTTGTTTTCTAAGGTGCTTAAGCATATGGAACATATCAATCAGCTCTTCGCATGTTGTTGGGCCAAGATTCAGGTTGCCATTGGATCCTTCAGATAAGTCGACGATGGTGTCCCCCAAACGGCCCCGCCAAGAAATGGGCGTTCTTCTGCTAGGCAGTAGCACTTGGCCAGAGCCAGGCCAAGCAGCGTTTTTTTTCTGCATGGTGGGCTTTTTGGGATGAAACTGAGGACACCCCTTTCGCAAAAGGAAAGCCATGCGGCCCAGGCAGGTAGGCTAACCTTCTGCAAGGGGCACGGGACTGTTGTCTGTTTATTCTCCTTTCAAAGGTGAAGGAAATCTAAAGGAACACCACCCATTTTGAGGTCCCACAACACACAGAGACACCCATGTTGGGTTCTCTTCAATAGCAAGGCTCAGGAGTTCCCCCTTCCTCAACATTGTCAACCGGTGATGGGGAACAAAGCAAATCGGCTGAACAGGGAAAGACAGGGACTGAGCCAGCTCCAGGGTAAATCTTAAAGGCGTAAGGTGATCTTCCTTTTGGTGATGTGAAGAAAGGGGAAGCATAGCCCTGCAAAATCCCCCCTTTTTGTGCCCAAATGACTTCGCCCTCGAAACCAGTGAGTGAAGCAAGGTCGCAAGGAGAAAGCCAAACACTGCAACGGGGTGTTCGCGTGGGTTGGTTGTGTGTAGTTATTTTGGTTCTGCTCAGTTTTAGCACAAGCGTGGGAATGGTACTGCGTCGTGACATCTTCCCACGAAACGCACGATGTGCCCTGTGGACCTCGATGGGATGGTTCCCGGCTACTGCCCCCTCCTGCTCCAAAAATGGAAGGTACAACTTTTTTGGGAAGCTCAGCATGTTCAAACCTTTTTGGCTATTTGGCTGGACCTGCGGACTTTAATTTTGTGGGTGAAACGTTGGAGTTTCCGTTGGGCCCACAACAAGTTGAACACGTTTGTCAACAGAAGCCAAGAACCAACACATTTAAAGGTCACAGATGCCAAGTAGCATTCAGAAGGATCAAAAGGGTCGAACATCGTTGGATTATTGGGCTCCCCGGGTCGAAGTACATCACAGGTTCGTTTGATTTGACCAGCGTTGCCTTGGTTACACGGGGAAATGGCTGTGTGGCGTTCTTGACTTGGTATTTCTTTGGTGTTGGTTTAAAGGGAGACCAAGGGACGTGGCCATTTTGGGGGCGGGGTCCGACTCCTTCGTTCTTTTTTTTGTGAGACCAACCACTTGATGGAAAAATCGCGCTGCGAGGCAGCATCCTGGGCGGGCACACCGGCTCCTGCAAACCCTGGACCACAACCAGAATGGCCGCCCGGCCAAAGAAAATGAGCTTATTGGCAGGCTTTACTGGCAAGCCAATCTCAAGCAACTGGCCTATGGGCTGCAAATCAATGCCAAGGACCCTTAGAATGTTTGCAGAAAGCTCCGGGGCCTGAGAACTCCACTTCGCAAGGGGGCGTGACCATCAGAAGGATCAACCCTATCCAAGAATAGAAACTTCATCGGGTGGGATCAGGGTACCACTCCAGAAACAATGGTTGCACGGGCACTTTGCAGGAAATAGAGCTTTAGACCCCGAAGCCGCACGAAGTTGGGGAACAAAAGAACTGAAGTGGCTGGTGCAAGTAGGATCAATGGGACACCACCCGGACACATGGCAACGGTGTCCGAGGCACCAACACCATCACAGCATCACCAGGACAATGCCGGGACACCACCAAAACGCTAGCGGGAGACGGCCAAAACACACCGCCAAAAAAGCATTCCAGGACGCCGCCAAAGCACCTTCGGGACACGACCAGAACACCACCAAAACTCCACTGGGTGAGCTTTATCATATTTTCTGCACAGCCTCATATCCCCACCCCCCAAGCTTGGGGGGGGGAATATTCCCGGAAGTCCACTAGTTCGAATTCTTCGTTTAATGGGAAGACTGGAAACAAAGGAATTGCCCCCCTTCGTTCCCAAAGCATGAACTCAGTAAGTCCCTGAACGCATTACCCCCCCACCAATTAACATGGAACCTGACACCGGTCCCTTAAAAAGGAAAATCAGGTTCCCTCTTAATTGGTGGGAAGGTTTCATCCATCCCAACTGGCGCTCAGGGATTTTGTCCATCCACAGGCCACTGCCCCCCCGTCCAAAAGGCGCGACAACCCATTTGACCAGGTAGCATCCACAGGCTTGGGTTACCAGTGAGCCACTTGCTGCACAACCTGGGTAGATGAAAGTTTGCAAGGGAGAATCGGAATCAGAAATGGGTGCAGCCGCCTTTGTAACTCTTTACATGCTTCTGGGTACGTAGCCCATTGTCGCACCAGGTAATGATGATGACTCAAGTCATGTTGCTTGTTGAAAGAGCTCCCCTGATTGACATGCACACCCCCAGGCCCAAAACCATGCTTAATGGGGATTGAAATTTCCGGTTGGGAAGGACCCCTTTCTTGATAGCAACCCAATGTTTTCCTGTGTAGGTGAGTAGGATACGTCAAAGATGGTTTACTGGAAATAAAGCGGCTTGTTACCAGGAATTCCCCAACGGCTGTCAACTATTTTGTTAAGGGGTTTATTGTTGGCATTTTGCGCCCGTTCGATAGCGCCCGTTAAGTTGTTGTTAACTTTCGCATCAAGAAGCACGCGTAGTATCAGCTTCCCTCCAATTCAACATTTGGATTTGTGGTTATGTGAAAGAGGGAGGCTGAGAGCTCCAAGGCTTTACAGGCCAATCTTTCGGGAAATGGCCCCAAAACACCCCAAAATCTGCTGGAAATGGCCCCAAAACAGCCCAAAATCTGCTGGAAATGGCCCCAACACACCCCAAAATCTGCTGGAAATGGCCCCAAAACAGCCCAAAATCTGCTGGAAATGGCCCCAAAACACCCCAAAATCTGCTGGAAATGGCCCCAAAACAGCCCAAAATCTGCTGGAAATGGCCCCAAAACACCCCAAAATCTGCTGGAAATGGCCCCAAAACAGCCCAAAATCTGCTGGAAATGGCCCCAAAACACCCCAAAATCTGCTGGAAATGGCCCCAAAACAGCCCAAAATCTGCTGGAAATGGCCCCAAAACACCCCAAAATCTGCTGGAAATGGCCCCAAAACACCCCAAAATCTGCTGGAAATGGCCCCAAAACACCCCAAAATCTGCTGGAAATGGCCCCAAAACACCCCAAAATCTGCTGGAAATGGCCCCAAAACACCCCAAAATCTGCTGGAAATGGCCCCAAAACCCAAAATCTGCTGGAAATGGCCCCAAAACACCCCAAAATCTGCTGGAAATGGCCCCAAAACACCCCAAAATCTGCTGGAAATGGCCCAAAACACCCCAAAATCTGCTGGAAATGGCCCCAAAACACCCCAAAATCTGCTGGAAATGGCCCCAAAACACCCCAAAATCTGCTGGAAATCTGCTGGAAATGCTGGAAATGGGCACCCCCAAAATCTGCTGGAAATGGCCAAAACTGGAAATGGCCCAAAATCTGCTGGAATGGCATGGCCCCAAAACACCCAAAATCTGCTGGAAATGGCCCCAAAACACCCCAAAATCTGCTGGAAATGGCCCCAAAACACCCCAAAATCTGCTGGAAATGGCCCCAAAACACCCCAAAATCTGCTGGAAATGGCCCCAAAACACCCCAAAATCTGCTGGAAATGGCCCCAAAACACCCCAAAATCTGCTGGAAATGGCCCCAAAACACCCCAAAATCTGCTGGAAATGGCCCCAAAACACCCCAAAATCTGCTGGAAATGGCCCCAAAACACCCCAAAATCTGCTGGAAATGGCCCCAAAACACCCCAAAATCTGCTGGAAATGGCCCCAAAACACCCCAAAATCTGCTGGAAATGGCCCCAAAACACCCCAAATCCGCTGTTTCCCTTGTCGAATTTTTCCTGTAACCCAACCCCCGTCGCGGCTTCGCGGAGGCAAGATCGAGCTGTCGGAGTGGATCCAGACCATCGATAGTGCTTCGGCCAAATCGATGAGCCTCACGGTCCGCGAATCCGGAGCTGAGCTGTCGGTTTCTTAAGGTCCACTTGGAAAAGGTCCACTTGATTTTCGCAGGTTGGGGAAAATGACCTTTTGGTTTGCATAAGGTCTACTTTGAGTAATGTTATCAGGTGATCACCTTTTGCTGGGTCCCTAAAGGAGCAAGGAGGGTAGTCTATGGTCTCAGTGTCAAAAGAAAACGGCTCCTAATTTGTGGACCCGTTTCGGTGCAATTCGCATCGTTTCGGTATGTCCTGGGTTTTACAGAGGAGGCCAAAAAGGGCCTCTAATTTTGACAATCCCCCAAGTGAATTCGGAAACTCACACAGGTACCCATTCCCGAAGGAGTCTCCTTGTGGCACAGCTCAGCAAAGATCTGGGCGTTTTGTTTTTCAGGCTGCAATGCAAGGCGGAAATGTTTGCCAGCCCTTGGCGTGTCCCGTTTACCAAGGGCAACTAACCGCTTACAAGGCAAGTAGCTGCAAAGACTTGTCTGGGCCCGATGTCTTGTTCTGTGTCCTTGACTTCTCTTGAGTGGAGCTCCCCTTTTTTGGTTTCCCACACGCCACACGCAGGCGGCTGCCAGCCTTGTTTTTGTTTCTGAGGCGTTTCACGGGTTCACCATGTCACCGTAGATGGTTTTTTTAATCATGTTGGTGCTTACTAGCTGGCATGAGCGTGTGTTTTGGGGGACCCCTCCCGTTAAAACTTCACAAAAGAGGGGATCCCTTACAAAGACCCCCCCCCTGTATTTTGGATGGTTTTCAGGGGCAACCAAAAGGCAACCAAGGACCTCTTTACCATTTCTTGAAGCTCGCATAGCGCATATGTGTGTTCAAATTCCCAAATCAAAGAGGATGGGCAACTTGAGTTTCTTTCCAATCCTGTTTGCACCGAGACATCGTTTGGAAAGACCTATTTGATGCGTGGTTCCCTTGGAGGCTTGTATTGTTTGCGAGGTTGCCTGGAAGGGAAGCCACCAGACAAGAAAGGAAATCAAAGCAAGCAACAACACACAAGTTTTACCTCTCCGTAGAAAGCCTGGTGTTTTGTCCAGGTCCATGTTTTTTGTGCGCACCGCCCAATTCTTTTGGAACAAACGGGTCCTTCTTCTCTTATGGACGCCAGACTTGTCTTTAGCTTCTGTTTTCAGACTGTCGATATAAACTCCGGTGTTGCGCTTGCTATCCGCTGGTCGCTCGCCGCTTGCTATTCGCTGGTCGCTCGCCGCTTGCAATCCTTGCATTTGCTGAAATGGATATTGTTGTATTTCCCCATGTCCAGTTTTTAAGGGAATCGATTTCACTACTGGACATGTTGTTGTTTATCTTGTTCCAGGAGACGAAGAAGCAAATGGAAGTACCTGCACTCTCAACCTGCCGATAAACATGGTGATTGCAGCCCAATATTAATTACGTTTGGTGACTTCCCTTTTTCATGAGTAGCTCTCAAACTATCCAGAAGCATGGAGAACAAAAACACCCACCATCAAATTTGGGTTGTAACATCTCACCAGCGACTTTCTTCTACGTGCTTTATTTTTTTCCGGATCCATCCGCGCAAACAAAACAAAAGGACAGAAAACACAGATCTACCTAGACCGCCTAGACCGCCTAGACCGCCTAGACCGCCTAGACCGCCTAGACCGCCTAGACCGCGTCTCCGAAATTCGCTCGGCGGGCGCACGAGGCATGGTGGTGCGGGAGGTGCGCTCCGAGACCGTGGAGAGCTTCGCCAAGGCCATCGTGAAGCACTCCGAGGCGATTTCGAACGAAAGCGGATTCGATCGGAGTCGGAAGCGATATGGCTTCCATGTGGGGTTAAATGAGGATGTTTAGTATGAGTATTGTGATTTTCCATTTTTTTACACATAGTTTTGTTGTTGTGACTAAGAAAGAACATATTTGTCTTTGTTGCTTTGACAGACTCGGTTTCGCTGCTACAAAATAGTTGGTTTGTTCCAGGGGGGCTTAAGCAAAGGGAAGATGGGCAACGAGCGATTTCCACAGGATGAAGAAAACGGGTCGAATCTGGCGGTGAAGGCTGAACAATTACGTGATGCTTGTTTGCTTGGGTGTTAAATAGGAAATAAATTGCACTTCACTGAGATTACACTCAGGCCGTTCCAAAACTGGTCTGAGCCTGTGCCGTTGATCAAAACTAACCCGGGGTTTTATCCGGGGTTCCAATTTGTTGGAGCTTTTCAAAGTTTCAACCTACCTCACTTGGGGTGGGGATTTCGCAAGGCAGACCCTTGTGACCGAATCGCCCAACAGGAGAGACCGTTTTTGTTTTATAACATTTTTTTCGACTGACAACACACAAGGTGATCGACCCTTTGCTGGGAGAAAAGCTTGAAGGATACTGATTCAGTATGTTGGCCAGATTAAATAGGCCTTCCATCAAAGCGTGTACCAGGTGGTTCTTCATTTCTTTGTGCATCCTGTTTACGGAGCCTTTTGTGACGGTCAAGCGGGTGAGTGACTTCAAGCATTTGGGGTAGCTTGAGGGTCCAGAAGTAACTGGCCCACGTGCAAGCCCGGAATTCACCAATCGCTCACCCAGGAAATGGCAGGAGCCAGACGAGAGGTGGTCTATGCCAGGATATGAGGAAAAGCCTGAGCCATGAATAAGGCCAGTCTAGTGGTTCCAATTTCGTGAAAGAGCATAGGTAACGTATAGCATGTGAGATCCTAAGTATACATGATATGTAAGGCAGGGCTCAAATAATATGATGACTAGGCTTTCTGATTTCTAGCGAACAAGTACCGGAAGCAAGTTGCACGGTTGACCAAACATGGGCCACGTTGGTTGGAGCAAGAGCTGCATCCGTGACAGGCGGGGACGTTGACTCTCTCGATGGAGGAGAGGAAGAAGAAGGTGTATATGCTTTCCTTCCGGTCTGCTGTAAGCAGCTCGGCACAGATTTGGCTGTGGGTGAAAGCAATGGAGAGACTTCAATAGCTCGTCTGCAAACGAGTGGGAACCATAAGGGCTCGGCACCAAAACACAAGTGACATGAGTATTTCTTGCTGCCTTTTGCGTGACGGCGAGCAGCGACTGGTAGCAAGCCTCAACTTCGGAGGGTGCGACCAGCGCACATAGTGAGGCGTCCTGCCCTGACAACCATCTTTGCATTGTGGCAGGCGATCCAAGCATGGCAGGAATGACAGCTGGATGAAACGAGTTGCCAGCAAGGTTGTATTTGGTGCCACGTGCCACAGGTAACTGGAACCAAAGACTAGGACCTGCGGTTTGTTCTGGCTCTTTAATGTTCACCCAATTCCACTGTTTCCGATCGAAGTCTGTTGAGGCCGAAACATGGCACACATCCACTTCGATGTTTCCTACCCACCATTTGCTGAAGCTCCCTGGAAACAACACACATAATTCCAGTGATAGATTCCCTTTAACACCAACAGGGGAAAATAGACTCTTGAAGGCTAGGGGAGGGGGGGGGGAGGGAGGCCCAAATACGGCCTTGTTAGGGGCTTGGGGCTTTCCCTCCCCTCCCCCCCCCAGCCCCCATGATAGACAATTCCTTTTAACACCAACCGTGGCTTTCGGTTTGGGTGATTCAAGCCTGGCCCCAGAAATAGAAACGTAGTGGACTTGAAGGGGTCTCTTGATCGCGTGGGCCGGTCAAACTTGTTACTCGGGGTGTCCTTCAAACGGGGGGAAAGCCATGTGGTGAACTGGGTAGGTCCCGTTTTTCGCATGTGGGCACGCAGTTTGAGGGTTTCTCCGAAATTCCCACTTGGGCAGTTCAAGCCCCTTTGAACTTGGAGGGTGGTCAATTGATATCACTGTTGGTTGGAGTTTGCCAAGAGAAGCAAGGGAGAACAGGAGTTTGTTTTCTTTTGGGTTTGGACACATCTTGCCATTGCCCTCTTGGAGCTGAGCATTTCTTGATGCGACCTCATTGGTTTGGGTAGCAACGCCCGAAAGCGGAGCCCACGTTGCCGGGAGTCGGAGGTTTCGGGGTCTTGAAATGCAGGTGATGCCCAGTGGATCTTTTGTGGTTTGGGGGGAGACGTTTAAGACAAATCCATATTGTTGGAGATCCAAATGTGGTTTCGACGCCGTTTTCGCCTTTGAAAGGGGCTCGATCTCGTGGTTCCATGGCCTGCCGTGGCCTTGAGGAAGGTGTGGGTCAAAATGAAACCACCAGAGGACCAGAGGCGTGTGGTCCTTGGTTCCATTCGCCAGGGCAACCCATTTTGGGTACCCATTTTTGGCTCACAGCCAGGAGGGTAAGGGCAGATTGAGTACTAACATGCCATCATTTTCTGCGAACAACACTCAGCGCCGGCTTGGCTGAGGGCGTATTTGTGGGTATGTCAGAAGGTTTTATTAGCGTTTGTCTCAAAGCAAATGGGGTATTTGTAACCGCCTGCCCAAAAAGCACAAGGTTATCTTTTGGGAGTCCGCTCTACACAATCCCCAATAATTAAACCATAGCGATGAATTCTAAGAGACCTCACATGCTGAAATCTTGGTTTTGGAGTGCCCTCCCGGTGCAGAATACCATAAAATATATGTTATCAACAACCAGTTTGTAGCCTTTAGAGTACCGCCTGTAGGCGGGGGGAGGTCCCTTTTCCGCGTCGCGCCTGAGGACTGTCCTGGGACATGTTCTTGACCTGTCTCCTCGTCTACATCGCCCTGCTGTTGCCTTTTAGGTTGGCGCCCTGGCAACGAAGAAGTGCCCTTGTCAGTCCGCCGGAAAGGGCTGAAAGACCGCGGTTTTTGTCGTGGTCACTGGGTAGATTTGGACAACACTGGTTTTCTTGAAACCTGGTGGAATCCAGGTTTTCAATTTTCCATGGCAAGTACCTCCTTTTTAGTTTGCTGAGGCTCAGATATCCTTAACAAATGTGGCAGTTTGGAGTCGAGGGGTAGGTTTGACGCACTCCTTGCACAAAGAACGGGGGGATGGCTTTCACCCATCATGATGCGGCTTGGACCGGTTATTGCTGTGTTTTTGTTGTTTGTTTGTTGTTATTATTCTTATTATTATGATGATGAATATTGACATTATTATCATTATTATAATTATCACTATTACTCTTATTATTATATGTGTGCTTCTTGTCTTTGTCTGCTTTTTTGTGGGGGGGGGGGAAGGGTAGCTCCCATAATATTTCCTCACTTCCTCAGTTACTCTATACGTTTTGGGAAGACCATATGAGTGGCACCCCACCAAATTGGACTGCTTCGGCCAATCCACGCAGGAAGTGAGTTTCATGTGGTGGTTGCCTCTTAGGCTTGGTATTGCAATCCATGGCCCGTTCTGGTCTTCTACTGGAGATGATGCATATCTGTGTGCGTGTGCTTTTTTGAGGGTACCCTGTTGGGGCGGTTTGAATGACAATATAAAGGACAATCGCCATTGTAGGGTCCCCTATTGTGACACTTACCCATGGCTTTGCAAGCCGGGTGTTGGATTGCTCCCTTCCATTGGTGATGCGGCCTGACTTCCTCATCCCCCCTGCAAAATGAGCAAGGAACTCAATAAAAGGTCCCTCAAAAGAAGGTTCCTTCGCGAATGAGTGTCGAGTTCCAAGTTGTACTGCCGCGGGGTACACATATTTGGACTTCTACTGCGTGAAGCGATATTCCCAACTTCCATGTGCTGAAGAATATGTGTATTATTTCCCCTGGTCGTTTTTGTGTGGGGGGGGGGATCTATCACTACTGGAGGGAATTTTGGTTTGTTCTGGACGCTTAAGCAAGAGCCAAGGGGTCTGATAGCTTCACTTCACATGCTCAAGCTTGGTTTGTTTGAGCTGTCTCCAGATGTGCTGCCCTCCTGTCCACATGGAACCCCCCACGGAAAAAAAGTTGGTACCCTTATTCTAACCTCTCTACTGGAGGACCTAGTAGTTCAACCATAGCTGTGAATGCAATTCCCCTCCGGCATGCGATTCCATGACTGGTCCCTTTGGACGACTTGGTTCCATTTGCAGAGGCCAATTGGGGGAGCTTCCGGCTGTTCGGTTGGGGCAGCGTACCCAAAGCTAAAAACCAAAGAAGGGATGGGTGTGCTACATGTGTTCCCCAACCAACGGGCTGGGAAATGGAACGCCCCCGAGAAGAACCATTCACACAAGCAAGTAAAGCCGGGGATAGAATTGGAAAGCCGGGGTGCGCGGGATGGGCATCAGCAAACAATTATTTTGGGGATCAAAAACAAATTATTGAGACCTAGTCTCCTGGTCTCCTGGTTTGCTGGTCCTGGTCTCCTGGTCTCCTTGTCTCCTGGTCCCCATGTCTCCTGGTCTTGGTCCGCTGGTCTTGGTCCCCTGATGCCCTGGTCTCCTGGTCTCCTGGTCTCCTGGTCCTTGGTCTCCTGGTCTCCTGGTCTCCTGGTCTCTTGGTCTCCTGGTTTGCTGGTCTCCTGGCCTGCTCTCTTACCCGAAGCCGACCCTAAACCAAACTACACCCACCCTAAACCAACCCAAAACCAACCTACAAACCAACCTTGAAACCGACCCTGCGCAACTTTTAAACCAACCCTAAACCCACCCTAAACCAACCCTAAACCAATCCTAAACCCACCCTAAACCTACCCTAAACCTAGCCCAAGCCAACCTAAAACCACCCTAAACCCATCCTAAACCTACCCTAAACCAACCTAAATCCACCCACCATAAACAAACCGTAAACCCTCCCTAAACCCACCCTAAACCCATCCTAAACAGACCCTAAACTAAACCCACCCGAAGCCCAACCAAAATTAACCCTAAACCAACCTTGAAACCAACCCTACACAACCTTAAGCCAACCCTAAACCCAGCCTAAACCAACCCTAAACCTGCCCTAACCCTACCCTACACTTACCCTAAACCACCGTAAACTTAGCCTAAACCATCCCTTAACCAACCCTAAACCAACCCTAAGCCAACCCTAAACCACCCCTAAACCCTAAACCTACCCTAAACCAACCCTAAACCCACCCTAAACCCACACCAAACCTACCCTAAACCAACCTTAAACAAAACGTAAACCGGCACTAAACCCAGCCTAAGCCCACCCGAAAACTACACTAAACAGACCCTAAACCAAACCTACACCCACCCCAAAAACAGTCCTAAACCAACCCTAAACCCGCCCTAAACCTGCCCAAAACCTACCCTTAATTATCCCTAAGCCAACCCTAAACCAACCTTCAAGCCCCAAACCAAACCTAAACCCACCCTAAACCAAGCCGTAGCCCAGCCTAAACCATCCCTAAACCAACCCTAAAGCAACCCTAACCAAACCTCATCCAACCCTAAACCCACCCTAAACCAACCCTACTGACCTTCAACCGACCCTAAACCCTAAACCCTAAACCCGCAAACCAACCCTAAACCCACCCTAAACCTTCCCGAAGCCAACCTAGAACCACCTAAAGAACCTAAACCAACCCTAAACCAACCTAAGCCAACCCCAAACCCACCCGAAACCCAACCAAAATTAACCCTAAACCAACCTTGAAACCAACCCTACACAACCTTAAGCCAACCCTAAACCCAGCCTAAACCCTAAACCAACCCTAAACCTGCCCTAACCCTACCCTACACTTACCCTAAACCACCGTAAACTTAGCCTAAACCATCCCTTAACCCAACCCTAAACCAACCTAAGCCAACCCACCCCTAAACCCACCCCACCCTAAACCCACCCTAAACCTGCCTTAATTATCCCTAAGCCAACCTTCAAGCCAAACCAACCTAAACCCCCTAAACCAGCCGTAGCCCAGCCTAAACCATCCCTAAACCAACCCTAAAGCAACCCTAACCAAACCTCATCCAACCCTAAACCCACCCTAAACAACCCTACTGACCTTCAACCGACCCTAAACCCTAAACCCACCCTAAACCCCTAAACCCGCACCAACCCAACCCTAAACCCACCCTAAACCTTCCCGAAGCCAACCTAGAACCACCTAAACCAACCTAAACCAACCCTAAACCAACCTAAGCCAAACCCACCCAAACCCAACCAAAATTAACCCTAAACCAACCTTGAAACCAACCCTACACAACCTTAAGCCAACCCTAAACCCAGCCTAAACCAACCCTAAACCTGCCCTAACCCTACCCTACACTTACCCTAAACCACCGTAAACTTAGCCTAAACCATCCCTTAACCCAACCCTAAACCAACCCTAAGCCAACCCTAACCACCCCTAAACCCACCCTAAACCCACCCTAAACCAACCCTAAACCCACCCTAAACCTACCCGAAGCCATTTAAAACCACCCTAAACCTACCCGGAGCCATTTAAAACCACCCTAAACCCAACCTAAACCTACCCTAAACCAACCTAAATCCACCCACCGTAAACAAACCCTAAACCGTCCCTAAACCAAGCCTGAACCCACCCTAAGCCCACCATAAACAGACCCTAAGCCAAACCTATACCCACCCTAAACCAATCCTAAGCCAACCCTAAACCTAAACCAACCCAAACACACCCGAATCCCAACCTACATTAATCCTACACAACCCTACAGGCAATTACCCGATGCTAGGTTCGTTGATAGAACTGCGCTTGTATCTGAAAAGTTGTGATTTTCGAACTGGAGCTGCCAAAGTGACCTTCGCGTACTGCGCTTGTATTGGAAAGTGTCTATTTTTCAGCTGGAGCCGTAAAATGCGCACGCTGTTGCCCGAAAATGATGTAAACTACAGCGTTTCGGAACCCCCGGGCGAGATAATTTGTTTTTGATCCTGTAAATAATTTGTTTTTGATCCGGGTGTCGATAATTTCTTTTTGATCCCGTACATAATTCTTTTTTGATCCTGCACCCGGGGTGCGCGAAGCAAAAACTCTGAAATTTCGGCCGCAGGGCAAGGAACCAAACAACACTTAGATCCGTTTTTTGGGGCTTTGGTTTTTCCAACTTCTTCCGTTTTGTTTCAGCCTGAAGGTTTTCTTAAATGGGCGTCTTACTCGAAACGGGTTGCCAATACCCACTTCGCCAGGCCGAATGCTCTGTTTTTTGGGGCCCAAAAGCACACCCAACAAGCCTCCCCACCCCAGTTGCTTCGGGAAAGGGAGGGGATGACAAGAAACACACATACCCAGATATGAACCCGGTCAGAACCCATTGGTCACACCGTAAACTTTTGGTTGCAATCACCCATTTTTATGGAGCGTTTCCGCGGGTCCAGGTGGGTGTGGCTCAAAATGAGACAGGACAGGTTACGCAGGTTTTGGTCCATGTTTCCACTTGCCAGGGCAACCCATTTTTGGCACCGGCTTTTTGAGCCACAGCCAGGTAGTTCTGATCCATGTTTGGTTTTTGCCCAAAGCCGACCTTTTGACCGGGTTTCTCCTTTTTGGTTTAGCTTTAGTCATGGCCCCAAAAGCTGATCTCACCTTTTATTTCTGGGTCCTTTGAACAAGTGAGCGCCCCATCTCCCAAGAACCCGGGAAGAAGCCAAGGCATTTTTCGAAGACAACTCGGCGGCGGGAGCCACCTACAGCACCTCGGTGGTGTGGCTTTGAGGCCTCCAACGACGTAAGAGGTTCGACCCAAGGTCTAGGTCCCCTAGTAGTGCCCTTTCTCACCCTTTTTTGGTTGGGAGGTTTTGTCTGCTAATATAGACTACAGAAAAAGGGTACCCTTATTCTGACCTCTCGACTGGAGGGCAAATATTTTGGGTGTGACTCTTTTCTTTAGGTGATCCCGCTTGGTTTCCATTCAAAAACCAAACAGGTGGTACCTAGATCCCCAGTTGCCCTTATTTTCGAGCCTTTGCTAGTTGGTAAAGTGGCTGGGTATGGGTCAAAATGAGCTGCCACCTGACCGCAGGTTTTAGTCCTTGTTTCCATTCACCAGGGCAACACGTTTGGGGTACTGTCAACCGTATGGCTCTTTGGCAACGGGTCTTTGGACTTTTTGACCTTTTGAGAATGACACTTTGGCAGGTTTTTCCGAGTTGGAGACACAAAAACTTGCTCAGCAGGGAAGGAGGGAGTGAACCCAGGCTTTGGTCCCCTTGAAGGAACCCACAGGGGTCTCCTTAGAGAAAACCACTTGTGGGATGGTTTATCTCGGCGTCATTCCATTTCTCATTCCCTACGTATCGCAGCGATCGCAAGAAAGGTTGATTCAACCTCTTTGCAGAGGCGTTGCAGCAAAGTCAGAGGCTGAAAACCCTGAGAAGTTGGCATGGCTTTCACCGAAGTGCCAAAGGAACCAAGGCGAGGAACCCGGCCACGGTCCTATTGGCTTCCTAGGCTTAAACATCACCTCACTCCCTGCGTTCCTGGACCTTGATGTTTTGGAAGACCAGGTTTGTGGTAAACAAACAGTGGTCTGAAAAGTGTTGATTTTTTTGTCCCATCCAGGCACGCTTGGTCTAAATGGGCTTGTCTGGGGAACCCACATTTGGTTCTCCTTTTCAAGACATCCAAACCGGAAAATGTTGACCACGGATTGATCTAATTAATGGGGGGTGTCTGGGTTTATTGGGGAATCAGACCACTTTTGGAGGGGCCCGCACCCCTCTATTAAAGAACGGGTTGGTTGATGAAGGTGGGGTCAACATTCCCCTCACAAAGTGTTGTTTCACGCCGAGCACACCTTTCTGGGCCCGATGCCGCTGCCGCTGATCTGGAGCTCTCTCTCTCTCTCTCTCTCTTTCTCGCCGCTCGCTGGCTCAGGTCTCATCGAGGTGATCATCGACATTTGTTTCATCGTCGACATCTTGCTGACCTTCCGCACCACCTATTGCCTGGAACCCCGAGACCCGGGAGACCCCGGTTGCGACCCCGACACCTGGGGTTGCCTCGATTTAGTTGTTGGTATTTTTGTTTGACCTCACTGTTCTTGGCATGCTTTTTGGGATTTTTGGTTGTGTGGTTCTCTTCATTTTTCCGGGGGGCTGCAAAGAACAAGGTTTTGTGCTACCATACCACGAGTAGAGATGTTGAGGTGCACCAAAGACCTCCTCAGCTTGGCTTGAATTTTAAGCGTGCACCAGACAAAAACCAAGGGCCAACTGGTTTGAGGCTCTATGTCAAGCGGTGATTAAATGGTTGGAACCCTTGACTTCAAGGCTTTCTTTGGGAAAACCCGGCTTTTCAATCAACTCCTGGCAAAAGCCCGGGTATTTTGAGTAGGGCGTAGATGCAAGATGAAGCAGAATCGCCTTGAGAGGTTCTTATCAGCCCACCCAAAAGCCAAAGTTGCATAGGCCAAGTCATGCGAGTCTTATTTGAGTTGCAAATGGCCAGCGATCTCAAGTCAGAGAGGGTGTTGCTCTTTGTTCTACATCAGCATGACTTTTTTTTGTGGGTACCCTCCCGATCAACATGGAACCTGACACAGGTTGCCTTAAGGAAAATTGTCTTCCAGGACCCCCCCCCCCCACCTGTCAGGTTCCATTTCAATCATTTTGACACACATCCACACCACCTGAAATCTGAAAGGGAGTGCCCCTAAGTCCACCAAATGCCCTGATTTTCCCTCAGAATCCACTCGGGGTGGTTAAGGAATGACTTATGGGAATCCGTTGGGGGTCACGTTGACCAAGTGAGGCAAGCAGCTAGTAGAGCTGAAAGAGTGTCACTCCGATTTCTTCATAGGCACTGGATTTGGAATGGACACCCGCGGCCACCAAAGGTGTTCTGTGCTGGGTGCTGTGTGCTGGTGTGTGTCTATTTGGTTGGGGTGCCTTGGATTGGTGGTTTTGAAGGGACATCAAAAGGAGCATCCACCCACTTTGGTGGTCGAAAAAGGACGATCCACTGGGCTGGGACAGCATCTCGTTGGCGGCGACGCACATATATATATATATATATGTATATTATGCATATGTGTAAATCTTATACTTCTACATATGTATACCCAGTGGATCCACTAAACCCGTATAGTAGGTAGCCTGTCTTGCTGCCACTTCGTTCCGCAACTCGAAGCATCAACCGGGCGAGGTGATGATGACGGGGAGGAGATCAATGACTGGAAGAAGGCGTGGAAACAGCCCTGGAAGATGGGGAGGGTATTCAAAAAAAAGCAAAGCCATGGACAAGTGGTTCTTTTGATTTGTTTGTTTGGTTCCGCAACTCACGGCAAAAACACTTGGCACAGGCTGACCTGTTGGTTGCTATGTTTTTGTTCCTTTCAACACGGTTTGCAGCTGTCTAAGTCTGGCCCTAGAACAAGGCGCTTGGAGTTTTGGGGGGTTCATTTCAGTGGAAGGCATGGAGGCAGGTGGTCAGGCTGAAAAGGTTCCACGTTGATTGCTTTGTCTTGAGCCAACAACTTATTGGTTGAACACGTGTGCTTTCCCACTGCAAGTTAAACTATTTTTTCCCCAGGCCTGGTCAAACCAAACCAAAACATTTTTGGTCCAAACTCATGCAAGCCGGGTTCGTGGGTTTTTCTTGGTCCCCTTTAAAGGGAGGACGTCTGCAGGTTTCGTTTCTGTAGCGCATCCGTCTCGAAACCTCGGCACGCGCCTACTTGCCATGGAAGCACTGGGTCGTTTTGATCCAGATCGCTTTTGTGACACCCCTGTAATACCGTGGGTGGTTGCGAAATCCAGAAATCGCACCGGAATAAGAAACCCAACGGTTTCTAATGATTCCCCAACGTAAATACAAATAGAGAATGGTTTCAACCATCGTTTTCAAGTGGTGCAGGATTTCGTCCACCCACAGTATGGGTTTACTCGGGGTCCCCCTCCACCCCTTCTTCCAAACTTCCGGTTTTGAGCTGGGGCTCACCTTAAGGAGTATGGTCCAGGTGTTTGCGAAACCTTGTTGGCTTCACGGCGCCTTGTGAGCGAGGATTCGTTTGAGGCCCCCCCCCCCCTCGAAAACGGGAGCCACGCCTGACTAGTGCAGTTATGTGCAGTTCCTCGGATTAATGCCATAATGCGAAGTTGACATCACTGCCCCGGCGATGAAACGCCGATAAACCAATAGCACTAGGTTCATAGGTTGGTTGCTGTTGACCCCCCAGCAAAAAGCTTAACTTTTTGGGGGTTTAAACCCCTTGATTTCCCAAAATGTTAAAGCCTAAAGATCCAACCCAATGCAGTCAAGATAGTTGCTTGTGTGGTCGCGGGCGATTTGGCGAAGAGCTCGACTCGGATCAGGTGGCTTTCCACTACTTGCGGAGTTGGTTTTTGGTGGACTTTGTCACTGCCATCCCCTTGGACGCTCGCCTTGATCGTTTACGCCTCCCTCGAACTACCTGAATCCTCAAAGAAACTACCCCTGAAGAAAGGCTCTGTTGGCGGGACTTCTTTTTCTTCCCTTTTTTTCTTCTTCGGGTTGCAGGTCCAGGTATCCTCCCGCCAACTAACATGGAAGTGCAACAAAAGCCCCTTTCTAAGAGGAAAGTCGTCTTTCCATGTTACTCGGTGGCAGGGTACCCTGGTACTGAACACTCATCCCATTTGCTCAATTCCTACGCCTCCCGAGGGTTCAAGGGTCCCCTCAGACAGGACCCCAAATGGGCGGCTCGGCCTTTTTTTTTCTCCGGTTACCCGGTTCCTTTTGGTTGCCCTTGAAAACCACAAAGCAAAGGGTACCTTGCAATGTACCTTTCAAAAGCAGAGACAGCCAAATCTTGTTCCAGGGTCAACGAACTGGGCCCGAAAGCTCCGGTTGTGCTCCACTTGTCTCTCGCCGGATAGCTGAAAAACATGGAGGATTCCGCAACAAATGCCGCCTTGGAGCAAATTCATTTAACATGATACCTTGAACACGAGGCGTGTTTGTCCGACATTGAAACCAGGAAACCATCGCCCTTTTAGAACATCTTCTCAAGAAGCAAATGAGTGATGGACCATCGGTGATTTCGCGGATTCAGGCCCAAGAGAAAACCAACAAGACTTGGTGACCAAATCGCCCCTGACCTGGGTCTGTCTTCTTGAGGCTGCCCCTTTTTGTGTTGTGATAAAGGAAAAAACAAGAGGAACACCACCATTTTGGGGGTCCAACCTAGAAAAGGAAACATACCCCCTACTATAGGAAAACCTGGTTTTCCACGGCAAACAACCTCCCTTTTTAGTAGAGGGTCGACATGATACCAACTGAAAAAAGCTGCGGTATTTGGAGCTTTCGGGGGTACCCAACCGGCTTTTTTCCATTTCGGCTCCGGAGTTCGGAGCAAAGGACTACATGCTCGCCTCTGCTGATGGGGTGAAACTCCTCAAGGGCTCCAAGGATCGCAGCGGGTCGAATCCGCGGTGTGTTCTTTGGGGCGATCGGAGGGTGCCAAAAGGAAGTTGAACCATTTCGGGGGGGGTTCAATCCAAATCCAGACCACCAATCCAAACGGAACAAGAAAACACTCATTTCCACCCAAGTTTCTTCTTCAACATCATCCTTTTGGTTTTGGCCATGCCATTTCTTCCCCAGCTGACAGCTGTGTAGCCCAGCTGAGTGCCAAGAAAGCCAGGCCTTGGTAGCCCAGTTTCTTAGGCATGAGGTTTGATTTGCGCTTCGAAGCTTGCCCCTTAGTCAGGAAAACCAGCTATGGGGGGGGTGTCTTAAAATAGCGGACATTTCGTGGGTGCCCCCGTGGTTTCCCGAAGTTGATGCCAATCTCAGCCCAAGAGGAGCTGAAGAAGCGATGGTGTTGGCTCCAATCTTCAGGTTATCCCTTGGTTCCTCTAGAGGGATGTAGAGGGTAGATGAGAAATCCCTGGAACACCTCCAGACCGCCGGGCTCCAAACCACCAATGAAAGAAAGAAGCTGAACTGATCAGCAAAGCAATTGGCTAATGAAAAAGAGGCAAGCGTAGCTTGAAAGGCTATTGGCTTGGATCTTCAGTTTTAGTTGTCCACGGCCAGCCTTTTGACCCTTTGGTTTTTTCCCTTCTGTTGGTCCATGTAAATCAACTTTTCTTCCTGGGTCACTGATTGCCAGTGAGCACCAGCGTACGCCGGCAGCATGGTTCTTTGATCTTTATCCTTTGATTGCTCTTGGTGGTCTAGGGGCGCTTTCCCCATTCTTTCCAGGGATCATTTTTTTCCAGAAAGACCTCCGGAAACCCGTGGACAACGGCCGGTCTTGACAACAATGATGCTTGAAAACACTGGAATTGGAAACTCAACCAGTGGGCTCCAACTGTTTGGTTTCTGAGTTCCTTTGGTTTCCCCCACCCCCTACCACCGCGAAGTTGTGGTTGGGGCATATGGCTTGCGGCGTTTTTGGGGGCGGGAAAAATCACGGAGCGCGCAGGTCTTCAAGGTCCTGAAGCTGCTGAGAGCGATCAAGTTCCTGACGCTGGACATGCAGATGCGGGGTGTGGTACAACTCGAAGTTTATCCCTGGCGAGAAAACCAAAATTTACGGGAGAGGGTTTGAGGGTGGGGAGAGAAATCAGGTTTTTTCATGGTGCTCTTACAACGTGAGAAAACAAAATGATGGGTTGTGGTTGGATCGCTCGGGGGAGTTCCCAACCACTTCTACTTCTGTGATTGGGAATCTCCCCTTTATTTGGGGGGTTAGTCTTTGGGAAGCCGTTTCTGTTGTATCACAGGGGTGGTCATTCCCCACAGCCCTGTTCAAGCAAGGTGCAGGAGGTGGTTTTGGAATTGTCCTCTCCCAGAGGAGCTGGCCCGTGTCTATCAACTCCTCGAAGGGGCCGAAATTCAAATGGGAACCACATACTGTGGATGGACGAAATCTACCTAAGACCTCTGGGATTCTCATGTTTTCAAACAAATACCGACGAACCATGGGTTCCCCGTGCCGTGGCTTCCAATTGGTGCGAAGTGGATTTGGCCCATCCACAGTATTGAGAGCTTCAAGTAAGGGTTTTGGAGGTTATCCACTTAGATCAGGGGTTCAGTTTGTCCAAAAGCCATACCCAAGTTCTTGAACATTAAAACCCAACTCCATGGACCATGTTGGTTCATGTTGTGTGGCGACAAGAAAGGTTCAGGCTTCTTTTCACGCAAGTATCCTCAGGTCCTTGGACGCTAAAGACTGGAGCTTTCTGTTGTCAGCATCCTTGCGTGTGCAAGCTGACCTATATGTAAGCCTTTTAGTTCTAAGTCTCAGGCGTACGCTGAATCGTTGTTTCTCGGGCGCAGAAAATGCCTCAACTTCGAACTGCCCGAGAGATGCCGAAGCTCCAAAACCGATTTGATTTTCCCCAACTGAAAGCAACGAGAGGGTTCTGGAACGGTGGGGGCTGCTGAGGACAAGGGCTTCTATGTATTTTCGGCCTGACCCAATATGTGAAGGAGAATCTGAAGCTATGTTTTTGAGGGCCAAGGTGGTTGTCAATGCCTCTTTGTGCGGCGACAGCTTTGGGGTCAGTTTGGAAGGAGGGTAGTTCAGGCTGTGGGATGACAGTTGCCTTTTGGAAATGCCATACTGGAGATGGACAGATGGCTAGATCACTCGCCTGCTTAGCGGTTGGACCGTAAACGGAAGCCGGAAGAAGGGTGTTCGAGAATCGATCACATACGAGTCTTGTGCCGACCGGGTTGCGCCTAAACGAGTCACTTGGCAAGCTGCTGAGCTGCTGGTTCAAGGGCAAGAATGCTCCGAAAAGGCTGAACCCCAGGAGAAACGCCCAGCTTGTGACAACCTATCCTGAAAAACCTGTAGCTCCAGTGTTTTTTGGTGGATTTTTGCAAATTTAGAGGCCAAGCCCAGAGGCTTAACGAATACATATTATGTACAATTTACATATATACACATATACACATACATATATATATATATACATAGATGTGTAGATGCATGTGTAGATGATGTGCGCGTGAATCTCTCTTTTTTGGCCATGCAGGTGCATGTGCACTTGCCAAGTGGGAAGAGCTGCTTGGTGTCGCTAGCTTCTTCGGACTCCAGTGTGAGCGAGCTGAAGGCTCACGCGCAACGGCAGCTCAAGCGCGGGTTTCTGAGGCTTGCATACAGGGGTCACCCGCTGGAAACCCGTCGTCTACTTTGAGCGAAGCGGGCGTGCGAGAGGGGGTGGCTTCCACTGCCAAGGCATTTGCATTCGTTGCTGGAGGCTCCGTGGAGACCTGGGGCCGTCCATGCCATCGAGGTGTTGAAAGCAGCAGGATGCGAGATCAGTTGGTGCGGGTCAAGGAAATCCAAGCAGCTCAGGCTGCGTTGGCTGCCATCCCGGACGAGGCTTTGTCGTGACTTGGGGCCATTCTGACGAGGGCGGTGACAGCCGCCAGGTGCGAGAGCAGTTGGTAAGAGTCAAGGAGATCCAAGCAAATGCTTTTGCTTTTGCTGCCATCCTAGACGACGGCTCAGTGGTGACTTGGGGCGATCCTTGCGCGGGAGGTGACAGCAGCCAAGTCAAGGAGATCCAAGCAATTGCTTTTGCTTTTGCTGCTATCCTGCACGGCGGCTCTATGGTAACTTGGTGACAGCAGCCAAGAGCAGCTGGTGCGGGTTCAACAAATTCAAGCCACTAGAAGCGCTTTTGCTGCCGTCCTTGAAGATGGCTCCGTGATAACTTCAGGCAATCCTGCCGGGGGCGGTGACAGCAGCAATGTGCGAGAGCAGTTGGTGCGGGTTAAGCAGATACAAGCGACCGGCCAAGTTCCTTGGTTCTTGGCTCAAATCGCGAGTCAATGGCTTTGCTTGCCCGCAGGAAAAGAAGGCCGCTGCACGCTTGCTTTCCGTCAACCTCGAGTAACCCTGCCTAGGTCCCCCAGCTAGGTGCCAACTTTCTCACCGATTATTTTTTGGTTGGGAGATTCGGTTCCCCTACTAAAATAGACTACAGAAAAGAAAGGATACCCTTATTCTCACCTCTCTACTGGAGGATCTAGCTGCTGTAGCTTATAGCAGCCATAAGAGATATGATCGTAACTTTCAAAGCAAATCCGCCCCTTGCCAAACACAACCCGTGGGCCAAAAAACGCGTCTGCGCACAATCAGAAGCCCCTGACACCCAATTTGTGTTTGTGTTGTTTGGTTGCGGGGGGCTTGCCTTGAAGATCAACTATCAGCTTACTCTGAATCGGTGGTTTCGATGGGTGCTTGGGGATTTGAACCCTCGGTTCTTGTAGAGGGTCAATGGAAATCCACCCAAACAAAAACCACCAAACCTTCAAACCCACGAGTTAGAGGGATTCTGAAACTACCAAACAAAGAGAGCCGATCCTTGTTCAATGGGAATCCCGCGTCGAAGCTCCCAGGAAGATTCTCCAAGCGACGGAGTTCGGTAGCAAGTTGGAGGACGTGCTCTTGCTCCTCGTGCAGGGGTGGGGGGGGATTGAAAGTTCTGGCTTGAACCAGGGGTGTTTTCACGATTCATTCTAGTGGTAACACAAAAGTTCAGACTTTTTGTATCGCCAACCCACCACTATCCACCAATCCAGAAACAGTTCGGACTCCTGGCCAATCCCCCCAAGTGAGACTGGCAATGCTGACCCTTTTTAATCAACCCCAGTTTGTCAATAGAGGGGTGTTGCCCTCCAAAAGTGATTTTATTGGGTCAATATGACTCCGCACGGCCTACGCTTTTATCTTCGAATCCGCTTCGGACTTTCGCCGAGCTGATATTCCCCCAAGGATCCAGATCATTGAAAAAGCAACAACTCAAATCGGTCCCCATCGACCCAAAACGAAAAAAGACGCTTTGAGTTGACACAGTTTTTTGATTTCGGTATTTCCATCTGGTCCGATCGATGGAGCCTGGTTTGGGGGTGGAAATCCGCACGGCAGAGTTCGCCTTGAGGTTCCCAATGGGTTACCTCGGGTTCCGAAACGGATTCCTTGAACGGTTCCCAAACAAAGCCCACTCAAACTGCAGGGGGCTTTTTGTCGTAGCCTAGCAGCCAATAGTGAGTATGGCCTGAGATATAGCCCTAGTGGTAATCCTCCATACTGTGGATGGATGAAGTCCATTCTCGCACCACCTAAGAAAGCCTGGTTTCTGATGATTGCCCTGTAAATACCAACAAGCGTCATGATTTCAACCATGGTTTCCTTACGTGGTGCGATCATGCGCGATATGTTTTGGATTTCGCCACCATCCACAGTTAAAAAGACCCGTTGAATCCATACCTGAAGTTGCAACTATGGCACTCCTCTTTTGTGGACTTAAAGGGAAGCCAAAAGGAATCCCGACGCCATTCTTGGGTGTTCCCTGAAAGGGTGTGTCTTAAAACAGGGGGACCCGCACAATGGTTGGGTTTCGTGTTGGATTCCCTTTTAACCAACCCCAGAATGGGTACATCCACAAAAAGACACACCAAAAACGAGAGACCCACCTGAACATGTTTTTTTTCAGGGCATTGGTTGGACGAGAGGCTTTCCACGGTTTGCTGTCCGATCATTGTCCACGGTTTTTTCCACGGTTTTTTAACCGGGTCCCCAACCTGAACATGTTTTTCAGGGATATTCTTTTGGGAAAGCCGAAACAGGTTTTCCAGGGTGTTCTTTCCGATCCCGTTTTAAATGGGCGACAAATGCCCGGAACCTGGCTGCACGTATTTGGAGCTTTGGGTACCCCCTACTCAAAATACCCGCCTTTTTCAGTTAGTATTTTTTGGGAAACCTGGTTTTCCATGGTAAACACCGATCCCTTTTTTCGTAGAGGGTCGACAACTGAGACCAACTGACAAAAGGCCGGGTATTTGGAGAGGGGGGACTTCTACCAAAAAAGGAGGCATTTACCATGGAAAACCTTTTTCGGTTTTCCCAAAAATGCCAACTGAAAAAAAAGCCGGGTATTTGGAGTAGGGGGTACCTCTACCAAAAAAGGAGGCATTTACCATGAAAAGCCTTTTTCGGTGTTCCCAAAAATGCCAACTGAAAAGAAGGCCGGGTATTTGGAGTATACTAACGGGCTAGCAGATAGAGCATTGTTTAGAGTAAATGAAAATGCACATCTCAAAAGTCTAAAAACAAATGCAATTAGAATAAATCGAAAACCCACAGTTAGAATAAATCCAACCAGACCAGTTACAATATTGCGAAACAGATAGAATATTTCAATACAAGGGTTTCTGTTATGAACAACTACTCTGCGATAAATGTCCTAGCTGCTAGCCCGTTGCTATATATTTCTATATGCGGCTTTCAGGAAACCATGTGGGTCCCCCATGATTTTCCATTTGGGTCCGTCTTTCTTTCAAGGGTATATGCATATTTCATATACCGCAAATTCTCCAGTTGAGAAGGTTGACTCTGCTTTTGTTGTCGAGGCTTTTGCAAGACTCCCCCAAACAACGATACCAAAGTACACTTTCTCTTATATGTATGTATATAGCCCTGCCCGGCATATTGAAACATAACGGACATGCATGGTCCAAATCACAAGGGATGGGGGCAAGGAACCACTTGAAGTCCACAACACCATGCGACCCTTGCTGAAATATTCAATCTTTCAAAGCATATTCTATCTTCTGGCCACCTGAAAAGGTGTTCAAATTTCAAGGGTTTGCGCAAATGTGAATGATTCTAAGTGTCGCATGTGCTCCGAAAATATAGTCTAAGTGTGCTACATATTCTAATTGAGTTTTCGGAGTAAATTATATTCTAACTTAGCTAAGAGCCGACGGAGTAAATTATATTCTATCTGCTAGTCCGAGACTATAGGGGGTACCTCTACCAAAAAAGGCGGCATTTGCCATGGAAAACCTTTTTCGGTTTTCCCAACAATGCCAACTGAAGAAAAGCCCGGGTCTTTGGAGCAGGGGGTATGTGTCCCTTTTTCTAGGTTGGACCCTCAAAAATTGGCGGTGTTCCTTATAAAAGTGGGGGGGGTATTTGGATTGGGTAAGCTCAGGCTGTCGAGCGTGAGCCGCTTCCTGGAGGGCTTGAGGATTTTGGTGAGCTGCTGCTTCCTGGGCCACCTCTTGGCCTGTCTCATGCGCCTTGGCGTGGTCTCAGCCGTCAAGCCACGGAAGTCTACCGGGAAATTCGGCCCCAACACCCACCCCCGAAAGCTCCAAATACCCAGCCTTTTTTCAGTTGGGATCATGTAAAGGAGGTATGTACCATGGAAAACCGATCGGTTTTCCACAACAATACCAGGAGTAGGGGGCACCAAAAAATGTCAAGTCCTCAGGGTTTGGGCGAACTTCCGGGAGCAGTTCCTGGAGGTTTGGGCCGACTTCCTTCCTCCAGGGGTCTGGGTTGTGGGTTGGTCTAGGCTGGTCGGGTCGGTAGGTGTCAAGTTCATGTTTCAGGGCTGGGGATTGGTCGCCTACCGACTCCAAATACCCGCTTTTTGTTCGGGCATGATTTGTCGAGCAAAAAATACCTGGAAAAAAGCGGCGTTCACCCCAAGGGAACGGACGTTTTAGCTTGCGGATCGGGGTGTACGACTCGGATTTCTGGTCTTGGGGGGCTTCTGGGTTGCGTAAACGGAGGGATGGCCACGGGAACAAGCTTAAGAAAGCTGCCTTTCAGAAAGTGAGCTGTTTGCAGGTTCCAAGGCCAGACATTGTATCTCCTGCAGCTGCTCTCCATAGAATGTGGGATCAGTCCCATGAAGCCTTTGCTCACACAGGCTGACTCCAAGCACAGCTGTCCCCAACAATTATGGAAGTGATGTTGCAAGCTTTGGAAGAATACACTTTGGTGCATTTTGCTTGGATGTTAGGACTTTAACTTTTTGCCAACTGATGGGTGTTCCATTAAACGGCTAGTCCAACTTTCAGCAGAGCAGATTTCGCAACCGACAGTCCTCTTGGGAAAGGACCTGTGCACTTGACCTCCGCAAGGAACGAGCCCAGGGAAGCCAGCCAGGGATACAGGGGGAAGGGAGACGGGAGGATCCCTAGATGCACCTTAAGTTTGATCTGGGAAATGGCTCCGACGCTTCACCCTTCAAACATCGGGTCGGGCTAGGTCTCAGGTATGTCTCGCCATAGTGTCAGTTGCAAGCAGTAGGATAGTTCTCCGAATTAAGCCGTCAAGGAGTAATCCATCACCTAGGGGCTAAGTTTCAACGTGGGCTTCATACATGGGTTGTTCAAAAAAGACCAAAAGGAAACTAAAGCAAGGTTGCTTGAGCAACGGCAGATTAAGCCATGGTTTCAACACCATGGAAGAATGACAGCCATGCCCAATCAGGGGCATTTTGTCCCCTTGTTTGTTGGGTTCGGGATCCTCAAGTTTCCATTTGCTTCAGATTGTTTTTTGTTATCCCCTGTTGTTTCAAAGGGACTCTATCACTACCAAATGTTTGTTTTTTTCAGCGGACGAAAATCGCAAATCGACAGCTAACGATGCAATTCCCCCCCCCCCCCCCCCAAAAAAAAAAGCAGTTAAACAAAAAAAAAAGAACAAGGTAACACCGTTTTCATCCGTTTTCGACCGGACGACTCGGTCATGTCATGTTCGGGACAGGCCGATCTTGGCAAGTAGCTTCCTGGACCGGTATAGCTATGACGGAGAAGCGGTGTCCTCACGGTACATCACCACGCTCTACTGGGCCATGCCACTCGTCCAGCCAAAACTCGATCTCAGTTGCCCAAAGCGAATGCAAGTCCGGTGGTTGGTCATTGTTGGGTGTTCCCGCTAACACGTGTACGACCTTTGAACCCTGTTGGGTCTAGTTTTGTTCATGCGTTGCTGTTATGTCCTTTCTGTTGAGTCCTTTAAGTCGGGGTCCCGTTCAGGTGATTGCCTGTCATGCAACCTTTGACCGCAAGTCAGGAAAAGGAAATGGGTGTAGAGAATTGATATACGAAGTTTGAACCCCAGATGGCAGAGAGAGGGGAAGTCATAGAAGCCCAAAGTTAAATCCATCCAAGGTGTGTGTGTGTGTGTGTGTTTTTCTGGATACGCGTTTAAAGCGGCCCATTCTCGGACCCTGTTCGGTTTTGGATTTGATACCTTTAAAATGACTTTGGTGCACTTTGCTTGGATGTTAGGACTTTAACCTGTGGCCAACTACTGGGTTTTCCCTTAAACCACAAAAAGTTAAACTTTTAGCAGGGGAGCAGAAAGCAACCGAGATGACATCAGCGTGCAGTTGACTACTAGATTTGGTCAAGAATCTGCACCAGCCCTTGCTAGATGGGCAATCTGCGGCGGTGTTCCATGGTTTTTCAGGGTAAAACTAAAGGAAACCTGGCAATTTCTGGGGGCCCCCTATCTTTTTCTTTTGGGTGCTCGTGCCCAGAACAACACCTGTAAGTAGCGCATGTTTCAGTTGTTTCAAGTTCGAACTCTCACTTACTACCAACGCGAATCGACCTGAAATGTCCCTTTAGTTTCACAAATGTTTGGTCTATGTTCAATCACGAGGGTAACCTTTTATTCCTGGGTCCTTTGGGCACCTGAGAACTCGGTCAGTTTGAAGTCACAGTCTAACGATGCGAACACGATTCAGTTCCCGAAAGCTGAGAAGAGTCGAACACATGTTGATTCACGGGTTGCAGCTAGCAGAATTCAATCAACGGGTCGTCGGTGCCTTTTGGCGTACTTGTTAATGAGAACCCCCAAAAAATGTGTTCACCTCAAATCTGCAAATCCACTAGCCCAAAACAATGAGCACATCTTAGGGGAATCCACCTGTCGAGGAAATTCAGGAAGCCCCTAACAAATGGTTACTTCCATTTATCCTTTAGCTTCCCCTCTGGGTTTTAGAGCGGATCCACCACTCGAAGTATTGTGGCTGTTTTTTGGGAATTGACGCGCTGGGCGTTGACTGTAGTTTGAAATTTATTCAAAGAAATCACCCAGTGCCCTGCAGAACCCTTGGGCTGCCATGTGTTTAGATAAGCAAGCTCAGCAGCGAGACAAATCCTGAGGCGGTTTGTTGCCGAGCGGTAGCACTTTCTTCAAGCATTCCCACCACGTTCTAATATTATCAATGGAATCGCGGGGGTTGACCCCTCGAAATCCATGTACATATAGTTGAATGTTCCCTTTGGTAGGGGAGCACTGGAACCCTCAAATTTGGGTACGACTCCCCCACCCCCCCTCCCGCCTTGAGGTGGGATATTGAAATCATGCGGTGAGCTCACCGATGAGGCAAAACGAGCTCATCATGGTCCTTAACTTAATTCAGGTTGACATGTTACAAGATCAAACATCCAGCACCTCAATGGCGACGGATCAATACACCCCTGGGTGATTCATCCAGGGGGGGGGAAGAAAAAGTAATCGCCGCAAGAAGGGGATTCGTAATTGGGGAAGTTTATTGGTCAGGGGTCGACATTAATTCGGACTTGGTTGTAACACGAAAGCTATCGCTACTGGAAACATGTTTCCCTTTAAGGCCCGTTTTCGCAACAACCAAAAAACACGAAGACGTCGCGCTTTTCTTTTCCGAAGGTCTCTGTCCCATCACAGAGATATTTTTCTGCCACGAGGACCACGGTGACCACGGTGGGCTATGGGGACATCATCCCACAGAACGACGACGAGAGGATCTTCACCATGCTGTCTATGATGGTGGGCGGAGCCTTCTACGGCGCCCCGAATCGAATCGGATCAGATCGGAAGGTGGGGGGGAGAAACACCCAGGTTTTCGGTGTCCATGGCGATGGGTTAGATCTTTAGACTTTAACTTTTTGGTTGAAATCAAGGTGATTTCCACTAAACCCCCAAAAAGTGTTTCGCTTTTTGCAGGGGGGTCAACAGCAACCAAGTCGAATCCGAGGAACTTGGAAAAAACACCCGGGATCCGGCGTCCATGGCGACCATGGCACCGGGCACCAGGGGCGTTCTAAGAGCAAAGAGGGAGCCTCCAGAATCACAGGGACAGACCCATCAAGGCCGAACAGATCCTTTGCCGACATGGGACCATGTGGAACCTGCACAATGCCAAAGCAAAGAGGTAGACATACCCAGAGACATCTGCTCCCTTCCACTAGCAGAAGGCACCTGGGGTGGTTGGAAGATCAAACCCCCTGTCAGCATTGAGCGACCCAGTTCGTTCAGTTCGGCACTTGGGGTCAATTTTCGTTTGGGTTCCAATGGCCCAAAGCTGGTCTCAAGCCCTGTAAGTCTTTGCACAACCATTGGGGCCTTTTGAAAGGAGGCCTGTTCAGTGAGACTGCATACACTCCACAAAAAACAGGTTTAGAGTATGACAAAAGCTACGAATTTTCTGGAGTTTGGTTCCTCATCAGGGCACTGATCCGCTGATGTGGGCATGCTGAGGCCTCTTTCTTGTGGGAACAAATTGAGACATGTTGTGGAACAAGTTGGGGAGATGTCAACCCAACATTATGGCTAGGTCCCCCAGTAGTGCCCTTTTACCCTTTTTTGGGGGAGGGTTCCCCTACTAAAGTAGACTACAGAAAAAAAGGGTACCCTTGTTCGCACCTCTCTACTTGAGGGGTACCCTCCCCCGTGTGACCGCGGGAGGAAGGCATCAGAGGTTCCATTCCAAGTGCAGGATTTGAGCCCAGTATTCGGGAAAAAAAGGCTTGCCATCCATACCGACCTGAAAGTACCACTAGGTTTTCCAATTTTGTTCCGATTCACCTTTCATGTGGTGCTTTGCCCAGTGGATCCTTTTACCTGTACAGTAGGTAACCCAGGGAATTTCCCTGGAAAAACAAAGCTGGTTACCTACTGTATATGTTTCTGGGCATCAATTGGGTTGGGCAAGTTCAACATGGAAATAGATGGGCTCAGCTGGTTTAGAGTGGTTTCATTCCATTTTGTCATGGCCATCGATTGTCCAAATTGGTCACCTCTGGAGTCTCCATGACCCTTTATTTTTGTTTGTCAATGACCCCACCTCGCTTGAGATGTCATGAGCCTGACATCTGCGGAGGTGTGAGGAGCTTTTTGAGGGCACCTGGAGTCTCCATGACCCTTTCAAAATGGGTCAATGACCCCATTATTTTGGGTAATGACGGCATTTTTCAAGGGTCAGAAGGAGACTCCAGGTGTGCACCAGAGGCCTTTTCCGCACCCTGCGCACGTCTTCTGAGGCTACGTGGTGGGCAACATCTCTGTGATCCTCGCCAGCCGCGACGCCCCTTGCCCCCGAACCCATGACCCGCTGCGGTTTAACTTCCATTTACTGCAGGAGGTATTTACCAATTTACCATGGAAAACCAGGTTTTCCCCAAAATCAGGTTTTCCCAAAAATACCCTGGAAAAAGCGGATATTTGGAGTAGGGGGTACGTTTTATGTTGCCCCTTGTCTTTTAAAGGGCATCGATCACTGCACGTAGGTTTGTGATCCAGACGAACAAGATGGGAGGTTTGCATTGTTGCAGGGGTTCCTGGTTTGGCAAGCTTCAGGACCCTTAAGGTAGACTCTGAATTGCAACCCTTGGGTTTTCATTCAAAAAGGGCACTCTTGTTTTTGGGTATTTGATGTTGAGTCAAAAGGACATTGTAACCGATTTGGGAGTCTGTCTGTGGGAAACCGAATCAAGACACCTCCATTTGTGTATGTTGCTTTTTCTGTGGCCTAGTGGCGAAACGCGATATACCCGAAGGGTCCTGATGGAAATTGGGGTTCCATTTGCCAAATGGGGGGTGGCACCCATGGACCCAAAGATTTGGTTAGGTGAACCGGCAAGCTCACAAGCAACGGCTGCACCTCATCTACGCCTGGCTGCTGCACCATCGCTTTCCGAAGCCCTTGCGGCAGCGGCTCTGGATCTACTACAAGACCTTGGTGAAGAACAAGGCGGGAAACACCGCTGGGACGAAGCGCCCCGCTGGCGCACAGAACGAAACAGGGCGCGCGAAACGGGTTGAACGCGAAAGGCAGCGAGAACCTTGGAGGGCTTGGGGTGTTCGGCGCGGGGACGGAGGGAAGGAAGGAAGGAAGGAAGGAAGGAAGGAAGGAAGGAAAGAAGGAAAGGAAGGAAAGGAAAGGAAAGGAAAGGAAAGGAAGGGAAGGGAAGGGAAGGGAAGGGAAGGAAGGAAGGAAGGATTCGAGGAGGATTCGAGGAAGGATTCGAGGAAGGATTCGAGGAAGGACTCGAAGAAAGGAAGGAAGGAAGGAAGGAAGGAAAGGAAAGGAAAGGAAGGGAAGGAAGGGAAGGGAAGGGAAGGGAAGGGAAGGGAAGGGAAGGGAAGGGAAGGGAAGGAAGGAAAAAACAAGACCTTTAAATTTGAATCCGATTTTTCCAAGGTTTAAGGAAGCCAAGACCCGAAAGCCCTGGTGTTTTATGCTGGAAGACCTGGTGTTGCCACAAATTACCTTCAAACCAGACGGTATTTGGAGTGGGTACCCTTCCTATAGCGGGGTCCGATGTCGGCTCCCTAACATGCCCTTGACCTCCCAAGAGGTCTAGGGGCGAAATGCTGCGGATGGGCTAGGCCAAATCCAGAAATCGCACCACTTGGAAACCGTGATGGGAAACCCTTGCTTTGTTGCCCCGTGGATTCCGCCCCTTTTTTATCTTTTTTTTGGGTAAGGGTTCCGATTCCTTTAAACTCAACCAAGCAGAACAAGGTGCCCTTTTTTCCCATGGCCACTGGGCATCTCAGCTTGAAGTCATCATTCCAGAGTTTCTTCCGTGGTGCTGGATTTCGTCCATCCACAGTATGGCTGTGAGCTTCAATAGGCAGCTAGCCTTTGAAAGTGGTTGCCAGGCACACCAATACCAAGTGCCTGGAAGAGGCAGCTATTGTGGGTAACCCGCAAATACCATCACTTACCTCTTAAAAACACAACTTTTCAACTTGTTGGGTAACATGGGCTATATGTCTGTAAAAGATTAACTTGTCCAGGGCTTGGAGCTTTAAGGGGTAAGATCATTTAAAGCCTAACAAATGACAACTGGTTACCAAAGACGAAAGGGCGTGGTCAATTCGGACTCGGGTCTGGGTCGGTGGAACCCGAGGGCTCTGGCGAACGTCCCTTTGGCCTTCGATTCCGTGTGTGTGTGTGTGTGTGTGTGTGTGTGTGTGTGTGTGTGTGTGTGTGTGTGTGTGTGTGTGTGTGTGTGTGTGTGTGTGTGTGTGTGTGTGTGTGTGTGTGTGTGTGTGTGTGTGTGTGTGTGTGTGTGTGTGTGTGTGTGTGTGTGTGTGTCTGTTTGTCGCTGTTGCTTCCTGTTCGGTGTCGATGTTGTGACCTGTTGATTTGCATTTGCATTCAAGCATTTTTACTGACTGCGTTTTGCATCTCGGCTAGTGAAGCCTCTCGAGATAAGTGTGTTTACCCACGGCCTGTCCGACATGGCGCTGTGGGCTGGACTCGCCATATGCGGGAGCCCCCTGCGAGGGGAAGACCGTTCAAGTGTTCAAGTTCAAGCTGCAGTTCAGTTCAGCGCGTTTGACCACGATCAAGGCTGCAGCTTGAGGTCTTAAGGTATTCCGCACCCAAATGGTGCTCTGCTGGTTTCATGCGCCTGCACTGCCTGCACTGCCTGCCTTTGAAGCAAGGCTGCACCCACGAGGTTTCAGGCTCCTAAGCTTCATGCGCCAGTGACGAGTTGGTCATACACCAACTCTGCGATTCGTGGCGTTTATGGAAGCTTTCGTCTCGGATGAGTTCAGTTCAGATTCATCGGCATAGCCACATGAGGCACTTTCATGAGGCCACTTGACAGGCACCTCTGAGAACCCCTTTGTGCTCGCATGCATTTCTGTGGAAACTTTTGCCGTTGCCGCGGGGTTTTGGCGGTCCCCTGGTGGAATTCCCTCTGTTTGGTTTCGATTCGCAGGTTGAAGTTGGCTCGCATGCATTTGCACCATTGACGCATTTTTGCCGCAGTTGTGGTTTTGTTTTCACCCCTTTCCAACCTTCTCTCTCCCTTGCGAGATGGCTGGACACCAGCTCTATGACATGATGCATTCGCTCCTGCATAGCATTGCGACCGGCACCGCGTCCGGCTCACCAGGCAATTGTGGACCGAACTTGCAGCTGTCATCCCAGATGACGCAGCCCATGAACCTTGTACCGTCACCCAACTCGCAGACGGCATCCTTCACACCTTTCCCCATGATGCCCTACGGCGGCCTCTCGAACTTTGGCAACCCGATGGCCATGATGCCCTACGGTGGCCCTCCCAATTACGGCAACTTGGCACCTGGCACCATCATGCCTTTCATGACTCAGAGCAGCATGCCATCTTCACTGCCCGAGCCTCAGCCGGCGCGCGCGCCCGAAGCTGCCGCTGCGGCTCCTGCCGCTACCTCCTCAACCAACCACCCTCCCCCGGACACTCGGCACCATCCCCACTCTCGCAGATCCCGTTCCCGCCACAGACAGCACCGACACTCCCACTCCCACACCAGCCACCATCGCAGGCACAACAAGTCGCACCGACGACACGACACCCGACGATCCCGCAGCTACAGCAGGTCACGTTCCCTTCCCGACACTTCCACCACTCCCGACGTGCACACCACTCCACTGTCTCCCTCCGCTCCCGCTCCCCCCGACACAGGTCCCACCATCGACACTCCCCTGCACCCAGAGCCACGACTTCGCACCGACCCACTCACACTACTCATGATTCCACCTCCTGGCGCACTTCCGGGAAGGATTCCAACAAGTCTCAATGGTCCTCCTCACACTGGCGGAACCAATCGTGGGGATACCCACCACAGAACAAAAACCGCTGGGACATGCACCACCATGGCGCCAGCCACACCGGCCACCGAAACAACCAGGGCAAACGACCGTCCTGGTCACTGCAGCACCATGGGCAGCAACCCCACCCCACTTCCCGCACCGGCCACCACAACACTAGCTTGCCCCCTCACCCAGCACCTGCGGCGGCCTTCACTTCCACTCCCCCTCCCCCTCCCCGACCCACGCCGGCTACTCCTCACCCTCCCCAACCCCCCTTCGACAACACCGGTGATTTGGATCCCCCTCCATCGGAGGCGGACATCAATGCCACCACCACTTCCGACAACCGGTGGCTTGATCTATGGAGAAACGTCATGGACACGGCCAAGACTGACCCGCTGCGAGTTCCCACGCCTAGGGAGTTGGGGGAGCTGGACCCGCTTCCAGCCTTGGACATCTCCAGGGTGGAACAGACTAAGGCCATTTTGATGGACCTGGACCCTGCTTTGCCACCTTCACATGCCGATCTCCTCGCGGAATGCTGGGAACTGCGAACCATGGACACGGATGATCCCATACCGTTCGATCCCAGCTTCTACCACCTCTTGGGACGGGAATCACACGGCATGGTGTTCGCAACCACTTGGTTTCCCCGACCTCATCCTTGGCCAGTTGCTGGCGGAGACCCGGAAGCTGGATCCGGCACGGCCTCCCATCACGCTGTCATGTATGTGCACGGCACCACCCCGGATCGAGTGCGCCGCATGTGCCATGAGAACATGATCCGACCCGCTGCTTGGAGGCCCGAGAACCATGACTACCCGAGCTTTGGATGCTACGCTCAGGCCACCCCCACGGCATGCACGCCCGACACGCTCGGCCAGCTCTTGCAGAACTTTACAATCGGAAAGTCTCAACTCGGCGCCATCGCTTTTGGGGAACTACGCTCCATCAATCAGCACAAAATCCTCGAATCCGGGGGAAGCCACGAGGATCAACACAACGTGCGGCGCCACTTCGCATGCCGCCGAGGCAAAAAGTGGTGCCTTCACTCCAAGTTTGCGATGCTGAGAGGCATCGCGCTGCAGCGCCCGGCTTAGCGGGGCGCAAGTGTACCATCTTCCACCCAACCAGGAAAAGAATTGGTGCACTGTTTGATCGCCTTTTTTCTTTGCTTTGCTGTTCTGCCTTTCCGCGACCGTTCTCTCACCTTGTGACCTTACCCGCTTGATTCCGCTCACCAGCTTGTGGTTCGAACATTTCCTTTTCCCCCGTGTTTTCTCATGGCTTTCCAACCCCCTCGAGGTTTGGTTACGGCGCTCCAAAGGCAAAACTTACCACCGCAGCCTTCGCCCACGGCATCCCATCATCATGGCATCGTGTACGGCAACAACATGGCCGGGAACCCGTGCGGGGCCCTGTCCGGGCCTTCCTACGGATGCTCTTCCACGGCATCGGCACCGCCAGCTACACATCCGACTCCCTGTCAGACCTACGGCCAACCTATTCCCCGTTACCCACCACACCCCGGCCCTCGTCCACCCTCCTTTGGCGGCTCTCTCCCCCCCCCTCCCGGCGGCAACCCCTTTCCCCCCCCTCCCCCCGTCCATCTCAGGCCTCCCTCCTGGACTTCGGCATAAAGCGACCACGGTTGACTACACCTGACACATCACCGCAGGACGGATCCCCCGCTCTACCCCTGCCCACTCGCATTGCAGACGACTCCCAACCCCCCCCGGCTCCCCCCACCCACGGCGGCAACCCTCCAGCCCCCTCCACCCACGGCGGCACCCCGACCCCTCCCCCCCTCCCCTCCCCACCCACTTGGAAGGAGCCCCGCGACTTGCTCCAACCACCTCCCCACGTTTGCCAATGGCTCACCAGCAACTTCCCACCCGACATTTCCGACACCAAAGTCCAGCGATGGATCACCTCTCAGAAAACCAGCAAAGAGAGCAAGCAAGTCCTAAAAAGCTGGTCCAACGACTGCGCAAAATGGGCAACCACACTGGACTCCGACACCAGAGCCCAACTCGAACGAGCCGCTGTGCTATGGGGCATCCCGGTGCGAACCCTATCAAAACTGGGGTCATCGGCCTTGGGCCGCATCCTGGCCGCTGCGAGTCACTTCTACCAGTGACTCTCAACAGCACACCGACAACGACGCACAGCCAGGCAGCACAAATTTTGGCAACACCACTGCTGCCAACTTCTCACTGTCCTCCGTTTCACTCTTCGGTTCTTCCCAACCGATGACGTCACCGCACGTCATTCTTGCTCCTGGCTACTCGCACAGCTTCAGCTACTTGACGTCTGCCATCTCTCCTGTGGTTCCGGCAGACTGAAAGCCCTGCTTACTCGACTTGGCCTGGACAACCCTGCTTCCGATTTCTCTTCTCAGCTTGTCCCTTCAGCGGTTTATCTGAGATTCACCAGCCATCCAAAGTGGCAGGCCTTTTTCTACCTCGGAGCCACTCGCGCCTCCCTCATGGCACGGGGCCGCAGCCAACTTCGCAAACTACTCCAAGTTCAGCGACATCATCTGGTCAATGCCGAACTGGCAGTCCGGTGGTGGGCACATTTCGACTTTTTCCACCACTACACCTCGGTGCCCATTCACACTGTCGTTCCGGCAACGGACCTATTTGCCACTGAACAGTTCTACATCCAGGAACTGCAACCGTCTCTCAATTTTGGCTTCATCGAGAAACATTTCCGGCCACGCACGGGCTTCATACGCCAATTGGACTTCTCCCAATCCCGGCACATGGGCTTCGCCACCATCTGGCGAAAACGCCGCCGACTACGACTACCCATCGCCCTACAACAGGCCTTCCTGGCCAAACGCGTGGACAACCGCCTGGATTTGTGGCGATTTTTGGGCGATCTTGGCAGCAACACTCTACGACGATTTGATGCCATCCGTTACATACGGACCAGAGACTTCCCACCCGCCGCTCTCTATGTCCTTCATCGCATAGCCACACACCTGCCTGAACCACACCCCCAGGCATGCCTTTCCGCCATTCGATCCAGTTTACAATTCCGGGGCCTCATTCCACCTGGCCCCTCGAGACCGATGCTTGCACCCTTCCTCGCCTGGCGACTACTGCTAACCTGGTACCGACAACGACAACCACACTCCTCTACCACACACCTCACAGTGGACACACTTGACACCTCTGCCATCACCCGCGTCTACAACGGACGCCGTCGCCGACACAAACCCACACAACGCACCCTGTGGCTCGACGACATCCCCGAGATCATTCAGGCCACCCTTGACATGCAGATCTTCTCTGTCGGCCTTCGTTCATTCAGGCAAACACGTGGGGCACCGATGGGATCCCCCGCGTCCCCAGCTCTCTGTTTGATGGTGATCGCGGTCGCCGAACAATGTTGGACCAACACTCACATCACATCGGGACTTCGCTCCGTTGAAGATACTCTCCTACTCCGCTACGTGGACAACAGACTCGTGATCGCAACCCCCAGGTGGCTCTCGACTCCGGCAGCCAACATACTGTGCGACGAACACTTCTATGGAGGAGACATCTTCCTGGACACAGAAGCCGCCCTGGACTTCTTGGGGTTCCGACTGAACCTCACAAGCAGCACCATCTCCTTCATCCCCTCGCATGAGAAGCACAACATGCTCTCCGTCAAGTCAGCCGCACCACTGATGCATAAGGAATCTGGATGTTATTCCGGACGCACGCTGATCAACCGAGTTTCCTTTCCTGAGTTTCAGCGAGGTCAGGGTCTTGCAATGTTGAAGAGGTTGCACCTCCAACACGGTTTCACCTTACAAAGAGAAGAAAAACCGTCCTTTGCGGAACCACACTGGTTTTCTTCTCTGCCTTTGCATCCTGACAGATTTGACCTGATTTTCGCGCCGCAGCTGTTTGACTGTTTGACCAAAATCCGTTACGAGCATGGATACCAACACAGCACGCCAGCTGCTCCAAGACTTCGAACTCATCCTTGGCATTGCCCAACAAGGCATCGCCACCATCCGCGAGTTCCCTGAGAGTCCGCCTGCCGAACCTGATTTGGCACCGGAGGCCACGTTCAACCCCGCCATTGAGGACCTGACCAACTCACCACCAACACCCCTCCTGGCCCCCCTCGAGGACCTCTTTGAGCCACCTCCTGATGCTCCAGATGAACACCTTCCCACTGATCATGACGAACAATTCCCTGATCATTGGGCTCCGCCCACCCCTCCTCCGTCTTCTCCCGGCGAAAAACGAGCTCGCCGCGCACGTGATTTGGCCTCCTCACGATCTACGGCATCCAAAACCTGCTCGTGGACCAAGCGAAGCTACCACATCGACCAGGACTGATGCCTCTACTGAGGCCGAACCTGAAGCCTCGCAGCCTTGGACTGAGGGAGAGATTGAACTCCTCCGTTCCCTTAAGACCAATTCCAAAGCCAAGTATGTGTGGTCAGTCATCGCCACAAGACTTTCTCGCACAATTGATGCTTGCAAGACTCAATGGGCCTTGCACAAGTGATGTCGCCCCAGTTGGGGCTCCGTGTGTGTGAAGCGTCCTGGAGCACGGACGGAAATTCCACATTGCAGGGGGACTGGAGCCGATTTGCCTATCCAGTCCAATGAAGCTACGGCATTTCGGTGGATACCGGATCTGATCAATCCGGCGTACCTGCCTATTTCCTGACCCTCTTTCCTGATTCTTTTTGCGGTTTCTGTTTGTCGCTGTTGCTTCCTGTTCGGTGTCGATGTTGTGACCTGTTGATTTGCATTTGCATTCAAGCATTTTTACTGACTGCGTTTTTCATCTCGGCTAGTGAAGCCTCTCGAGATAAGTGTGTGTGTGTGTGTGTGTGTGTGTGTGTGTGTGTGTGTGTGTGTGTGTGTGTGTGTGTGTGTGTGTGTGTGTGTGTGTGTGTGTGTGTGTGTGTGTGTGTGTGTGTGTGTGTGTGTGTGTGTGTGTGTGTGTGTGTGTGTGTGTGTGTGTGTGTGTGTGTGTGTGTGTGTGTGTGTGTGTGTGTGTGTGTGTGTGGTGTGTGTGTGTGTGTGTGTGTGTGTGTGTGTGTGTGTGTGTGTGTGTGTGTGTGTGTGTGTGTGTGTGTGTGTGTGTGTGTGTGTGTGTGTGTGTGTGTGTGTGTGTGTGTGTGTGTGTGTGTGTGTGTGTGTGTGTGTGTGTGTGTGTGTGTGTGTGTGTGTGTGTGTGTGGTGTGTGTGTGTGTGTGTGTGTGTGTGTGTGTGTGTGTGTGTGTGTGTGTGTGTGTGTGTGTGTGTGTGTGTGTGTGTGTGTGTGTGTGTGTGTGTGTGTGTGTGTGTGTGTGTGTGTGTGTTTTTTGCGTGAGTTTTCGTTGTTCGTGTGGTTGGACATGAAGTAGCACCTGTACAATGTCCAAGGGTCCCGTATTAAGACACTCACTTCCTCAGTTCATGAACTTTAAACTTTTTGGGAAATATAGAGTTTGGACTTTTTTTGGGCCATCCACTCAGCAAGTGAGAGGGTGCCCCGTTTTTTGGTGGGTTTGAGAGGGCCAAGCTCTCCGACTGCAAGCACCCCCGACAGCTCCAAATACCCAGCTGGGTTCAGTTGGCACATGGAAACCACAAGCTCTCCGCAGTACATATGCCCCCCACCCGCATCGCCAATGGCTGCTGTTTGTTCCATCCACTTTACCCCAAAAAACCAGCAACAGGGGCTGAAAAGAAGCAAACACTTGGCCATCTAGGTAATTACTCCAAATACAATCTTTTTCAGGGTATGATGTCGACCCTCTACTAAACAAAAGAGGTATTTACGATGGAAAACCAGGTGCTTTTTTCCCCAAGAATACCCTGAAAAAAAGCGGGTATTTGAAGTAGCGGGTACTTCTTTCTCATGCAGGCCTCTAGTGACCGCCTTTGCAGGTACCCCCCCCTCTTTCCAACCCTTGGTATGGAAGCAACCCCCTACGAAAAAGGAACAGAACCCAAAGTTAACACGCCTATAAACAAGAAAACAACGGTGAAGCCCCCCACCCCACCCCCCTACGCAACAAAAACATGAAGGGCTTCTTATCTTCGGGCAGACGGACCTCTGGTGACGGCCCTGACGAGAGGGTGATCAAGTTGAAGCCAAAACTGCGGCAAATTACCTGGGCCGTCCGATTTGTTGCATTGCTTTGCCCCAAATCGATTGCTCCAAATACACCGAAGCAAAACAAACCCTGGAAGGCAACTGCGCCCGATTATTTTTTTAGGACGGGACGATGCACTTTGCAGGTCTACCACTAGACCATGAGAGCTTGCATCCCAATCCATGGGGGGGGGGGGGACAACAAGTAATGTTGCCCCCTACTCCAAATACCCTGCATTTTTTAGGGTATGATGTCGACCCTCTACTAAAAAAGGGGGGTGTACCATGGAAAACCAGGCTTTCCCAAAAATGCCCTGAAAAAAGCGGGTTTGGAGTAGGGGGTACAGCCATGGACGGCTAAATACTGGGTTAAGACCGTGAAATTCGTGAGGGGTCCGTGTTATTTCCCTTGGGTTGACACGTCATCTTTGAGTTTCGTTTCAGCGCGAAACCTTCATATATAGAAGACCCGGTGAAGTGTGTTGTGGCACAACCTGGTTTTTCCCTGGTAACTCCCTCTTTTTTGTAAAGGGTTGACCAGAAACCCTAAAAAAGAAGCTGGGGTGTTTTGAGTGGGTCCAGGCTGTTGGGCTCTCCAACTTTGATCTCGCAGGCGGCGTTAGACGACTCCGCCATCTTCAACGAGCTCTCGCCGGAGCTGCGGCAGGATGTGGCAACTCGCTGAGTTTTCAGCGCACTTCTCTACACTCAAGACCCACTTTGTGGGTTGGTGTATGATACTGTGGACGGACGAAACCCGTTTCGGACCACTCGGAAACCATGGTTGAAACCATTGTTTGGTGGTATTTACAGGGGGAATCATCAGGAACCAGGTTTTCTTAGGTGGCAGGATTGTGTCTGGATGTTAACCCTCGACAAAAGACAAAAGGGTATTTAGCCCCCTCCCACCGAACATGGAAGTGCACAGACTGTGGTTTTGACTTCTTTGCCCTTGGAAAGGGTTGGTTGCTTCCAAAAAGGTACCCTTCAAAAGCAGCGTTTTGGGGGGAGGCATGCTCCGATCCGCGTCGGCTCCCACCCCAAAAGGAAGTTGGCGGATGCTCAGCGGGAAAAACGGACGCGCTTCTGATCCTTTGGGGTTTCATAGCTCGATCGAAAAGGGTCCTTTGGTGCATTTTGCCAAGGGCTGTTAGGACTTTTTGCCTTTTTGATCCGACTAATGGGTTTTCCGTACTAAACCACTAAAAGTTAAACTTTTCGCAGGGGAGCAGAAAGCAAGAGAGGTCCTTTTTTTAGTGATCACTGGTTTTTCTGGGCAGCTGGTTGCTGATGTAAACCTTTGGGTCGGTGGCTCCAGGGAAGAGCAAATGGGCCAAGAAGTTCCTTACCAATGGTGCCGCATTTTAGAGGGGATCCAGCTCTGCCTTGATATCCGGGTGGAGAGATCTTCGCCAGAGTGTCTGTTGACTTAGACCCAAGTTCAGCCCCTTTAAGCCATTTGCACATTGGAACCTCCAACTTTTCAGTTGCCCAACAGATTCCTGACATCGTGAATCTGGGTGCATTGCACCCTCACAAACATGGAACCGTGGAAGTCCGTTTTCCTTTTGCAGAACTCTCTCGCAGATTGCATGTTGTTTTTTTGCTGAGAGAGTGGGACCCTGCAAGCCTTTCTTTTTCATGGTGCACACCTTTTTTGTCAGGGCTCAAGATATAACCCCAAAAATCAGTAGGTATCTGGAGTAGGTGTTTTTCCTTCTGGTTTCGACTGCCCTTTAGGGGATGACCACACCAAACTGGGGGGGACAATTCTTCCATCATGTTCTGCCACACTCAACTGTGCGACTTGTTTCTTTTCAGGTAACCAGTTGATGTTTTGGATTGGTGGTTGGGTAGAGGGACCCCTTGAGGGTCGATTTCCGGTTTCAAAGTTTCGAACTCAAGCTCCAAAGCACCATGTCACAGTACCCTTCTGGGATATTGGCCCCAAACTAATAACTGATTTCTCCCGGGTTTCTGGTACCTTGGCCCAGGCTATCATCAGCCCGGGGTTTTCTGGCTCCTTGGTTTTTTTTTTTTTCAATTGGTGCCGCCAAACCGGGAAGCGATGACTTGGACTTTCCTAGGCTCCCCAGCAATTGGTGCCAACTTTCTCACCGAGTCTTTTTGGGAGAGTCGGTTCCCCTACTAAAATAGACAAAGCTAAAAAAAGTTGGTAGCAACTGATTCTAACCTCTCAAATCTGGAGGACCTAGTTTCTGTGTAGGCGCAATACCTGGTCCCGCCGGATTTGCTGAACCACCTGCTGTTCCAGAACGTGCCCAGCAGCGTCATCGTGCGCCTGGTGCCCATTCTGCAGCAGCTGCCCGGCAGAGTCTGGGAAGTTTAATTGATTTTTACCCCCTACTCAAAATACAAACTCTTTTTTTTCGGGGTAGTTTTGAGGGGATAACCGATCGGTTTTCTATGGTAAATACAAAACCTTTCTTAGTAGAGGGTCGACAGGAAACACTGAAAAAAGAGGGTTTAAAGTAGTGGGTACCCTGGCCACGTGGAACCTGACGTTTCGGGGTCCTGGAGGCCGATGTCCCTTCAAAAAGCAGCCTCTGGCGGGCTCCATGTTAGTGCCCTAAGGCTCCGATGCTTTTTGGGCCCTCAAAATGGGTTGTTTTCAGGAGGAATTGGTCCAGGTTCTTCATAGGGCCCGTTGTGGGCCCTGCATTGGAGGGGTCATGAGCCTTAGGCATAATTGTTGTTGGGAAACATTTTGCATTTTTGATCTTATTGTGGTTTAGTGGTTGAAATCCAACCACTTAACTGCTATTTGTTTTATTGCTTTGCTCCCCAAACCCAACGTAGGGTGAGGGAATTGGGTTGTTGGACCTTCTTCGGGGGCAACTCACTTGGACTTCATGAAAACCCTGGTGGCGATTGGTCCCCCAGCAATTGGTGCCGATTCTTTCACCGAGTCTTTTTTGGGAGATTCAGTTCCCCTACTAAAATCGAGGGAAACAAAAAGTTGGTGCCGGCTTATTCTAACCTCTCTACTCGAGGACCTAGGTGGTAGGCAAACCAAAAGCAAATCTCCGGGCTTGCTTTTGGCCATCGCAGGAAGTGACTATTTAACATTAGATCTTTAACCTTCACTTCGTTGGCGACACATGTATGCTCCCATAAGCCAGCAACACGAAAAAGCTCCCTATCACACTTCCATGGTAAGGAGAGTGGGCTAGGGTTGCAAGGGCGACTGCACGGTTAATTCACTTATATGAGTGTGGCTTAAAATTGGACAGCCAGGGTTACGCAGGTGTTAGCCAACTTTTCCGCTTACCAGGTTACCCATTTTGGGGTTGCACTGGAGATGCGCTGGCAATCCGCGTGCCTTTTCCGGAAGGTTCCAGAGACCCGCTGCTTTTAGATGCGTGCTGACTATGAGTGTCAAAAGTCCCCAACCCCAATGCAATTGGGAAAAGGACAGCTATGACATAGAGGGCATTCAGGTAGCGAGCCCGGTCCATCCACTTTTTTTGGCCGGTCCATACGGCCGGACGTGTCCAGGGGCCAAAAGGGAGGCCGCCCATGGCCCTTTTTGGGTTGGCCAGTGGATGAAATCGCGGTTACCCGGTGCTTGACATCCTCGGAATGACCCTGTACTCCAAATACCTGCACAGGGCTCCTTAAAAGATCTCCATTTTGCAACCATTTGACACATGTGGCTTTTTCCACCACAATAAAGGGAAACCACCATTGACAAGTTGCAATGTTCCGGTGTATAATGTAAGGATCCCTGCTGCATTTATTGGTTTTCCATGGAAAATGCCTCCTTTGGGAGGAGTAAATTTCTACATGGTGGTTCAAAGGGATCCTAGGAGTCTTATTGCGACGCAGCTTCTCGGTTGACTGGATTCCTGGACGCAGCTGCCGAGCTTCCGAGGATCACTGCCCAGCCCTCCGAGCGAATCACCTCCTACGGCAGCATGGGCTCCGGCATGTTCGTGATCCTTGCAGCTCGGACGCGCAAAGCTATCACCGGGTCCCTGAAAAAGGAATTGGAGGGGGATTTCGACCCCTGGAGATCTCCATTCAATCTTTTCGGGATGACCATTTCAGTGGTAAACAGAAAGTTCGGGACTCTTTTTGTTGCCATTCCACTCAGGGAGTGAGGTTTTGTGTGCGTGTGTGTTTGCCATAATTGTGATTTAAATGAGGAACTTGTCATTCTTCGCGCAGATGCGTTCAGCACGGTTTGAAGCGTGCACTATGGGCTGGAAGAACTAGGCAAGGTAGGGAGGGGAGGGGAGGGCGCTTAGATGTTTATTTTGAGGGCTAGGGGGAGGGAGGGGAAAAGGAGGGAGCCCAAATAAGCCCTCATGATTTTAGATTGTCCGCAAACCTCTCACGATTTCCTTCTTTCTGATCACCCCAAGAGGAGGCTCACCTTGGCGCCCTGACAGGCTCCTTACCCCCCCCCCCGAAACGCTTTCTGCTGGGGTCCCTTGTTTGAAATCGGGTTCTTCGTGGTACCTAGCAATCCATTTTTCGTGGGTTGACAAAACATACTCTATCGTACAGTGAGTATTGGGTGGTTGCGTGGGCAAGCTGGTGATACTGTGGATGTTTGCGAAATCCGTTTCGCACCACCAAAGAACCCCAGATTCTGATCTTGATGATTCCCCTGTAAAAAACAGCACTAAACCTGGTTTCAACTCCCTGGTTTCCCTTGGTGCGACCATCCACGTCTAGGTCCCCCAATATTGCCTGTTTACCCTTTTTGGTTGGGAGGGTTCCCCTACTAAAATAGACAAAACTGAGCCAAAATCGGGTATCGTTATTCTTATCTCTCAAATCTGCAGGCCCTAGACGTTATTTTCTTCGCTGGACTGGGTCGCATTCTCCAAGGATGGCATCGCAATCATGGACCCCAACGCCGAGGGCACGCCGCCCAGGAGCCGAAGCTTCGTCGTGGCGGAGGCTCACTCAACCTGAGCTCCGTTTCGGACTTTAGTGACTTGGGGGGGTGGAGACCATTTGGTGGTATATTAAAAAAGACAAAGAGTTCGGACTGCATTTTACAAAGACAGATGTCCCGGCGACGTTTGCGAGCGGTCTTTGGAGCGGAATGTGCGTGCGCTGTTGGGGGCTGAAACTGGACACGTTTTCTGCACCCAAAACGGAAAGCGAACACCAAAAACAGCATAACGTTTGATTGCCCACAGAGGCAACCAGGGCACGTTTGTGCGATTGCACCAAAAGGACAGCCAACGGGGCATGAACTTTTGCAGTTTCTGCAAAAGGAAGCCAACAGAGCATAAATATTGGTTGAATCTCGCTGTTGAGAATGCCAGTGATTTTTCCAAGTCCCCCAGCGTTTGCGTTGTATCTGTGTATGTGCTTGTGCTTTGTGCGTGTTCTGTCCCCTATGTCCGCCGTTTCCCGTCGCCGACGCGAAGGAGCTCGCGAATCCCGGAGGTGCTGCGGGCGGGGGATAGCTTTGGGGAGGAGGTGCTGCTGGGCATCGTGAAGGAGCCACTGGGCTTAAGGAAGCTTCATACGCTGGATGGTTGAAATCCAGAAAGCGCAGCAAGGGACACCATGGAGTTGAAACCACAAGGTTTGTTTTACAGGGAATCGCATCAGACACCAGGTTTTCTTTTGGTGATCATGCGCAACCACGCAGGGGAACCCTGTTTAAAACCCAAAGGAATGCCACCCAAAGGTCCAAATAGGAGCCGATGTGGACAAGTTCTTTTGGTGACGATTCATGCACCCCGCTTCCTAGGACACCACTGGTTCTCCATTAAACGCCTTTCTGCCCTTGCACCAAATACCCACCTTTCTCGGGGATGGCAAATGATGTCAGTTGGCGGAAAAAGGGTGGCACACCCTGTGTTGCAATTGTTTACTCTGGATGGACGAAACCAATTTCGCACCAGGAACCCCACCGGCAAGCAAAACCGGCACTCCCTGAGTTCCTGGATCTTTCCGGTGGCAAACAACAAGCCCAGAGTTGGCGAAAAAAATGGGATCCTGCATGAAACTTTAGGTTTTGTTTCCGGTCAGCTCCCTTGCTACGAAGCAGCAAGTCTAGGGGTTGGTTCCCCACTTGTTTCATTCATCGTTCTTTTCGACAACCAGCCATTTCCCCAGGGTTTTTGGTGGTTTTCTAGAAAGATTCAAATCCCTGGAAAGAATGGAAAAGGAACTTACCCCTAGAGCAAGTGATCCTTTCGAAAGCCTCCCTATGAAACAGTCAGACCTGTCGAAGCCAGCCAGCCTTATGTCCAAGCCATTCTAAAGGCCTTTTCTGGCAAAAATCCGACAAAAGGGCGCGTCAAGTGGAAGCCACTCTTCCCAGCTTCATTTGCAAGCCAATCCGGCCTAGCCCAATTGTTTGGGATAGGTGTTGATTCCCCGAGAAAAGTTGATGCGGGTTTGGCATCACTTGTGATAGCAACTGCCTGGACCCCCAAAGGACCCCTTATTTCTGCCTTTGTACCCCTTTTTTTGGGGTCAAAGGCAGAAAAAAGGGGTCCTTCGGGGGTCCAGGTGGCTAGTTGGAAGGGACCGAGCCGCCAAGAGCGAGTATCCAAATTTAGCCACGCCCGACGTGGAATTAGGGACAAGGCCAGGAGATGCACGGAGATTCCTCAAGACGATAGGGCAAAAAGGGTAGCTGGATCCCCAAGTAGCCACTTTTGTCCAGCCACTTTACCCACTAGTAGCCCATAATTCGGCAAAAGTAGCTGGAAGAACAAGGGCAACTGGGGATCCAGGTAGCGATTCTGTCAACATGCAGGAAGGGTTTAAGTAGCCAACCGTTCCGGCAAGCAACATGAATCTTCCTTTCTTGGGTGTCCCTTTCAGATGGATGGAGTTCGCAAATGCCTATTACCCAGAGGCTCCCGATTGTAGGGCCTTCAAACAACCTGGTTTTGAGACCCCCAACCACCTCCGGGGTGTCTAATGGAGGGGTCGGGTCTTCCATTGAAAGCCCAGGACCCTTTGGGTAGGTGTAGAAACATGGAGCATGCCGTTGCATACCATCCAGACATAGAGATCCGGCCTGGTGCCTTTGCGTCGTTCACGGGCATATCCAAAGAATCCCCCGACAGCTCTGAACACCCGCTCGTATTGGTTCGCATTTTTGGGAAGACTGAGCGGTCTTCCAGGACGCATACCTCCTCTTTTGGTACAGGGTTGACATGATACCCAGAAAACAAGTTGATATTTCGAGCTTTTGGGGGTCTCCCTTTTGCACGCACCCATGCCTCTTTGTTGCCCTTTCCCAGCTGAATGTACGAACCCTTCTGAAGCTTTGGTATGAACCCCCTACTCCAACTACCCTCTCTTTTGAGGGTATCATGTCGACCCTACTAAAAAAGGGATCGATATTTTCCATGGAACACCTTCTTGCGGTTTTCCCCCAAAAATGCCAAGCGTTGGCATTTTGAGTAGGGGAAAAACGTAACGGTTCATCTGCAATGGGTTGCCATAAGTCGGATATTTGGAGCTTTCGGGGCTCAACCTCCCTCGAAGCAGTCGCTCGAGGTATGCGTACACAGTGGCCGCTACATCCAAAGTGGCGGGCGCCTCAGGTCTCAGCAAAGTCGAGATTGAAGTCTCAGCTTTTCTTGGCTCTCATCCATGCGGTTCCTTAGCTTCATAGACCTTAGGTGTTTAGGTTTTCCATTTGACCCACTAAAAGTGAGTCACTTTTAGCAGGGGATTTGAGCCCAGTTTGGGTTGCCTCACTTGAGCGAATCGACCTATGATCTTTTAGTGTTCCATGCGTCTATTTTTCGTGAGGTCCCCAAAAGCTGATCGCCTCGAAGCTGCGTTTGGTCCATAGAAATCGTGGTTCCAGTTTGGGTGGTCTTGGCAAGGGTTTCCCGATGGCAAGAGTTTGATTTCTCAAAAATGTCACCTTGAAACAGGGGTTCCTCGATTTCCCTTTCTTGGAAGCTGCAAAAGTGGCAGTTTCAATGGACGCCACCAACTTTTGAAAGGGGAAATCCAGTAACCTGCTAAAAGAGGGAATTGTTGAGGATGCCACTTTCCTGAGGAGACAGCTTCAGAAGGCATTTGGCTGGCTCATGTTTCCTCCCCCCCCCCACCACCACAAGAATAAGATGTTCATGTCCATTGCTATTGTTCCCGGTGTCAATGTTGGCCGCGGACTGAAATCCGTTCTTGCTCCCCATGCCCTTTGTTGTGATTGCAGAAGCTGCATCAATGGCAAGCTCTTCTTACAGCGCTCACGTCAGCAACCCTTTGATCCGAGCCTCAAATTGGACCACGTTGGTTTGGCTATGGCGAGTCAAATCTGACCAATTTTGGGCGTTGGTTTTATCTACCCATTCTCCTTCTGGCGAATTGGCTTGGCGTCCAGCTAGCTTTTAAGGAAGCGCACCGTGCCAGTGATTCCAGAAGGAAAAAAAACGCTGCTGGCGTTCCTCGGTCTGTTTGGAGTTTTCAGCGCAGTCGGGTTTGACAGAAAGGGATTGGCTTCCACTGCCAATGGGCCAAAGTTGGGTAACCCAGTGCTGGAAGAGGCAAGCCACTCTACTAGATAACCTTGCGGTAGTTTTACCTCTAGGATTTGCATGATGTTTTGTTTTAAAAAAATGGTTACCTACTATAGTGGCTTGCCTGCAAGCATGTAAGTCTTGTTTGGAGAACCCGACCCTTCTCTTTCAAGGGCACGCAAACAGGGGGCAAAACCTTGAGAGACTTTCTGTGAGGTGATGCTCTTCATTCCCGCTGACCTCTTCATGGAGAGATTTGCCAACTTGCCGGAAATTCTTTCGCTGATGCGGAAAAACTTTACCATTTGATGTGGCAAAATGCCGTCCTTGGCCTTCGGGTCTTGATCTGAGAACTTCTGACCGGCCTGACCGGGCTCCCTGAGAAGCTGATTCAAGGACCAGATGCTTCAGCATGAGAAACCTTGGTGCATTTTGCTTGGTTGTTAGGACTTTAACTTTTTGCCAACTAATGGTTTTCCATTAAACCACTAAAAGTTAAGCTTTTTGCGGAGCAGAAGCAACCGAGGGAAGGTCATGCCGGCCAGAAGGATCCGGATTCCCTTCGTTTCACACACGGCTTTGGCAGACCAGGTGCTTCCTGATTGCCGCGAACCTCAGCCATGGGCTACGTCCACGTGAAGAGGAAAGTTGTACTTCAAAACCCGCCCTTCAAGCTCCATGTCAACTTGTGGAGGGCAAAATCAAAGGCTGTTTGGAAGGTGTCGAGGTGACTGAAGGGCTTTGGTGTTTAAACCCTGGTTTGACCACAATGGTAACCCTGGTGTAAGCAGAACCCCTGCTTGATATATAGGGTTTTGTCCCCTTTCAGTTGAGTCCTTAACTTTGGTAGTGCCCGACATCCCCTGAAAGTAGGATGGGTATTAATCTGGGGGGCTCATTCAGTCTCCTTTGATATTTGTTGCTCTGTTCAGCTTGTCCAAGAAGGGAAGAGAAGCGAAGCATATGATTTTGGGGTTGGGCCAAGATAACGACCAGGAAAATCGACACCCGCCGTATTGAGTGAGACGCATTGGTGACGTGTTGGGAGGGACCCCCTTGAATGCCCCGTTTATATGCACATATTGTGTTATGTGTACGTAACGTATGCCTTGTGATGTCACGTGACGTCATGTCATGGCATGTCATGTGTGTATATATATATATATATGTATACATGTACATATATATATATATATACTTAGACATAAACATTGCATCCCCAACTTCCCCAACCAACGGATGTTTCCCATGCACTCTCTGAGCCCACTTCCAGCACCCGTGGCCAAATGGGTATCCAAACCAACCTGGCTTCAAACTTGGCAACCTTGAAAAAACAATGGCTTTCCGTTTGCCGGTTGCCTTCGAACGCGACAAAAAGGGGAGGTCATTGAAAAAGAAGACGCGATGATCTGAAACGTGGCTTTTCAGCCCTCTTGGCCGAGCCGAACGGCTGCCAAAGCACACGAAACGCCCAGTCTGAGAATCCGTCCGACGGGATCAGAGCCGGGCGTAAATGGCTTTCCGGCGATAGATACCTCCCTTCAACACATAATTCCTGAAAGACCCCAAGACAAGATTTTCCTGAGACCCCTGTCAGATTCCATAATTAGTGGTTTGGAGGCTAAAGAAGTTGTTTTTGACTTGTTATTTTGTTTTGTTGCTCTCTTTTTTTTTGGGGGGGGGACAAGGCTTGTGCTTGGAGGGCCGGCGACATGACGTGACGAGCAAATGTTTCGCAGACATTCTCCACAATATGTACCTACAGCCAAAACCCACTTGTTTCAGGGTATGATAGGATATGATGTCAACCCTCGACTGGAAAATGCCCGGCATTTATCTGGAAACTCTGGTTTTAACAGCGAATATTCAGAGGGGGTACTTGTTTAGACTGTTTGTGGTACAATGCGATTGTAGGGTTCCGCGTTTGGGGTTGAATTTGACCTTTCGCTCCTTGGAGACCCAGAATCTGTGTGGGAAGCTCATTTCAGAGGCATAGCAGTCTGGAGTTTGGAGTTCTGACCATCCCACTCAAATGCGAAAGTGATTCGCCATGCATATATATATATATACACATGTGGCTCTTCATTATGCATTCATAAGGCATTCACTGCGAAATTATGGGACCCGCATAAGTTACAACGCAAATATATACTTATCCGCTACTCCAAATACCCTCTTTTTTCAGGGTGGCAAGTCGACCCTCAACTAAAAAACGGGAACGGTATTTACCATGGAACACCTTCTTCGGCTTTTCAATAAAAAACAAGTACCAACTGGAAAAAGCGGGTATCTAGAGTAGGGGGTATATATAGTTACAACGCAAATATTTATATATATATATATATACCTGGGTCAAAAGTATTGCTGTTTTGTCAAAAACTATGTCTTTTGACCCAACGGCGATTATTTTCGCCTGCCGGCAGTTTTCAGTGTTTGCACACTCTAGCATCAGTCAAAATTGCAAAACGGCGTAATTTGCCGTCAAAAAGGCGTAATTTGCCGGCGAAACGGCGTTTTTTTTTTGCCTGGTTCCGAGCTGGACTCACGGCGAGCGCTTTTTCTCCGAAAGAGTGTTTTTGTTCAGCAACTGGCGAAATTTATTGCTGTTTTGGGAAACGGCGTTAATTTTACATGTTGGAAGGTCCAGGTATATAATATACATACCCACATCAACTTGCGACTTGGGATTCGCCGGCTGGGCGTCGCGGGAAAAGCACGCCCCGTGGTTCCTTCAAGGGTGGGCTTTAAGAGCCCTGTGTTACGGGGCGGTCGGAGAGAACATGGCGATTGATTTAGGCTGACTCAACCTGAGTTCCTGGACTTTAGCCACTTTCTGGTTTGGTTTAGATTTTAGTGGTGAGCAAACAGTTCGGTTACTTCCGTGGGCCATCTGCTCAAACGTGGCCTGTCTCCTCGTTTATGTCAACCAAAGGGTCCCTGTAAAGAGTCGCCTCGCCTATGTCAACCAAAGGGTCCCTGTAAAAAAAAGAATCCGTGCCCGAAGAGAGAGAGCAAAGGACCCTGACCGTTCAGGAGGAAACATGAGGAAGATCCATTTCGGCAGACCACGTATGCAAACCAGTTGGCGACGAGAGGCAAACCGAAGAAGAAACAGCTGAGTCTCGTGATAGGGCCTCACTGCGATTTTTGCGTTTGGAGGACTTTTATTTTGGAGGTGGTGGACCTTTGCACCGTTTTCTCTTCGCAAGCAGTGCCCCAAACTCAGGAAGACCCATGTACCTGGCCGACGTGGCTAGAGCTAACTTTACAACCATTCCAAATGGTTCTTTGTTTGGAAGACTTTGGCAAGAGTTGCTTGGGTTGGTTCTCTTCAACCTCCCCTCAGCCTAAGCAATTCAGATCAGAGGCTTATCCAACAGCCCGAAGGATTCTTTGGGCGAAGGGAAGACAAGAATTGCTGCTGGGAATCCACATCCATCAATCTACCTGGGCCCCTTCGAGTGAACATCTCGGCTCTTAAAGTTGCCATGGGTTATGCTTTGCCTTTTCACTCCCATACTGTCTCACTTCTGAGTTCATGAACTTTAAACTTTTTGGGAAGACCATTTTAGTGGTAAATGTAAAGTTTGGACTTGTTTTGGGCCATCCACTCAGCCAGTGAGCTGTGGATGGTCAACAATCGTAGGTATATAGGCGTGCATTATGGCTATTATGAGTTAAGATCAAAGCCGAACATCCTGCGCCAGTTGGTAGGCAGGGGTGCATTATGGCTGTTATGAGTCAAGATCAAAGTCATGGTAGGCGGAGGGCGGTGTGGGACATTCTCTGTACATGGCAACCATTTGGTCCCTACATGGGTAGACGCCACTGATGGGTTTTGGGCACAAGATTCATGAGGTTATTTTTCTGCGACTGGACGACCGCCCCCACCAGCCCTGAACACCGCTCTGAGTGTGCTGTGCTATGGGGATGGGGACACAGACTCGCATAAAAGTGAATGCGCAGACTTACACGGGTGTTTCCTGAAGCAGGCCCCCTTCTGTGCGTGGTTTGATGTCCTGCAACAGCAGCCGAAGGGAAACTGGTCTCATCCCCAGCTGTATGCTTTTGCCGACGCGGATCGCACGTTCCGGCTAAAAGCGCGGCTCGCAGACGAGGGATTGCTCGGCCGGCGTTTGTCCATTCAAACCCACCCCGTGCAGCCAAAGTGTCACGTCTCAAATTAGCGGAAAGAGGCCGATTTCAGGGTTCAGGGTACCCTATTGCCTATTTCTCGTTCAACGTTTGGTAACATGTTGCACCTTTGCCCTTTATTCAGATGATGATAAACAAAATGGTTTGGACCCCCGACGTGTCTTTCAAAGGGTACCCTCAAGAAAGACCCACCCCAATTTTGGGACACAGTGCCAAAAGCTGTGCTTGCACTCTGAAAGACTCCTCAACACAAACACCAATCGACTCGCGATGGCACCTAAGTTTGCTTTTGCGGCAACGAACACGCTTTCTTGGGTTTATTTTTGTGTTTTTGTCCTTGGACACCCATCAATTGGAAGTGCTAGCTTCTTGAGGGTAGGGACACCCAAGCTCTGAACTAGGCCACGTGATCCCCAGAGGTACTTTCACATCAAACATTGCCGAAGGCTTACCGCTTTTCCCTAAGCATCTTGGCCCCTCAAAAACGCCCCCAAAACCTTCATTAGATGGAAGGTGATCCTTTCAGTGGAGGGTCCAATGATGCGGGTATACGATTTTTCCTTTCGGTTTTCCTTCGTTTCCCAACTCAGCCGGCAAGAGTTACGTCGCATTTGGCGGGGTAAGATCTTCGAGTTTCGGGGCCGGATCCCTAGAGCGGCCTCCAGGATCCATCAAATCTGTTGGTCCACACAGCATGGATTCTCAAATTAAAGGAAGTAACACATGCCTGCCTACCTACCTACATACATACATACATAGCATGGGTTCTCAAAATGGGGGAGCCAACACACGTATATATATATATATGTATGCAGATCCCTCTACTCCAAGAACCTGTTTTCTTAGATTCTCAGAAATACCGAGGTTCTTCGCGGGAAAACCCGTCTTTGCAAAGCATAGAAACGCACAAATGTTGGTATGCTTTATTTTGCGGGATTTGTATGGTGTTTGCACGGGTTTCCTTAAGAGAGTAAAACCAAGCTTGTTGTTGGTAGAACCCGTGTTTTAGCTTCAAAACCATGTGTTTCTGTTTGCACCCTTTGTTCTTTTAAAGGTTCCTGGAGCGGGACTGGGTACCTGCGAACTTTTGCTACGCTCTGTGTGAAATTCGTGCTCACATTGGTTTGCTACGTTTTTCTTCTCTAACTCCACTATCTTCATTGCCTCACTGTGTGGATGAAATTCAACTGTGGCCCTCCATTCAAGATTGTATGCACCTTTTCTAGAGAAAA